AGACTAATAATAGTATGTTATGCATCAATAGCAGCATCAGCTTTTCCAGGTTCTGCAGTCATCTGAACAAAATTATAGACATTCAGCCCATTCCATTAAAAAAAAAAAAAGAAAGAAAGAAAAGAATAATATCCAGAAAACAGCGAAGTTCTGTTGCTGTTGTGGTACCTGGCACCATTTTTTCTATTAGCCTCTTAATCATCATCTGGAAAGAGAACATTCTAGAGTAATATCATTAAATGTAGCTCTGATAAAGCACGGTCCCTACTATGTATCATAAAGCAGGTACTAGATATTTTACATTCATAGAGGTATGATACAATACCGTCCTACATCAGTAATACTAGATTCAGTTTTGGTTCGAAATTTACTTTGCAAATAAAACTGCTACCGCTGTTTTTTTCTGGGTTCCTGTCACATGGAGAATTGTTTTCTATTTTTTCACTTTCAGTCTACCTACATCAGTAATACTAGATTCAGTTTTGGTTCGAAATTTACTTTGCAAATAAAACTGCTACCCCTGTTTTTTTCTGGGTTCCTGTCACATGGAGAATTGTTTTCTATTTTTTCACTTTCAGTCTACAGACTTCTTTTTGCACTAGGTGTGTTTCTTGTATACAACATATTGTTGGATTTTGCTTCTTATTCCATTTTGCCAGTCTATTTCTCTTGATTGGTGAGTTGAGGCCATTGACATTGCTGGTTATAACTGATATGTACTGACTTATTATTGACATATTATTGGCCTTTTGTTGACTCTTTTTACTTTTTCACCTTCTCCTTTTAATTTCTTGCCTTGCCTATTTGATTTGCTCTGTTGGGCCTCATGGTGTTGTTGTCTTCATTCTCTTTTTCTAGGATCTTGTTTAGAATTGCTTGTAGTGCTGGTTTGGTATTCATGTAGTTTCTCAGGTGTTCTTTGTCGTGGAAGTGTCTTATTTCCCCATCCATTTTGAAAGAGAGTTTTGCTGGATACATCAGTCTAGGTTGGAGGTTGTTCTCTTTTAGTACTTGAAATATCTCATTCCAGGCTCTCCTTGCCCCAAGGGTTTGTGTTGAAAAGTCTGCTGTGATTCTGATGGGCTTTCCTTTGTATGTGATTTGTTTCTTTTCTCTTACTGCTTGTAGTATTTTGTTCTTCTGTTGGGTTTCTGGGATCTTGATTATTATATGTCTAGGTGTAGATTTTTTTTTTATTGTAGCTAGGTGGGGTCCTATATGCCTCACTTATCTGTCAAATTCTTCCCCTCTATTTGGGAAGTTTTCTGTCATTAATTCTGCGAACAGCTTTTTAAAGTCATTTGTATTTTCTCCTGCTACTTCATGTATTCCTATCAGTCTTGTGTTATTCTTCTTTGCATCATCTAGGAGTTGTTGGATCGATTTCTCATGATCTCTTACTGTTTTTAAGAGACCTCTCTTTTCATGGTCACTGACTGCAATCTTATCTTCTATATCTGAGAGCCTATCTTCGCATTCTTTTATTCTGTTGCGTACACTTTCAATAGAGTGTTTAATCTCCTGGATATCTGTTTGAATCTGTTTTATGGATTCCATTTCTTTCCTATGTTGGGCGTTTATTTTTTCCATTTCTTTCTTATGCTGGGCCTTCATGGCTTCTATCATGGTCCTGAGCTCATCTATTTTTTTGTCAGTTTCTGCTCTAGAGTCTCGAATCATGACTTCCATTTTGCTCACTATCTCTATGGTTATCTGGGAAATTATTTCTGTTTTGAATTTTTCTAGAGCCTGATTGATCTGTTTTGTTACTTCCTGTGCTTTGAGTTCAGGGTGTCCTGGTGGTTCACTATCGGCCTTTTCATCCTCATTTGCCCTACTGTTTGCCATTGGTGAACTGGAAGTCTGTCCTTGTGTCTTGCTTAAGTGTTTTCTCATTTTAATTTTTGTTGTCGGACTGTCCTTGGTTTAATCTCTGGATTATCACCCAAATCTTCCTGATATAGTTGCGCCCTAGCTTCTGTGTCTCTAACGACCCACAGACATTCTCATCTTTATAACATCAGAGAAAACAGCTCATCAAATCAACGGCAATGCTTTACCCCAACTGATACAATCAGCAACACATTAAGATCAAGCACAACTTGGACACTGACCACCTGTGGTAGTCACTAGTCTATCACCCTTAAATCATTTGAATTAAATTGAAATCAAGAAGCAGTCCAGAACATGTCTGCAGTGAACAAAATTTCAATATAGTGTATTTACCATTTAATGGCTCAGACAGAGCGAGGATGCAAGACCCCTGATCTCAGTTAGCTGATGGCTAAACCCCATGACGCTGACTGACCTTGGGCTGCAAGGCCCAGATTGAGTTCCACAACCTTCTGAATGGTTGAACTCCACAACGTTCTATTACGGGTTTCCCACGCCCTTTCTTTAAAGATGTTCAAAGTTGGGAACTCAGAAAAATACCCTTGATGACCACCTCTGTCTTTGCAGAGTGGGTCCAAAGACTGGCACAGTCAGGAGGTCTGAGAGTGCAGGGGGGGCGCGGTATGAGGGTTCAGGGGTGCCCGCATGGCTACCTTCCCGACGCTTGAGCGATGGCTGCTGGATTGGGAGCAGGCGTGGTTCCAGAAGGCTTATTTTCTAAATGATCATAGGAAAATTGGTTTGTAACTTGGAAGAAATGAAATTTTTGTCTCATGAATTAGATTTCAAATTAATTAGATGGTTAAGTGACATCATTTTTAATGCATTTATGTAGTTAGGTTTGTATTCTAAATGTTACTTGAGGTGGTAAAGACACATCTATTTCGTTAGCCTTAGGATTGACTTAGACTTTTATTGCTCTTGTTCACATTTTCCAAAATAGTTGGTTAAGTCTACTCTCTACTAGGTGGTGTTAGGAATGTTGTATTTTAAGGTATTTGGATCATGCTGTAATTCCCTCTCTGTGCAAAAGAGTAACTCTTTTTTTTTTTTTTTTTTGGTACTGGGGATCAAACTCAGGTCCTTGTAATTGCAAGGCAGGCAGCGGCACCACTGAACTAAATCCCTGGCAAGAGAGTAACTCTTAAATCTGTTAACTGGGATGAACTGCTTAAAACATCACAGTAATATATGTGCCCCTATGTTTATAGTGGCACAGTTTGTAATAGCTAAAACTTGGAAGCAGCCCATTTGCCCATCTTTTGGAAACTGGATAAAGAAGATGTGGTTTTTCTATAAAATGGAATACTACTCAGCCATAAAGAATGAGAAATTAGATTCATTCATAGGAAAATGGATACATGTTGAGGATATACTCCTAAGTGAAATAAATAAGTCACACATGTGTAAATACTGAATAGTTTCTCTGGTGTGAAAAACTATAATAGTACATGGGATCCTAATGAGATAATTAATAGTGTGAAATGGGAAGAAAAGGGCTAAAGGTATAGGGAAAGTGGGAAGGGTAGGGGAAAGGGAATAAGTGAAGAGAAGAAAAACTGCTTAAAACAACATATTATGTAGAAATTAAAGCCAGACTCACAAAGTCATGCCTTTATACTTAAAAAAGATTTTAATCAAAACTGGGTGTGGTGACACATTCCTGTAAGCCTGGCTTCTGGAGGCTGAGGAAGGAGATGTCACTTTTGAGGATAGCCTGGGAACACAGTGAGGTCATGTCTCAAGAACAAAGATCATATTTAAATGAAAACATCAAAGTGGTGTCACACCAGGCACTAGTGTTCAGAAGAGCACACGTCTACTTGCTTTGCCAGTGTCCCTTTCCCAGCAGTCGTCTGCATAGCCTGCACCTTGCTCTTGGACACTTACTGCACACATGTGTGGCTGGAGGTTGGAGAAGTGAGCCTGGAGTATTGCAGACTGATGGCTCTTTCCTTAACCTCTGCAGCGTCGCTTGTCAGTATTTCACATGGTGAAAACTTAGAAAAATATTTTCTGTTTTCTACTCTGTGACCTTCTGAGTAATTACCTCAGATTTCGGTGGTCTTTTACTTATTCCCTCTTTAAGCTGTGTCTAATCTGATTAACACTAAATTTTGAATTTCATTGACTATATTTTTCATTTCTAAAGTTCTGATTCTTCAAATCTGACCCCCCTTTTTTGTACTGGGGATCAAACTCAGGGCCTTAAGCTTGTGAGGTGGGCGTGATGCCACTGAGCTACATCCCCGGCCCCAGATCTGACCTTTTTGATAGTGCATTGTTCTGTTGTTCTCTTCTAGTGTTTCATTTCTTTTCTTTTTGGTACCGGGTCCTTGTGCTTGTGAGGCAGGTTGTGGAACCACTGAGCTCAATCCCTGACCCCTCTAGTGATCATTTAAAATTTTCCACTTTAACAATTTCTGGTGATTCTCTTTTCTGAGGCTCTTGAAAGTAGAGGGAATTTGCTTATGGTGACTTGTTTCCTTGCATGTTTTATATATTGTGAGCTTATTTTAATAAGGGCTTTATCTTTGGACTCCTGGAGATTGGGAATATCCTCAGAGAGTGTTACCAGGTCCTTTGTGTGTGTGTGTGTGGTACTAGGAGTTGAACCAAAGGACCTTCTCACTGAGCTATATCCCTAGACCTTTCTTTTTTCAAGTTTATTTATTTATTTTTAATTTTGAAACAGGACTAAATCACTAACTTGCTGAGTCACTGATTTGCCCCAGCTGGGTTTGAATTTGTGGTTCTCCTGTTTCAGCTTCCCAGAGTGCCGAGATTACAAGCATGTGCCACCACACCACCTGGCTTTTCAGTCAATAAACATTTTATCTGTAGTGTTTTTCATTGTTTTTGATCTAAGGAGATGCATTTTTTCTTTCACCTCTTTTTTTTTTTTTGAAACAGGGTCTCACTATGTAGTTTAGACTGACCTGGAACTCACTATGTAGCCCAGGCTGGTCTCGAACTCACAGCGATCCTCCTGCCTCAGCCTCCCGAGTGCTTTCACCTCTTTTTAATAGTCTTCTCTTCCACTTCCAGGATCAACTCGCGGCCGACATGTACAACTTCATGGCCAAAGAGGGGGAGTACGGCAAATTTTTTGTTACGGTGAGCACTTTCCCTTGACAGAATTTAACACACTATAGAAAGCAGAATAATTTTAGCTTTTTTGCAAAAATGTTCATTTTTAGTTTTGCTCACATTGTATGTGTGTCTGTCTGACGCTAATGTTAATTTTTGTTTTTGAATGTGGGTCTGTTCTCAGTTATTAGAAGCCCAAGCAGATTACCATAGAAAAGCATTAGCAGTCTTAGAAAAGGCCCTTCCTGAAATGCGAGCCCATCAAGGTAATGTAACCTGTGTGCTGGCTGATGCCGCCTCCTCACGCTGCCCTCTGCCTTTCTCTTCTTCGCTCTGACTTGCATGCGTTCCCTTCGGTCAGCCTCTGCCTATGAGGGTACTAGTTCCCAGCATCGTTTCCTCTTCTTGCTGCATTCTCTAACGTCTTCCAAACCCAAATTAACACACTAATGGAACATTTATAGTTCTTCTGAGACCTTCCGTGGAACGGAAAACTGGCCCCTTTGGGAATTGCATGTGCTTTTCTGTCTTTTATGGACTTGAAAAATTCAGGCGTCCAGTTATCCTTTCCCAAATCAGTTATTTGTTCCACAGGGCTGAAATTTGGCCCTGTGACTCTGAAAGCGTCCACGCTAGAGGACATTTTAGACTTTTCAGAGGAGAATTTTAGAAGCCAGTCTTTGATGTCACACCATCAGTCACTTAATAATTGTTACTGAGTCACAAGGCTGTGGCCACTTTCAGACCTTCCTCGTCTGAATGGAAGGCTCTGTGCTCATCAGCACGAGTATTTCCCCCGCTATATTCAGGCACTTGTCAGGTTTTCCCCACAGGCTGTCAGTGGTTTGGTATTTAGTTTTAAGTGGGACATTTAAAGCTTCTTTCCACCTCCTGGAAGCTTTTCATTCTATTTCTCTGTGACTTATCACTGGGGCGTACCAGCAGATGCTGGAAGCTTCTGAGGAAGAAACTGCTTTGTCATCTTTGGACCTGGAGTAGCATTCGGTGCTCAGTATCTCTTGGTTCCCGGAGCCCGTGGGCAGCAGAATCCCAGACTCTCTGGTCCCTGTGTAAAGTGGTGTAGTATTTGCATACAACTTACACACGTTCTTCAGTACTTTAAGTCATTTCTAGATTACTTGTAGAGCACAACAGAAGGGCCATGTGAATAGTTTGTTACACTGCCTTTTAGGGAATCATGAAAAGACAAAGTCTGTACGTGTTCAGTATGACGATAAATGATTTTGCTGGGCATTTGGTGGCACCTGTGGATGCAGAACTCGCACATACCAGGGGCCAGCTCTTGTATTGCTCATAGTGTAGCTTTGTTGTTGGGAGCTTAGGTCCCCTGCAGAACCACTGGCCTTGAGCGGAAAGGGGATCAGGCCAGGAGCCAAGTGTAGTAGCGTGTGTGCTTGTGCAAGAGCGTGTGTGTGTGTGGTGATCTGTGCACATGCTGGTGCCTTCAAGAGTGCCTCGTCCTCTCCCCTAATGTTTGGGGATCCAGACAGGTTCTGGCTTGGTACCTGCAAGCTTTGGGATGATTCTCTCTTGCCTGACTACTTAGGTCTTCAGCAATATCAGGTGTAGTGCATCTCATTGTTCTGCTGTTCTTCCTAGGACGAGCTGCCCTTGCTTTCTAAACCATCTCATGTCTTGCCAGTCAAGTGCAGAGGACCCAGACAGGAAGTCACTGTGGGTTGGGCCCTGCATGGGACAAAATAGTAGACTTTATTCTTTTAGTCGTTAGTGGCCTTAAGTCTGATGGGGAAGAATTTGCTAATATGCATAGATAGAGAAGATTGGGTTTCTGGCAGCCCTGTTCTACATTTTCTTAGGGCTGCTTCCCCTAGAGAAACACATCAGTAAGTCCTGGGGGACAGGGAAGGTTCAGGGAGGAACAGGGGAGGTGGAGTATGTGGTTTCTCTTTCTAAGGCGGCACCCCTTCCCTGAGCTGGAATTCACTGCCTCCTGCCTCTGCCTGTCCTCCCACCTTCGTGCTGTGGCTCAGCTCCACCCCACTGTCCTCTGCATTTAATCTCCATCTCCTTCAGTTTTCTGGGAGGCTGTTGAATGACTCCTTTCCACCTGCCGCCTCCGTGCTCATCTTCCCACACTCCTGTGCAGTCTGGTTTCTGCACCCATTCTGCCCCCCCATTACAGTTCCCAAAGCACTAAGTGACCTCTCGCCAGAATCTGGTATTTGACATGTCCTGCGTCCTCTCTTCCCCCTTTATTTTTTACCCCTCATTTCACTTACTTGTCTTCTTTCATTGTGAGGACGCTGCATTTCTCTAGTTCTGTCCCTGCTCCAGAAGTCTGCCTTTTTGCTGAGGTCTATTCTCACTCCTGTGTTCTCTCTTCCCGGTTTCCTCAGCCCCTCTTCCCTACAGGTCCCTTGTTTTGACTTGTGCTTCTCACCTGCATTGTGAGCATCAGTTCCCTTTCTGTGGCCTCACCTACTCCAGAGATCTTGCAGGCGCACCCCCATCACCCCATGCCTGCTGTCAAAGTTCCTCTTGTCACTCTGACACTTTGAAACCTCGGCCACTCGTCCTTCCTTTCTCACCCCTGTTGCTGGGTTCTTCCCTTTTGCCTGGTGCTCCTTCTTCCTCCCTGTCCCCACTGCCCCCTCCGCCACCTGCTCTCCTCTCCTCATACAAGTGCTGTGGGACAGAGTGGAAGTTTCTAGACTCAAAACTCCTGCCCTTTTTTTCAGCGTGTGTCTCCCCACAGATTGCTTGCCTGCTTCTTGGACTACTAGTCCTGTCTGTCTCATGAGACCCACTCTGAGCTCACTTCCTTTGAGAAACCTTCTCTGACCACTGAAGCCAGCAGTGAGCTCTCTGGCCTGAGTTGCTCTCACATCAGTGGTCTACCCCAGAAGTCACAGATGCTCTATCTTGTTAAGTTTTTAAAGATTATGCCCCCATGTAAAAACCAGATGCTTTCATGTAATGATCCTGATGTGTGGCTTCTCTTGAAAGCTTAGAAGATGGGTGGCACCGGGTGTTCTTCCCACGTGGCCCAGAGAGGCGGCTGCCTCTTGCAGACCCTGGGCTCCAGCCTGGTCCATGCCCCAGTGCCACCTTTCTGACCTCTGAGACAGTGTTTGCGACCCCTGTCTGTACCATTGACCTGCTGTGACTTAGCAGATGTGTCTTGTCTTGTCTTTGACTGTTACACGTTTCTGTGGCTGTCTGGTATTTCCTGCACAGTTCATCTGCTCTCTCTCACGTGGAGAATGGGCTCCCGAGGAACCTGGTGTACCCACACCAGGACACACTGTAGGCCTGCTCTTTGAGAAGCCAGCGCTTGAAGCACAGTTCGCCTTAGGAGTTGTCTCTGGGTCAGTGGTTCCCACTTGTTCCCTTTGCCTAGATGCCACATCAGGGCGGTGCGAGGCTCACACACTGTTTAGTGCTTGTTAGAAAGCAGAGGATTGGAGTTTGGTCACCCCCAGCATCTCAGAGTCAAGCGTGTGGTGGAGGTGATGGCAGGTGTCTTGGCAGAGTCACCTGGGTGACGCAGATGTGTTTCCTAAGGGGAGGGTTCCGTGGCCTTTGCACCCTGTGTAGAGAATAAAGCATCCAGGCGAGAGGCCTGTGGCAGAGTTCTATCTTCTGGGAAGGGCGAGGCCCCCAGCCGCTTTTTCTGTGAGAAGTTCCGCTGGACTAGGGCTGGGCTGGGCCCGACGAGAGGAGGCCGTGCTTTCGTTTTTGTCCACTGCCTCCCTTCCCCTCGCTCCTTTCTTTAGTCTTTTTCCTCACTGCTCTTCCCATCGGTTTTTAACTTATTACGAGCTCTGAGGCCCATGGACTTCCTTCTTCCTCTGTACGCGAACCAATGGGCCCTGGCCTCCCACAGGCAGGAGTGGGAGTTAAAAGTCCGGGCTGCCTGCTCACAGCAGGCTTCCAGCAGCAGACTGGTCAGAGGTGCAGAGAAGGAGCTGTGCACTTTTGGGGGATGGACAGGACCAAGTGTTTCTCTCCGAGTGTTTTACCTCTCCGGGTTCTGTGGAGAGGGCAGTAGATCTCTGCAGTTCCCACAGGCAGGCCAAACCCAGACGTGTGCTTCGTGTTCTCACTCCGTCCATTTTCGAATTCTTCTGTTGGACAGCTTTATTACATATCTTTCTTCTAAGCGCTGCCTCGAACCTTTTGTGGAACGAAGCCGGGTGTATGGTCTGAAAGGAGTAAGGTGCTGCTTTACCGCTGTCCTCACAGCCTTCTGGCTGAGCTGCTTGGGACCCGCAGATGCTGTGTCGTTTTGGGCTTTTCTTTTCTCTACTCGGAGTTTTGGGGACGGGACATTCTGTAGCGCTGCATGTCACAGAGCTGTTGTGTTTACCTTGTATGCATTTACCTTGACCATCTCCAGTCTCGTGTTAAGAAATTATCTCCATTTTCACTTTAGGGGAGCCTCTTTCTTGTGCTCTAGGAGGGAGGCCAGTGCTGCTCTGCATGGCTCTTCTTTTCAGTGAGGACACTGTGCTCAGATGTATCCTGTGTCAAACAAGGCCACAGGCCCCATGCCTGGGATGGCGAGCTGTGCAGCGTGGGGCGTCCTGCTGCTTCTGCCGGCAGCTGAAGCTGGGTCCGGAGGGTGTGCTCAGGGCTCTGTCCCACGGGTGACTGCCCAGCCCGCTGCATAGTCTGCTTTATGAACAGTGAATAACAAAAGCAAGTAGTAAGGACGTCTGCCTTCTCCCAGAGCCTCCGCTATCAGTCTGCTAGAAGGTCCTCTTTGGTAGTTTGGGGAGAAAGTGTCATGGCAATGTGTGAAGTTGTCAGGTACTTTACTGACCAGCTTGCCGCTCTAGACAAGTGGGCGGAGAAGCCTGCCTTCGGGACACCTTTGGAGGAGCACCTGAAGCGGAGTGGGCGTGAGATCGCACTTCCCATCGAGGCCTGTGTCATGCTGCTTCTGGAGACCGGCATGAAGGAGGAGGTGAGGCACCGCGGGGCCCACAGGCCGTGTCTCTGCCCACCCCGCCTGTGTGGCACAGCGCCGTTGTATTGTGTAGCCTGTGCCCAGCATTTCGTAAGGAGAGCTCATTCATTATACCTTTCTGTGTGTACATAAATAGGCTTCACAGAACAGTATTCGCTGCAGCAGTAGGTACACTCTTACCTTTGGTATTTCATTTTAAGCTGTGATTTGTAGCAGTGGATTTCATGATGCACTAGTGGATCAGCACCTCCTTGAGCTTTAGTTTTTAATAGAGGGCATCTGTAGCATGAATCATACATTTGCATAGTGCTATGCAAAATTTTTGGAAGAGTGCATTTATATGCTTTATTACCCACCCACCCTCAAAGTCCCATGGACCAAGCAGGGCAGTTCTTCCTCTTGTATCAAAAAGGAAAAGGAGGTCCGCACACAGGGACTTCACACTAAGGCAGAGCCAGAATCAAAACTTTAAAAAAGTGTCTATTGTAGTATAATGTACATCAAGGAAAATACACATACTGTAAATTAGCAGCTGGATAAACTGTCACAGACTGAATTCAACAGCTAATCAACACTCAGATTAAGGAATACCCCAGAAACCCTCATGTTTTTGCTTCCAGCAGTGTAATTTCGATGTCTAAAACCCTGGATCAGTTCCCTCGTCTTGGGCCAGCTTTGTTCAGGATACATGTGGCCAGGTCTCGGGACAGTTACGATGATGCCTGGGGCGGGAGGGCTGCACTGGCATGTCAGTAGGTAGAGACCAGGGTCCGTCACACAGCCTACAGTGCATGGGGCCACCCCCAGGAAAGAGCCTTCTAACCTAAATGACAGTTGAGAAACCAGTCGTGCTGAACGTGGAGAGACCACACCTAGTTTAACTTTGCTGGAAACCGAAGACGTCCAACTCTGGCTCAGTATCCTTCAGACTCCCACATCTCTTGGTCAACTCTTCATATCTTTTTTTCTCCTTTTCCTGGGACATTTAGAGCAAGTAACTGGTAGCCTGGTCTAACAGTTTTCCTTAAAATATTAGGTTGTTTTTTTTTTTTAATTTGTAAATTACAGTAGATCTGTAGCAGCCATTGTTACAGAGTTATATAAACTTGGTGGAAGTAAAAATGCTTTTTGATAATCGAGTTCCAATGGGTGCACTATTTTAGTCAGGCGACAGGGCAGGAGCTAGCACCAATTAAAGACAGATTGGTAGGCACCAGTCACTATACTCCAGGTGTGAGCCTGGCCTCTCCTTCCCCAGGCAGCACTGAGGGGAGTGTGACGGGGACATGCTAAGCCCCTCAGATCCTGCCGATCATGATGACTCCCGGTTTGCCCTTGGTGCTAACGGAGCTTCATTTCTTTAGGGCCTTTTCCGAATTGGGGCTGGCGCCTCCAAGTTAAAGAAGCTGAAAGCTGCATTGGACTGCTCCACTTCTCACCTAGATGAGTTCTATTCTGACCCCCATGCTGTGGCAGGTGAGCTCTGAGGAGTGTCTGCAAATCGAGCTGCCCTCAGAGTGGCAGGCCAGTCCTTTTTCTGATAAAATTCCCTAATGTATAATGTAATACATGGTTTCTGTTATTTTTGTTTCGTTTTGTTTTTGTGTCCCCACCACACCCCATTATTAAGTAAAGATGAAGGTAGTTTACAGTGCATATATTTTGGAGAAACACTTGTATTCTCTCCTTTCACACCCCAATCCACATCTGTGGAAGAAATGATATCTGTTCAGAGGATGGGTGTTTTTTGTTGTTTTTTTGTTTTTGTTTTTGTTTTTTGGTATCGGGAATTGAACTCAGGATCTTGTGCTTGCCAGGTAGGCACAGCACCACTGAGCTAAATCCTCGGCCCTAAGAGGATGGTTTGAAAGCTAATTTTACTTTCTATTGTCCTCTCAGTATGTTTTTGGAAAGGAAATTGAATGTCTTTTGTGAGCATTTCATCCCTGCCTGTTCCTGCCAGATTGTGATTTGTCTGGTACAGATTAGGAGATTGTAATTGAGGTAATTTCACATCGCAAAACAAGATCCCAGAGATTTTGGTCCTGACCCCATTTCATACTCATGGAGAGTATTGACGGTTTCAGGTGCTTTGAAGTCCTACTTACGGGAATTGCCTGAACCTTTGATGACTTTTAATCTGTATGAAGAATGGACACACGTTGCAAGGTAAGAATGCAGTTTTAAAAGTTAAAGAGTGGAATATTTGTACATTTGTAAGTTATTTTATCCTCAAACGTTCTTATAAACATTAAATAGTATATTTGTTAAGTAATGGGTATATTGGTTCTGTTTATATTTAGAGTGCAAGTATCGAGTGTCACTGTTACTGGTTAGGAAGGCTGTAGCTTACGCACTAGTTGAAGTTTGTGTGATTTAGATGTTTGCAGATAGACAGTGGCAGTCACATTGATGGATTGGCTGAGCTCACATCCCCGTTGTACCAAAGAAGCCCGATGACTGGGGACAGGTGTGTCTGTAACTGAGTGGCCGTGTGGCTGTCACGCTGCCCGCAGCTTAGCTGCATAGTAATATGAGGAGGACACTGTTAGCAGTAGCAGTGACTGTCTCCAGTATTTACCATGTGCTGATTTATACTCATTACCTCCTGTCATGCTTAACTGAAATGAGAGGCAAATATCCTCATGTCATTGGGAAGGAGCGCAGGCAAGGAAGTAGCAAGTGAGTGGCAGAGCTAGTCGTGGAGGCCTGTCTGACACCAGGACTGCGCTCCGTTCTTGTCACTTCCATCTGCCCACCTTGCCCTGGCCCTGGTGGTCTTGACTCACTTCCTGTCCCGGATGTGTAGTTCCTCGCCCCTGAGGGAAGAGAGCAGACTTCACCTCTGCTCCCGCCTTCTGCCCCATCTGCAGACGCATCTTGCTCCAGGCAGAGGCCATGACTAGCTGTAGCCATTTCTTCTGCTAGGCTGTGCTTCTACCCTGTGTTATTCTGCCCAGTTGTTGAGAGCTGAGCTTTTCTCTGTAAATGTGGAACAGGAGACTGTGCTGGTAGGTGGTGAGGGGTTAAGTTCAGAAGCAAGTTCTTAGTTGCAATATCCGTGTAACACAGCTTGGGCTTGAATTAAATGAAACCAACTGTCAGTATCAGGTGGAGGACTGTTGGATTTCTTTTATTGGGTAGCTTCCTTTATTCCTCCTGGCCTCTACTTCTCTCTAAGGCTCCAAAATTTTCTCTGAGAGTAAAAGTAGATGTTACACTTTGAAATCTGACATGTTCCCCCAACAGCCTCTTGTTTTCATAGGTGGGAATTTCAGAAGGTGCCTGGGTCACAAGGGCTCTCACTTTGGTAGTGGACTAACACATCGGTGGGGCTGTAATTTGTGTCTCACTGCCATGCAGCTTGAACCACCAAGGGTACATGCATGACTGTACCATTGGGCAGCTTTTTATTTATTTAATTAATTAATTAGTTTATTTTTAGGTTTTTTGAGACAGTCTCACTTTGTAACCCAGGCTGGCCTTGAACTCACAGTGATCCTCCTGCCTCAGCCTCCCAAGTGCTGGGATTATAGGCAAGTGCCACCATGCTCAGCAGCACTTTATTAATTTTATTAGTAAAAAGCGATAAAAGTGATTAGATCTGTTTGTACCAACTGTGGCACAAGTCACCCAGTGGGACAGTCATGCCTGCACCACTCACAGGTGGCTCACGCTGGAAGGACGTGTTCACCCATTGATGAGGCCGTGATTTGATGGCAGTAGTGGAAGAGAGTGGGTCGTAGGGTGGTGTGACGCAGGGGACTCTGTACACTGTGTCCCTGGCCCCTCCTCTCTGGCTCTCTCACCCTCTGTTCCCCTGTTGCAGTGAGGTGAGCAGCTCTGTCCACCACGCCCTTCTGCCGTGCTGTTCCCGCCTTGGAGCCAGACAAGCACACACTAAAAACTCTGGAGTTGTGAGCCAAGATAGGTTTTTCCTTCTCCAAGTTCTTTTCTCAGGTTTTTATCTGCAGTGATGGAAAGCCAGTGGCAGAGGTTTCTGTCTGCTGGTCTGTTGCTTCTGTAGCTGTGAAGGGCCGGCCAGGCCTCCACCCTCGTGAAGTAGTGTGTTTAGCTTAGAGTTCGGTCAGCACCTCCTGCCTGCTAGGCAGAGTCAGCTGTGCACTGGGGGACCGGCTCTGCCCCTCCTTGGCATCTCTGCAGGTCTGTGTGTTGAATCTTTAGTGCCAGAGCTTGGTAACTGTTTGGCAGCAGAATTAGGTTTCTCGGCCTGAAGCTTTGGAGCAGTCCTGAGAAAGGGGGTTCAGTGGGGTCTGGGTGCTTGGGAAGTCGGCAGATGAACCTGTGGCCAGGCTGCACACCAAGGAAAGTAATCCAGGCTCCACAAAGCCACCGTCACATGTGCACTTTCTAGACAGGATTTATAAGTGGTGTCTTCTGTGTCAAGCGTTCGTGGGTCCAGGTGGCTTCACACAGCTATGCCCCTGACCCTGTTTTGCAGATGAGGAAATTGAGTCTTGGTGAGGGTAAGAGTAACTACCTGCTCCACGTTAAAGAGTGATTTAGTTGGAATTTGACTCCAGGTGTATTTATTTCTAAAATCTGTGCTATTTTCAAGTTTTGGAAAACAGCAGTGGAGACATCAGTGTTAATAAACAGATGTTCTAGTTAGCTTTCCATCAGTATAACAGAACACCTGAAACAGTCAACCTGAAGGAGGAAAGGTTTGTTTTGGCTCACAGTTTCTGTCCCTGGTGATTGGGCCTGTTGCTCTGGGTCTGTGACAGCACAGAGCATCATGGTGGTGGAGGCGTGAGACAAGGGCCTGTTCACTTCATGGCAGCTGGGAAACAGAGGAGGGCCCGGTCCCAGGGTCCCTTCAAGGGCACACCCTGTGTCCTAACTTCCTCCAGCAGGCCCCTGTCTCTTAAGTTTCCGCACCTCCCTATGGCACTGTAGGCCAGGGCCAGGCCTTTAACACATGGGGGATATTTGACATTTGAGATATTTCACTTGCAAACTACCATGGTGCCTCTATTCTTTCGATTCTTTCCATATTTCTGGTTGTAAACCAAGTTGGATGAGAACTGAATCAAATTTAGTGGTTAGGTTCAATGCTGACCTTATGATTTGGTTCTCATCCAATTCACTTTGCACCCAGAATCGTGGAGAGAATTAAGTTCCTGAACCAAAGTGCCACTGTTAGCAGCGTGTTTTATGTGTATCAGTAATGTTTTATTAAATTTTATAAACAATTTTTTTCTCAGTGTGCAGGATCAAGACAAAAAACTTCAAGATTTATGGAGAACATGTCAGAAGTTGCCACCCCACAATTTTGTTAACTTCAGGTATGTATGATTGTCATTCTGTAAGCTGAACCACTTAGTGACCCTGAAGTAAAGACAGGTTTAATTCCACCGGGGAATAAAAAGCTTGGGAACGAAACATGGTGCTGCTGTGAGCAGAAGGTGGTGCATCTGAAGCACCAGCGCCACACGTGGCCTTGCTGTGAAGGTGCCTTACGGACTTCACTGCTGGAGCTCTTAGCGGGTGACCGCCCTTAGGTCTGCAGTCTGAGGGTCCAGCATGTAAACTGCAGAGTAAACCACCTGTGACACTCGCAGTAATGTCTTTCATGTATACACAGAGCATAAATCATTCTACTATGGAGATTATAGTACTTAATTAAGTAGTTGTGTTCCTAAGAAAATTTCCCAGGAGACAAACTTCTGAAATTTCACTTCTGTTTTTATGTTGACTTAACATGTGACTTTGAAGCAGGAGAGGTCACCCCAAGGGTAGACATTTAAAGCCAAGCAGGAAATCTTCTAAGAGGACCTGTTTAAAAAACAAGTATTATCCCTGGTTTACCTAACTTTAATTTACTCTTGGTCACTATCACTGTGCCAAGCTAAATATTACCTTTCACACTGCTTTAAGCATCAACCTGGCCTGATGAGTGGGGTGGTGTTTGTAAGGTCACTTATCGATTAATGTAGTATACCCAACTTGGAATTGCAGATAGTCGTAATTTATTCAGTGTGTTATGGCAGAACTCACGGCTCCTAGTGTATTGGGATTTTACTTTTTGGGAAGTTTTTTTGTTTTGGTTTTTTTTTTTTTTAATATGGAGTACATTCCCATGGTTCAGAAATTCAAAATGTGGGTTATATCTCAGATATCACTTAGCACTGAAGTCCTGGGACCAGTGCCCAGCACTGCAAAAGAAAAGAAATTCAGGAGGTACGCACTGACAGCAGCTCCCATTTCATCTCCCAGACGCCTGCCTCCACTCCTGAGATACAGTGCTGTGGTTTCTTGCACACCCTCTCAGCATGGGTGCATGCATAAACACCCCCTTCTGCATATATATATTACACAGTGTCCCTTTCTCATTGCCTCTTCGTTTTAGACCAAACAGTAGGATGTGTTAGATTTTCATTTTCCCTTTTGCTTTCTTTGCTTAACATCTTAATGTCTTTGCTTTATACATCTTGGTAATTCCCATATCCGTGCATAGTAATTATTGTGATGCATAGTACTCTACTGTATGGATAAACTTAATTTATTTAACCAGATTCCTGTTGATAGATAGCTGTATTCTTAGTGTTCTGTTTTTATACCATTGTACTAACATAGAAGAGCATATCTCTATGTGGTAAATGGAATAGTTTCATCACTACAGCATAAAGTATTTTCATGTAGTCCTTTAAAAGTGTAACTAAGCCCTCTTAAACAGTATATTTGTATTAAATATATGTTTATCCCACTAATAATCGCAGAGTAATTTATGTAGAAATGGAATAGAAAGGATATAAAGGAGAAATAGAAATGTACAGTAAATAGAGGTTAAATCATTCAGAGTTACATTTGAGCTATTTTCTCTTGCTATGCTCTCCATTTTCTGAAGAAATTTGTAAAATACTCTACCTGAGGCAGATTCTGGTTTTATGACCCTCTATTTTTGTTTTGTTTTGTTTTTGGTCCTGGGGATTGAACTCGGGTCCTTGCACTTGCAAGGCAGGCGGTAGAACCGCTGAGCTAAATCCCCAGCCCATGACCCTCTATTTTAGCACCAATGCAATCAGAGATCAAGCATGGGGCAGTCAGAGAAAATTGCTGCAAATACGTCAGAGAAGGTGCTCTGTTGCTTTTATTTCATAGGTATTTGATCAAGTTCCTTGCAAAGCTTGCTCAGACCAGTGATGTTAATAAAATGACTCCCAGCAACATTGCAATCGTGCTAGGCCCGAACTTGTTATGGGCCAAAAATGAAGGGTGAGTAGTCTTTCCCCACGTTGTGTCATGAGGGGGAACACAACATGAGGCACGGTCTGGTTTGAGGTGCATGCGTGTCAGGGTGTCCTGAAATTGATTTTCCCACTCAGCCGACGTTCTCAGGACCCATATGTGAGCTAGGTGCTGTCACAGATGGTGGGGACAGAAAGACACGAGACATTGTCCTTGTCTTCACAGAACCCCTGCTTTTGATCAATAAGGCACCTCAGTGGCTGCAGCACAGTAATAAGATGACAGCTGTATGTGTGTGTGCATGCGTGTGTGTATTTGTGTGATACTGGGGGGGCAACTCTACCATCTTACTTAGAGTCTCTTGTCTATACCTGAGAATCAAATGGACGTAAAACAGACTAACAGGAGGAAGGCATGCAGGTTTTACGTGGAAAATGAAGACCCAAAGAAGCAGTTGGAGCTTTTATACTATGTTGGATAAAAAGGTAGCATGTTGTGATAGTGATACAAGACAAAGGGGCTTGGGCTAGGGCCGTTAATTATAGAGACATAACTAGGAAGATAAGGATTAATTTAGCAGGATTGTTTATGTAGATTTCCTTGGACCACAACACCCTGTTGCTGGTGATAAAATACTTAATTTCCTCTTGGTAGGAGGAGGGCATTTTTCACATGGAAGTTTATCTCCTGCTTTCCAAAAAAAATTAAAGAGGATTCAAGTGCTCTTCTTATATCTGCTGTTTTTTAAATACCTTTACCTCCAAATAACCCATTTGCTACAGGACCATATCTTGAGGTGTCACGATTGACTCCCCTTCTATATCACTGACAGAATAAGGTAGAAAGCAGCAGGAATGGAGATGGAATAGTCTGGGAAGCTCAGGGAAAGCTGTGGCTAAGAAATGATAGTTTCCTGCAGAGGGCATCTGGATGAGCCAAGGCACTGACACATGAAGAGCCTGATGCGTCTCAGGTCTTGGATACCTTGACGATGGAATTTTGGTAGATCAGTGCCAGATAATAAAGGGCCTCGTGTGTCCTGCTGAAGTGTTTGGGACTTGTTTTTACAGATCATGAATGAGCTATCCAAGTTCCTGAGTGGAAGGATGACAATTTAATTGCAAGATAGTTTTGTTGGTGCTGAGAAATATAGATTGAGTAGAAGAGAGAGGCAAGGAGAGGGATCAGCTGGAAAGCTTTGAGGACATTGCCAGGTGGCATGGGTGTGATCTTGGTCCTCACCTGTTGAATTACTCGTAGCGTCAGTTTTGCGGTGAGGATGCACAGCAGGGAAGTGTTAGAGCCCAGGTGCTGCCCAGAAAGCCCATGTCCTTAACTGTCACCTTTCTTTGCCTCCCATTACTGCCTGTCATCTTTGCAAAATCATGAACCATTAAAAATCCAAGTTCCATTAAAACTGCAGTGGCTTTTTGAGTCAGTCTTTGATTTATTCCCTCACATATGCTCAATCTTGTTTCAGAAAGTAGTTAGAAGATTACAAAGGATCCAATATCATAAAGCAAAATTAAAAATAAGTAGATTTACAAAGCTATAGATCATATCCAAAGCAAATAAATTCCAGACCGATTAAAGACTTAAAAAGTGACACCATAAGCGTGGCTAAAAAATATTTGGGGTAGGGAAGGATTTTCTAAGTAAAAGTAAACAAATAAATAAAGCAAGCAAGCAAGAAATCCTACATTTAAAGTTGGTGGATTTGGCTGTCTGGCAGCTAGAAACTTTCTTGTGTCAGAAAGCACCTTAAATAAAGGCAATTCACAGACCAGGAAGGAGTTCCTCCAGAAGTTCCAGAATATATGAAGAGATGTTGCAAATCAGTACACAAACTGTGTCTCTTGAAGAAGGAAAGTTGGAAAAGAACATGGTTGTACAATCCCTTCCCGATCCACTAGGATTCTAAGGCATGAAGATTGATCAGAGTTCAGATGAGAGTAAGGTTGCTGAGGATAATTTGCAGGCAGCTTGCATTTGAAGCTGGAACTTTTCCTTAGTTAGGAAGTGGTGTGTTCACTGGGCTCGGAGACACAAGCCTGTAATCCCAGCACTCGGGAAGCTGAAGGCAGCCTAAACTACATGGTGAGACCGTGTCTTAAAAAACAACAACAAAACAAAACAGACTGAAAATGGTGTGATTTTTCTGGCAAGAATAGACAGACGTCAGAGTGATAAGAGGAGAGAAGAGGTTGATTTGAGGAGTCAAAACTGAGGTTAAGTTTCTTGGGAATTCAGTGTCTTCCTTCAAAGAAAAAGCCTCACAGAGGGCCGGGGATTTAGCTCAGTGGTTCAGTGGCCTGCCTTGCAAGTGCAAGGACCTGAGTTCAGTCCCTGGTACTTAAAAAAAAAAGCCTCATGACAAAGTTAATTCAGTGCGAACCTAAAGGTTGGTAGGTGTCTTACATTTTCATTGCTGGGACAAAATAACCTGGCCACCCACAAGTTAAAGGACGAAAGGTTTATTTTAGCTCCCAGTTTGTAGAGGTATCAGTGCATAGCTGGCTGAATCCAAGGTGGGGCAACATGGCAGAGTGGAGAGCTCATGACAAGACAGTAGGAAGCAGTGATCTAGAGTAGAAGGGACGTTTGTACATCCTTCCGGGCCACACCACCAAGACCCACCTCTTCCCACCAGCCATACGCCCGTAGTAGACTGCCCAGTGTCACACCCATGATCCAGGCACCTCAGGGAGGCCCGCCTTTGAGCTCACGTGGACTTGGGGGACATCTAGTACAAGCTGTACGGTGGGCAGTTAAGTCGCTGTCAAGTGTCCCACAGGTGTGTTGCTTTAATGGTGCTCTGACTCCCGGCTAGTGCATTAGCTCGATGACAGGGGTAATGATTATTGCTTTCATTTGGGCCCTGGCATCAGACACTTTCAGCCTCAGGACACTCGTCTTGGGACCAGAACATGAATGACAGCAGTGTGGCTGCCGGGGCTCGCGTCTTTGGGGGGACATTGTGACACTGTCTGCTCTTGGTGACATAGACAAGAGTAGGCGTAGGTGATCTTGGGCCCCAGAAGATAGATACCAGGGGTGATTCTGCTCCAGTGGCGTAGTGCAGCCCTTGCTCCAGACCAGTGTAAAGCAAGCCTTGGGACATGTTTCTGGTTCATGAGCGGGGCTGCTCGCGTGCGGTAGCCACAGTAGTTGTCACAGTGCAGATACAGGGTCGGAAACTGGGCCAGGGTCGTTTTCTCTCTGGGTGATTATGCCAGACTCAGCCTAGGACCTTTGGATTTCACTGTCCACCTGTGTTTTAAGTATTTTATCCTTTAAAAAGAATTGCATTGCCCTACATTACCCGTGGACATTAGAGGCAGCCTGGGAGAAGCACGCTAATTTTGCACACTTCCTTGCAGAACACTCGCCGAGATTGCCGCAGCCACATCGGTGCATGTGGTTGCAGTGATCGAACCCATCATTCAGCACGCCGACTGGTTCTTCCCTGAAGGTAACCATCATTTTGTGTCCATTGGCTGCTAGAACAATACAATAACAGTATCAGAAGTCTTCTTAAAGAAGAAAATTCATCATAATTGGCTTCGCTTTTAATGCTTCTTTCTAGACCTTGTTCATTTGCACTCATGTCTTGGCATAGTGAAAATGATATCATTTTGTATTTCACTAAAGCATATTCAGCCAGTGTGTGTTGAATACCCACTAGGTGCTGTATATTTGCCGGTGAGACACACTGTCTCCCCTGGAGGCACTTGGGCCCTTGGAAAAGCTGGCCACCGAAACAGATCAGTTATGACATGTGGCAGATTAGAACAATAGACAGGTGGAGAAACATTTGATGAACTTAGGTGTTAGGAGTAGGGAGCCAAGGATTCCTTTTTGGAAAAAGTAACATTGAATATGCAGGGATTTTCTTGTGAGGAAGCTTCTTGTCTCTAGGTCATCGTGTTTGTGCAGAGTTAGACGGTCAGGCAGGAAGGCTTGGTTGGGGCTGACTTGTGAAGGTCTGGGTTGGTGACCTCAGAACTGGGATTTCATTCTGTAGGTGAAAGGTTTTCAAACCACTTTTGTAAGGTTCTCACGGCCTCCTTTGGGGCACGGGTTGGGCCTGTCCCGGCCTGCCTGAGTCCAGACCCCTCCCCTCCTTCCCCCAGAGCAGCCCAGCTGCTGACTGAGCCAGGGCTGTGCACATCTTTTCCACTGACTTCCCAGACTCCACTCACAGTTCTTTCAAGTTGACTGCCCATTGAAGAGACAAAATGGATAAATATTATTAGCCTTCTCCCTGGGTTTTCTCCTCTAAGGAAATGATTCTTGCAAAAAGTGCTGTAGAGGGCCAGGGATTTAGCTCAGTGGTTCTGCTGCCTGCCTCACAAGCACAGGACCTGAGTTCAATCCCTGGTACCAAAAAAAAAAAAAGTGCTGTAGAAAGTGTGTCCTTGATGTTGTCTTTTATTTCTGTTTTTAAATTTTTATTTATTTTTGGGTTTTTGAGACAGGGTCTCACTATGTAGTTCAGACTGCTCTGGAACTCACTGTGTAGCCCAGGCTGGTCTTGAACTCGCAGTGATCCTCCTGCCTCAGCCTCCTGAGTGCTGGGGTTACAGGCATGCACCACCACGCCCGGCCAAAAATTTATTTTATTTACTTATTTTTTCCCAGTACTGAGGATGGAACTCAGGACCATGTACTTGAAAGGCATGCACGGTGCCACTGAGCTAAATCCCCAGCCCTATTTCTATTTTATATCAAACTTTATCTCACTTTTTAATGATTCAAATAAGTAATCTACATTCATTATCCACTTCTGTAGTCCATGGTTTTTTCCACAAAAGAGAAGGCAGCAGAGCTGTGGCTCCTATTCTGAACTGCACCCTCTGCTGTCTCTAGTTCTCCTTTGCCTCCCTGTGGTCCACAGTGTGCTCTCAGAGGACAGAGCCTGGAGCTGTCTGGCGAAGGAGAGGGTCCTGCAGCTGAAGAGCAAGGTCACATTCCAGCGGGCTGCTCTTGAGCTCCCTGGCCCTGTGCTGTGTCTCATGCACTCATTGATTGTTCTTGCAGAGGTGGAATTTAATGTATCAGAAGCATTTGTGCCTCTTGCCACCCCGAATTCTAATCACTCATCGTCCCACACTGGAAGTGACTGTGACTCGGGCGCCCCGGAGAGGAAGCGGCCTGCCAGCATGGCGGTGATGGAAGGAGACCTGGTGAAGAAGGAGAGGTGTGTTTAGAGCTCTTCCCTTCCGGTGCAGCAGGAGATGTCACACAGAAGAGTGTTAGCCCGTGGTCTCTGGTTCCAGCGACATGTCCCCCATGTCCTCGTGGTTGGTAGAGCCCGATAGCGCAGGAATTGTGCTGTCATTCATTCCAGGCGTTAATCTGAGCGTGACATGTGTAGCTTGTCAGTTGACCTCATGCCACACGTCAGCTTTACTGTACGATGTTGTGTGGGGCCTCCCGCGATAGAATGGCATCGTACACACTGCTGCTGCACACTTACCTGTGTGTTTCATTGGTGGAAGCATTGGTGTGAGGACAGTATATACCTCACACGGTCCAGACATACTTAGGTATTGCATGGCCTCTCAGGAGAAGCCAACTCTGAATTTGATGTTTAGCTGGAGAAACCTCAGTATTTGCCAATTCTGGAAGAAAAAATATGACTGTGTCGCACTTAGTAAGAAGCAGTCTACCTCTGTACAGTTCTCTGGAGAATTTGTGAGATTTTGTTTCAGGGTGATTAAGTCCACACCTGGCTTTTGCCTTCAGATACCAACCTTTCCAGTGTGCATGATGAAATGCCGCTAGACTCACCAGGAATGCAGAGTTAGGAGGCTTGTTTGGAGTAACATGCTTTTCTTGAATATATGTAATAATGTTACTGGAACTAGCTTATATGAAAGTGAAATAACAAGCTCCTGTCCTAATTGTCCAATCTTATAATGAGACATGTGGGATGTTTGATTGTTTTGGGCCATCTACCTCTTCCTCATAGCAAAGGGAAGAGGTTCGCTTTCCTGTTGTCTCACTCTGAAGTTCACATTTATTCTGTGCACAAGTCTCACTTTTCTGAATCCTTATACACCTACTCAGTAGTGTCTCCTAGTTAATACTGTTCTCTCTATAACAAAGCTAGCTCTCGTGTATTTTAAGGTACACATGCAACCTTACGGGTCTATTACGGGTCTAGTCAACACACACACACACACACATACACGCACGCACACACACACAGTTCAGTTACTTGCTTTCCAGCTGGCCCAGCAAACACAAGCTCAGGGAGCCATGTATCTTTCTTTCTTTTTTCTTTTAACTGAAAAAAAGCTTTGAAGTTTGTGAAAAGTAAACTTTCTTTCCTGTCCTCCAGCCACCATCTCCTTCCCAAAAGCACCTGTTTTTCCAGTCTTACATATCTTTCAGATGTGTTCTTTGTACTTCATCTGAATTAGAGGCAGTGTGATACGGTGGCCTTCTGCACTTGGCTTCTACCTCATTTCCCAGACACGGCCTTGGGATGGGAGTCAGGAAGTAGGGAAACATAGAAGATGCCACTGGAGATGAAGCCTGCCTGTTTGCTTTCAGCTGCCCACACCCAGCTGATCAAGGACATTGATCAGTGCCAGGTCCTTTGGCTTTGTTCAGGCTTAAAGCCAAGTTGAACTGCTTGCTTTGGGAATGGGATGACATTAATACGGTCCTTGCCACTTCTCTGCATGCTGGGCAATTTGGGTGTCTTGTCCCTGTGTCGGGTTTTAACATGTGTGGACCACTGAGCTTCTGTCTTGGGAGTCAGCTCGCATGGTGTGTTGACTGTTTCTTCTCTCTGTGTAGCTTTGGTGTGAAGCTTATGGACTTCCAGGCCCACCGGCGGAGTGGCACTCTAAATAGAAAGCACGTAGCTCCTGCTTTCCAGCCACCACTCCCGCCCACAGATGGCAGCACCTTGGTTCCCGCAGGCCCGGAGCCCCCTGCCCAGAGCGCTCGGGCTGAAAGCAGCTCAGGGGGTGGGACTGTCCCCTCCTCTGCAGGCATACCAGAGCAAGGGCCAGGCCCAGGTGACAGCAGGTAAGCAGGCCCCCTTCTGACAGGGAGGCTGGATGCCCTGACCTTTTGCAGGTGGTACTCTTTGGGCATGGCACTCATGCCAAAAGGGTCTTCCTGGCATATAGTGAACCGGACTTGGTACTCCTCTGGTTGGCAAAGGACAGGGTGGAAAAAGACTGCAAATAGCTTGCTTCGTTTTCTGTTTGCAAAAGAAAGCAACATTTGTTTGCAGTCTTTGTTATACAGCTGCTTGGGTGCTGGAAATGGGAGACTAATAGGCATATAACAGTCTCATGAACCTCTTTTACCCGCTTGATGTGCAGCCGTCGGTGTCCTGTGCCATCTGCTTGTTCTCACTCAGTGTGCTGACTAGTAAGCATGTGAATGTAGGTAGTGAGTTAGTCACGGGACTCCTGGCACCTGTTTTTCAGTCACAATTCAGTCACGTGAAGTCACTGAATAACTGATCCATACCAGGTGCTGTCCAAGGCCTGTAGGTGACTAAGACTCATCCCAGCTCTTGAGGCTTGCAGTCTTACAGGGGGATTGGCATGCGTGTACAGGTGGAAAAGAAGGTATTTTTTCTTAAAGGACCATTTTATGGCTTGACCGTCAGGTAAACTGGTGGGAATGGACTGCACAGTAGAACAACTTTAAAGACGGTCCCTTTGGGTTGAGATTTTCTTTTCGTTAGCTGGCTGTCTGTACTGGTCCAGGCAGAGTCCTGTTCATGCGGTATCTGTGACGGCTCAGCGGCAGCTGCTCTGAATGATGAAGCCTTCTACAGAGTGTGCTAAAATTTGTATTGTCATTTGCTATCGTTTGGTCATCCTCACAGCACGAAATAATTATATCTAAGGTAGAGTAAATGCCTGAAACAAGGACTGCTTGTTTATTCAGACTTTTCCCCCCCGCAAGAGTTTTGCCTTGGGAAAACTTCCATGTCACCCTCTGGGTTGAAAGGCAGTCTCAGGGTGTGCAAAGGTACTTATCAGATAGGAATTTTGGTTAGCTCCATACCTGGATTCTGAATGCATTGTGCATTTTTAAATCTTTTTCACTCATAATTTTGGGAAGTCTTTTTTGTGGGGAGGGGTATCGGGGATCGAACTCAGGACCTTGAGCTTTGAGGCAGGCAGCAGCACCACTGAGCTAAGTCTCCGGCCCGGAAGTCTATTTTTTAGCTGAAGGAATGAAGTCTTCTAACTTTGTAGGGCTTCATAGGTCCAACGTTAGCTTCATTGGCTTGTCAGTAACCACTGCTCCATATAATACATATATTTTGGCTTAAATTATTTTTGAGAAAAACATGAGCAGATTTACATATTTTCATTTTCTCGTGGCAGCTGGCTCATCACTCAAGACTGAACATACTTGAGTCGGTCATTAGTCCTCACTGTGGAAGGACAGAGGGAGTTTCGGCCATCAGCTTGCTCTTTGTTCTGTATATTCTGTGGGTATTTTTGTGTACTTTTCAGTAATGTTGTCCGCTCCTTGGTTACCTTAACACGGGTCACGGTCATTTTTGGTACAGGGTTTGGCCCAGGAAGTAGGAGGCCCAAGTCCCGACCTCTCCCTGCTCCTGTTAAATTTGGGCTGAGTCACCATTGAGTTTCTTGAGAATGATAGTAACCAAGCATCATTCTGCGATTGCTTTTGTTTACTTTTGTACAGGTATTTGTAAAAAGTCAAAGCCTTTTCCTATTTTTTAATGTTGCCCAATTTAATACAAGCAAAGTAGATAGAACTTGAGGTTTCTCGTGAGCTGCTTTGACATGGCCTCTAACGTGACATTTGAGCAGTACAGAAGTTGGAGGTCAGTCTGCTGCAAGGAATCTCAAGACTATTCTTTAAGGAAGTACTAGCTTTATAGGCCCCGGATATTAAAATCAGGTTATCTCCTTGCCTGTTGAGGTGGAAACTGTACTTGGAACCTTACAGTCATCCCCCTGTACCTTTGGGTCGTGCCTCTACATATTGACCACCCATAGATGAAAAATCATTTTTTAAAAATGGTTTCAATAAGCCAGGAGTGGCTTGCCCCTATAATCTCAGCACTCTGGGAGGCTGAGGCAGGTGGGTTGCCTGCTGGGCAACTTAGCAACTTAGTGAGACCCTGACTTCAAATAAGAAATTAAGAAGGTATAGCTAAATGGATGCACACTGAGGCTATACTCTTAGGTGAAGTAAATAGGACACACTTAAGTAAATACCAAATAGTTTCTTTGGTGTGAAAAGCTAAAAGTGTAAATAAGGTTCAAAAGGTATAATTGATAATGTGAAATAGGACAAAAAATGGCTAAAGGGGAAGTGGGAAGGGAGGGGAACGGAAATAATGGAAAACAAAAAACATGCAAAAAATGGAAACAAAGTCTTTGTAAATAGGGAAGGGTGAAGGGAGGGCAGGGGTATGGGGAAAAATAAGAACCAGGATACATCATGTAAAGCTACAAGATCCCAGTGATAAATGGAACTCTATTGTTTGCTTTAAATGTACCAATAAACTTAATGGGGAAAAAAAATTAAAAAGGTGCATGAGTGGGTGCTTGGGATGTAATTCGCTGTGAAAGCCTCAGTTTAATCCTTAGTACCACCAAAAACAAAAAGAAAGAAAATGTATCTGTACTGAACATTCGTACTTTTCTTATTTTTCTTTTAACGGTAAAGTATAACAAGTATTTCCACGGTATTCATATGAAGTATTATAAGTAACAGAGAGATGATCGGAAGTATACAGGAGGTATAGGTAGGTTGTATTCAAATACGAAAGCGTTTTAGATAAGGGATTTCAGCATCTTTAGATTTTGCACCTCCAGGGAATCCTGGAACAAGAGCCCCTTGGTTGCTGATAAACAACTGTATTTTAGAGCGTGCTTTGCTTTTCTAACTGGGGTGTCCGACGTCTAACTTGACTTTTGCTCCCTGTAGTCCTCCAAAACCCAAGGACTCCATGCCCGCAGCTGTCCCTGCATCAGGGAGAAGCAGCAGTCAGACAACTCCCAGCCAGAGCCAGGGCCAGGCCCAGTCGGGTGCCGGCTCCCACCAGCTCTCGGTTGGCTCAGCCCACAGTGCCGCCGGCCCAAGCCCTCACACTCTTCGCAGGGGTGAGTAGCCCTGGGGAGCCATGTGCACACCTCCTCAAGTGGTGCAGCAGTACAGGTTTGAAGCTTTCGGCGACCTTTTCTGTGTATACTCAGAAAATGATAAATCAGAAAATGAGTCATTACAGAAAAAAACAAAAAAGAACAGAAAAGCAGTCATTTAAGAATGTTTTCCCATAGGAGCTATGAAGCTCAGAGGAGAAGCTGTTTCTTCAGAAGCTCCTTCTGCTTCCTGGGACTCTGGTGTTCTCGGCCCTCCCTCTGTCTGGGACTCGCCACAGCCTCTGCCCCGCCTGAGCTTTGTGGGCTGGAGGCCCGCTGTGCCTTCTGGGTCTGGGCCATCTGCCTGTGGTGCTTTACCCAGAGTCAGGCATGGCTTTCAGACAGGGAGATCGTGTCTCTTTGAGGAACTCACAGTGGCTTCCATGTCCACCTCCCTGGGCCCTGTGATCCAGCTGCATCTCACTGAGCTCGTTCCCTCATAGAGCTTCTGGGCTGTTCTTGTCTGTTCCAGAACCTTCTGCCTGCTATCTTCACGTCCTTAGCATTTAGGTTTCAGCTCAAAGTTCACTTCCCCCACAGAACCATCCCTGTCCCCACCACATCTACAGGTCATCCTCTCTCCTGCACTCTGGTTTTTTAAGGTTACTTTTCTTGATCTCTAATCTCTAAATTTGCTCTTAGCTTGTTGCCAGTCTCCTCAGTCGTGCTCAGTGAGCTGTGCTCGCGCTGTGTCTCGCACTCCAGTGTCCCTAGTGCTGGGGCTATGCACTAGCAGTTCCAGGGTTGGAAGTTCCAGAAAGAGCAGACTTCACCCCATGGATCCTGAGTTCTGAAGAAAGAGCCAGGCAGTATAGGGTAGAGGAAGAGGAAAGAGTCCAGGAGGTCCACGTGACATGAATGCGAGTCTGTGTTCCACCATTTCCCAGCTGCCTATTCCTCCAAAACACTTGTTCTCCCCAAGCCTCGTTTTTTTCCACTGTGAAATGGGTATAAAAAGTGCCAGTTCTGCAGCAAGCTGATGAGATGTACATGAGATAATTTATATGAAGAGTCTGACCCAGTACAGGTAGTGTGTTAGGCGAGCGATGCGTATTCGTTTCTTTCCTTCGTTTCCTTCTTTCCTGGGGGAAATCAGTGAGATCTCAGCAGAAACTGAAAAATGTTCCAGTCTCCTTTCTGCCTACCCTTCCCAGCCTAGAACCAAGCCTCCACGTCTGTTGTTTTCCATTCCATCCTCCTTGGTACCAGATCCCCAGTGCTGATCTTAGTTGGTGTCGTGAGGACAGTGACAGTGACTGATGTCTTTAGAGAAACGATTCCCAGGCAGCTCTTTCAAATTGATAGCTGTTAACTCAAATGATGTAATTGGTAGAATTTCTGTTATTTAAAAAAAGTGAAACCCCAGAGAAGATGCCTGAGCAGGGCCCGTGGTGGTCAGAGGAAGCTGGAAGTCTTCCAGCTTTGGGGTCATGAGAGGGGATGCATGCTGAGGGGCCCGGGAGTAACGGTCTGTGTGGGTGTGGCATTTCTTCCTTCCGAACTTTTAAAATGACATGTCACAGAAGGTCTATATGTGTATTATACACTTAATTTTTACATAGACTTTTAGATTTGGAATAGTTTTAGACTTACACAAAAGTAGAGTTCCCACGTACTTTCCCCCAGCTTCCCCTACTGTTGTGTCTGACGTCGATCTCTATGTTGCATTTGTCACAGCTAGGAGAGTAGCATTGGTACCTAACTGTGAATCTCCATGCTCGGTTCAGATTTCCTTGCTTTCCCTAGTGCCTGGCTCTACTTCCGGGATCTTGTACAGGAGACCACATAGCACTGATTCATCCTGTCTCCTTAGTTCCTCTGTGACATTTTCTCAGTTTTGCCTTGTAGTTTCCTGGCTTTGACAGTGGGAAGGAAGACCAGACACCTGTGTTTCTTAAGTGTCTGGATGGGTAGTGGGGGCTGCGGTTTGGGGGAGGAAGGACAGTGAAGTGCCTCCTGACTCCCCTGCATGGTGCATGCCTGCTTACTCCTGGGGGGCGTAGCTTTGTCTCTTGGCTCTCACTGTGCTGCTCTGACTGATATTTTTTTCCTCTTGTGCAGCTGTTAAAAAACCTGCTCCAGCACCCCCAAAACCAGGAAACGCCCCTCCTGGCCATCCCGGGGGCCAGAGTTCTCCAGGGTCATCTCAGCCTGCACCGAATGTGTCACCAAAGCCAGCCGCTCGAAGCCCTTCTCCTCCCCCCCAGCACTCAGGCCAGGTACTGGCCACTGCCCAGCCCTCGGCACCCCGGAGGTACTCCAGCAGCCTCTCTCCAATCCAAGCACCGAGTCATCCTCCACCACAGCCCCCAACCCAGGCCACACCACAGTTGCACACCAGGCTGGGCAGCCAGGGCGGCCCCTCCTCTGGGGCTCTGCCTGGCGAGCAAGGACTGGAACAGCTATCTCATACCCCTCCCCAGACTCCAACACCCCCCAGCACCCCACCTCTAGGAAAACAGAACCTCAGTCTGCTGGGACCTCAGCCTCAGGCAGTGAGCAGCCCTGAGACTGCACAGCCACATACTGGAACCTTACCAAGGCCCAGACCCGTACCAAAACCACGGAACCGACCCAGCATGCCTCCACCCCCTCATCCTCCTGGCGCCTACCCAGCTGGGGACAGCAGCCTCACTGGTGTCACTCCGACAGCCTCCAAAATCGTGACAGGTAAGTAGGAAGTGGCTCCTGCTGGCCCTGTCCACTGTCCATTGCTTTGTTACTGCCCCCCTTCACATAGGCTTCAAGCGGTTGAGAGCAGGAATCAGCAAACTGCTGGCTCACCAAATCTGGCCCACAGCTGATTTGTGGAATAAAAGTTTTAACACAGCCATGCCATTTGTTGACATTCTCTGATTACTTTTGTGCAAAATAGAGCTGAGTAGTTATGGGGATCATACAGTCTGAAAAACGTAGAATATTATCAGGCCCTGGAAGTTTGCTGAACCCTGCTTTATTTCATTATGTGTTCAGGACCAATCTGCATTTACATTTTTCTGAGTATAATGAGTTTTAATCCAGGTGGAAGGTATTCTACATAAGCATGAAATTAATTTCTTGGTGAATTTCTTTTTTAAATACTTTATTTTCGAAGAGTAAAAAAAAAAAAATAAAAATACTATAGTAACTGAAGGATTCCAGATGATTTGAAAAACCATGATTGATGCTAGCTTGGAGTTCTTGCACTCACGGTGGCTGTCCGGACCCAGTCGTGTCAGGTGTGGGGTCCTGTCGGAGAGGAGAGGGTGGGGCTCCCCCAGCCAGTGGAAGCCTGTTTTGCGTGTTGGGGTTGTACAGAATGTAATGGGCTAGGCAGTCTAGGGTGTGACACATTGTTTAGTTATGATTTAAAAATACTTCCATTCCAGTTACTCAGATTTACTATTTAATTTAAAAGGGAATGTTTTTTGTGTTTTAAAAAATAATAATTAGAAGTTCCATTTCATTTCTTTTTTTCTTTCTTTTTTTTGGTACCGGGGATTGAACTTGGGTCCTTGTGCTTGCAAGGCAGGCCACCGAACCGCTGAGCTAGATCCCCGGCCCCTCCATGTCATTTCTTACACAGCCTCCTCCTCTTAGTTACAACAACCTAGTTATAAATTATTCTAAGGGGCAGCATTTTCAGAGGAGCTGCAGCACACCCCTGGGCTCCCCAGCCATCCTGAGTGAGCTGTCAGCAGCAGTGCACCCAAAACTGACACTGCAGGTGATGACGTCGCCTGGCTAAAGCATATTTTCAGGGAACTTTTCTTTTTCAGGAGAATAATGCATAATGTGTGCATGTATTAATGAGTGCTTAGTAACTGTTCTTCTTATGAGACGACATTGATTTTGAAAACAGCCGCATCGATTTGCTTGCTTGTCTGTCTTCCCAGGGCCCTCACGGGTAGGGAAGGTTTCCAGGACTGAGAAGGTCTGTAGCCCCAGGCAGCTTGAACCGCAGCTCCAAACGTGGCTGCGTAGCATGTTCCATGTGTGTGCTTTTGACTTGGCCTCTGGCTGCAGTGGCCGTCTGACGCCTTCCGCAGCGGTCAGTGGCCAAGTGTTCCGCAGCACATAGATGTTCCTTTCAGGTTTATCAGAAGCACTTTGAGCTGCAGGGCTCCACATGCAGGAGGTAGAGGCAGCAGGTTAAGAGCCCAATTTCAGGCCACTCGGCTGAGGTACAAAGAACTACTTCTTTCTTTTTGGGAAGCCTCTCAGAGCATTTGGCGCTTCTTAATGCACTTTGCCTGTCATTAGTTGGCTCCTCAGGCTTCAACCAAGAGGACTTGGGTGCCATCCGCATAGAAGATTGTGTCCCTTGTGTCTTGTGTGTTTTTAATTTTTGTATTTTAAGTACAAGTTAACTGCATGGAGCTTCATTATGTCTGAAATTCTTAGGACAAAAAAAAAACTTTCCCCAGCAGTCTCACCCCAAATTCCTTTAAGCTCACCTGCACTCTGTCATGCTTAAGTTTTGCTTCCTTAAACCACATGAGCTTTTCAAAAGGTACTGTGAGGCACAGCATAGCGGTGCACCTGTAATTAGTCCCATGCAGTCTGGGAGGCTGAGGCAAAGGAATTGCAAATTCAGGCCCAGCCTGAGCAACTTAACTGCCTTAGACCCTGTCTCAAGTAAAAAATAAAAAGAGCTAGGGCTGGGGATTTAGCTCAACTGTTCGGTGGCCTGCCTTGCAAGTGCAAGGACCCGAGTTCAATCCCTGGTACCAAAAAAATAATAATAATAAATAAATAAATAAGAGCTGGAGATGTCACTCAGTGTGAAGACCCTGGGTTCAGGCCCCAGTATCACCAAAAAATCCACCACAAGGCCCATCCACATCTATCTCCACCCACATTCGAATGGTATTAGAATCTCCTCATGCGTATGTTTGCTTTCATCAGCTCCCTCAGGGAGTGTCCACAGCTTCCTGTGGACACCAGAAGGTGGCTTTGTTGCTCTGTTACGACATGGCAGCACACTGCTTTGTAGTTGTTAGATTTAGACATACTCTTCCTTAAGGTGTTAGCTTAATCATTCTGTGCTATGAATCCTCCTAACACAGACATTCCAGGTCACCTTCATAATCTTTGTATTACAGAATTAACCTTTCATACCTTAAAACTCCCTGAAATACCACTGTAAGCATGCAGAAGACCAGCATTTAGAATTAGTGTATCCACTGGTGTGGTTCCTGCTACCGTTAGTCATTCTTGGATATGGGCACGGGGTTTTCAGGAAGAAAAGGAATAACTGCCTTGGACAGGGCAGTCTCTTCTTATAACACGTTTTTGTTTGGAAAACTTTAGATAAACAAATTCCTGTAGACAGGTTATTCATTTAGAGCACTTAATCTTGAAGCATTAGACAAAGGATTGTGGGATTAAGGCGAACTCCTGGAGAGTTCACTGCTGCCAGGCAGGCTTGGCCACTAGCACCAGAGCTAAGTTCTGGAGAAGTTCTGCGTTGTTTTGAGTCTTGAGCTCCTAATTGTGACTCTAGAAAGCAGTAGGATTTTCACTTCTCAAAAAAAAGAGTTTAACATCTTGCTGTTTTTAGAGTATTAGATTTTTAGCAAAGACTATTCTAATTTAAACATTTTATTAAATAATTTAGATGTATGACCTGCCATATTCAGTAAGAACTGAAAGTGGAATGTTCAATGGTAAGGAAAAGGCACCTGATTGGCCAAAGCACTTCTGCTACTGTGTGATCATATTTGTACACTAATGCCTGTTGCTAACCAGTCACCCTAACCCTGCCTGCTTGCACCCCTACTAATTATGCATGGGTAAAGGAGAGCTGGCTCTGGTCATGCTTGCTGCCGGTTCTGAATACTAAGTGTGTTCACAGACGTTACTGATGACCTTGTCACTTATTTAATTTCCACTGTTCTCCCTGTTGACAGGAAGAGGTGTAGTAGGAAGAACGTGCACCTCGGTTAGAGTTTCAGCTCAGTGGCATGCAGCTAGGCACATCTGGTGGGTCTGTGGAGTGAGTGATGTCTCCTAGTAGAACTGCTGATTCAGATCACACAAGAAAGGCATCTGTTACAGTTCAGAGTGGACAGTGGATCTAGGTGAATGGTAGTTATTATGTTCAGGAGAAGAAGATATATTGAATCAGAATTGCACATTAAATTCACATGTCAACATTTTAAATCTGAAATACCCAGGCCCAGCCTCCCAGGACTCAGAAACAGGGGCAGGGGCAGGGGCAGTCCTCAGGTATCTGTGTTTAATCTAATGCAGCCCTTGGTTTTCCTGGTCATCAGTTCTTTCATTGATTAAAAGGCAGTGCTCAGCTGGGTATGGTGGTGCAAGCCTGTAATCCCACCACTTTGGGAGGCTGAGGCAGGAGGAGCACAAGTTTGAGCCAACCCTGAGAAGCTTAGCAATTTAGCAAGACTCTGTCTCAAAACATAAAAGCCTGGGGATGTAGCTGAGTGCGAAGGCCCTGGGATCAATACCCATTACTACCACCAAAAAAGAGTCACTTTTTAATTTAATAAGAACAATCCTGAGAGAACCTGGGGCACTTATCCACTGTCTGACGGACAAACAGATGGAGTCACCCTCAGGATCACACCAAGGACAGTCGGCCGGCTCCCGGTGCTGTCTTCTTGAGATCAGACTTTCCCTATATCATGGAAATGAGAATAGGTACAAAGGAAATTAGAAGTAATTGAAATTAGTAATAGAACTATTGGAGCCTGTTTATAGTGTTTTTCTTAATTTTGGTTTTGTTTTTCTGAAGCCAGGGAGTACAGAATCATAATTACTTTGGCATATATAGATCTTAACCCTGCATTTTATTTGTTTTTGAGGCAGGATGTTGCTAAGTCACTTAGCATGGACTCGAACTTGTGAACCCCCGCCTCAGCCTCCCAGAGTGCTGAGATTACAGGTGTGCACCGCCACAACTGGCCGTTCTGCCTTTTTATTTTACTTTACATCCTATGCTCTTTCCCGTGTAGCAGTTTAGTTTCTATAACCATCTCTTCAATAACTGCATAATATTTCATCAATAGATACATTATTGCTTGTAATTCGACATAGAAATGGCTTCTACCTCTACTTGTAATTTGTTTTTAATGAGTAGATAACAGAATCATGTCAAATTAAACATCCAGTGAGACTTGAATAGAATATCTCCTTTAACTAGAGTAATAAAATAAATAACTGACTCAAAGACTTTCACAGTCATAGAAGAGAGTGACATAGAGAGAGTGTCACTCAAAGCCTTAAAAACTGGTGAGTAGAGGAAGCTGTGTCCCCAGGCCCTGGGCTAGAGGCACGGGATGGTGGTGGCCTAGGGCAGGTGTTCACCCCACAGTTGTACTTGAAGGCCTTCATTTCTGGGGTGTCTTGAGACCTCTTGTGATAAGGGAACCTTGGCCTTTTTGAAGGATGGGTTTACAACTAGAGCGCATACTGGAAACTGTTGATGTGACAGATAAGTAAATGGTAGAGTGCCATTCTGGAGGGTCAGCTTCCTGGATGAAGATGTTCAGTTGAGGAAGAGCCCTGGTTTCAGACGTCAGATCCTCAGTCCACCAGGAGCCATAGTGTTCTCACCTTTGGGTGAGACTGGTTGCTGGGAGCCTCTTTTTCTGCTTTAAGTATCTGTCATATGAACAAGACGCCACCACCCCCTGCCACTGTTGACTTCCATTCTGCCAAGGACAAATCTGAGGTCCCTCAGATCTGTGCGCGCAAACCACCTTGACTTCACCACCAGGTGGCGTCATCCAGCAGTTCAGCCGGCCCAAATTGTCTGACGTGACACTTAGCACCGAAGCTCTTCCACACCCTGCTCCCTGCCCGGGTCTGAGAATTTCTCCCCTTGAGGGAGGGGTCTGCCAGCCCAGGTGAGGGCCCCTGTGAGCAGGGCCTGGGAGTAAATGGACCTCAGAGTGGGCCCTGAGGACAGGGACAAGAACAGGGGGGCAGGGGGTGTTTTCAAAGTGGCGAAGCCCAAAGACATGAACAAGCAGTTGCCAGCTGCTCTGCCTGGTGGAGGAGCAGGAAGACAGAGGCCTTTCAGACCAGCTCCCAGCCAGGGTAGACAGGCAGCTGCCCTCCAGCAAGTGCAGAAGCAGCCCCCAGCTGCACTGTTCCCTGCCATGCCAGCTTCAATATAGCAAAGTAGAACTGCAGCAAACCCGAGCATTCCTCTTCTCTCTCACCAGTCCTGCGATACCTACCAGGCTCTTTAATTTGCCAGGACCTTCACCTTCTGCCTTGGTGAGGGCAGGGCTCCTGCTATTGACCTGTACCCCGTTCGCTGTTGGGGCTGCAGCAGATAGACAGTGCCTGGCACGTGGTCGTTGTGCAGTAAATAGCTGCTCATGAATGACTCCGGCCCACCGGACTCTCCACAGTCCCTGTGGGCATGGGCATGGGGACAGAAGCTGGATCACCACAGATTTGCTGTCTTTGGAAGGGATTGGAACTACTGCAGTGAGCCGTGACAGGGACCCGGATGTGTTAGCTAGAGAGGAGGGTGAATTTTCACAGGAGACCGGCAGTCTGCTTGTTTCCGTCTCCTTGTGATTGTGCCCCAAGGGGCCACTGGGCAGTGTGGGACATTCTGAATCCTCACCCGGGGAGGGGCTTTGCCACTGACCTGAGGGTAGAGGCCTGGGTTCTGCTGGTGCACAGGAAGTGCCTTGACCCCATGGTGCTTCAGCCCAGAGTGCTGCGAGTGCCAAGGTCGAGACAGTGGCCCAAATGCTAGAGGGTACCAGCTGGCCTTGGGGTGGGTGCTCCCCTGGTGAGGCCACGCGCAGCCACGTGCTGGCAGGAGAGTGCCCTTGCCACATTGACAGCTTGATAGGAGTAAGCTGAAAGGCATCCTCCCTTTGGTCGTAGCGAGCAGATCCCTCGGGGTCAGGTCTCAGGCTTCCTGGGCACCAGAGGTGGCTGCCATGTGGGTCTCAGGCTCGCTGTGGCATCTCCATCTGGGGCACTGAGGGCTCCAGTGAGGGACCATGTGTGCATGAGTGAGCTCAAGCTTCCCAGCCTCTCCCGTGTCTGGGGCCTTTGGGGGCCGCATGGGTGCTACCCTCAGTGACATCGTGTCTCCTTGTGTTTTTGTCCAGACACCAGTTCTAGGGTTTCAGACCCACTTCGCAGCGTCTTTCCCGAAACGCACTCGGACTCAGCAAGCAAAGACGTGCCTGGCCACATTCTGCTGGACATAGACAATGACACGGAAAGCACCGCCTTGTGAAGAAAGCCACCTCCTGGCCGCGACCCCTCCCCTCGCCCCTGGGGTCAGGGCAGGGACCCTCTGTCTTTGCAGACCAACAGTGAGAAGCTTTGGGTGGAGGAGAAGCTCGCCACGCAGATCTTGGCCCTCCACACGGCCCAGGGAGTACGTGGTGGCCGCCACCTAACGCTGAATGACCTGTGTCTTGAAGAGCTTGGCTTTCTTTACTTAGGAAAGAAATCATGCCAAAAAGAATCAAAACCAGAAATACCTAAGGTGAGAAGAGTATTACTGCTGGGAAGTGTTCACACAGGCAGCACCAACAGCAGCTTGGAACGAACGGGAGGCAGCATGTTTACTCCATAATAAAACACATCAGTTACAAGCCAGCTTCTTCCTGCTACTCACGCTTCCAGCCTCGTGCCTGAGGAAGGCGGCTTCCCTCCCCCAGACTTGCTGCAGACCCCGTGTATTGAGTCTGGTCTTTGTCTCCCTCCGCCCTCTCAGTCCACGTGCATTGATGGTGACTGCTGGATCTGTCGCCTCCTTGTCAACTGGATATGACTGTGCCTTGGATTGCAAAATGTAGATGGAAATGTACTGTTCTTTTTTTTTTTTTTTAAACAATGTAATTGCTACTTGATAAGGACCGAACATTATTCTAGTTTTATGTTTAATTTGAATTAAATATATTCTGTGGTTTATATGAAAACTTGGTGATTCTTGGAGGAGTCTGTGTGTGTGTGTGTGTGTGCACATGTGTGTCACTTAACTAGATGGAAGTGTGGATGGGATTCTCAGGGCAGTAGGAATGTGACAGGCTGGAGGGAAGCCAGTGCCCCAGAGGCCTCCCAGACTGCTGTCGCTCAGCGAGCAGTCCACAGTCAAGGTTGCACCTTTGGTCTCACCGGTCCCGAACTCCTTTCTCGTTCATCTAGGGGACACAGCTGAGGGGGAGCTGCGCCAGAGGGGCTCAGCACCACAGGGCTAGGGCGTCTTCCAGGGGCTGTGATGCCACAGGAGTTCCCCCTTCTGTGTCAGAGCGCTGTCCTCTCCTGTTCCGAGCACCTTTCCCCAGATCGCAGGGCTTGAGCAGATGGGGAGTTGGAGCCTGGCGAGGCTGTCTCTGTGGTGTCCCCTGCCTGGGTCACATAGTGGCTTTCTCCAGGGTACGCAGGGTATGCACAGACTGAGCTGGTTGCCCGGGGCCGCCCCTCTGAGGCATCTGTGGGGCTTCCCTGCTCAGCCGCTGGGCGCAGCTCGAGCCTGACTTGACAAGGGCTGCACAGCTTCCTCTCCCTCCCATTCCTGTGGCCCCAGAGCACTCTTTCACTTGTTTATTATACTGATTCTGCTTATCACTCACTTTCCCTCCTTACTTTTCAGCATCTCCCCTTTAGCTATAGAACAAACATGGCCAAGAAAGCAGAGTTCTATGTGGGTTGCTGCTCAGTGCCGAGTCTGGCTGTACGCAGCCTGGTGTCTGAAGCATCTTAGAGGTGCTCCGCATGGCAGGGCTGACAGTTGGGGGACTTGGGACACACTGTTGTCATGTGGGTGCCTGGGAATGAGGGAGTCCACAGTGGCATTCTCCTGCATTCCCAACCCAACAAACCCTACCCTTGCTGTTTTAAGAAAGCCATTCTCCTGTTGTGACAGCCACCATCTTAAGAAAAATGAAAAGTATTTGGCCCTGTGTGTATCAGAGATAAACACCAGACAAGATGCTGTCTGCTGGAGGAGATCAGCCCCGCGGTGTGGGACCTGCTGGCCTGGTGTCGAATGTCTGGAGAGGTAAGTGCACTTTGAGCTTGTCTGCAGGCAGGGCTGGGGACAGCACCTGGATGCTCTTTCTTTCTTGTTCTCAGGACCTGTGATTCCTCCTGCTTGGATAGCGCCACGCTGCTTGTCCCCTTTGCTGTCACCACACCCGGCAGAGCCCTTCAGTCCTGGCCCCATCAGAGGCCGAGGAGCCTTCAGACTTCAGAGTGGCCATCTTGGCTCCCCAGGGAGGTGCTCACCTCTAGAATCCACCTTCCAGGTAGTTTCCTTCCCTTTTCTGCGCCCTTTCTTAGAAGGTTCTAGACCCATGTTTTCTGGCCTTCCATCCCTGCTCCCTTGCCTATACAATGTCAGGGGTAGGGAGCTATTCATCTCGCCACACGTTGTGGTTTCAGCTGTGTAGCATGCCATGGCCACTCCAGGAGTTCAGAGGTGTTGGAGTGACCCAGTCCCTGACCACCATGATGGCCCTGGTTCCCTGGAACTCCTTGGGTGGACCCCACTCCTTTATTGGGGGCTTCAGCTCCCAGCACATTCCTCTTTGACAATCCTGAGATTCCTTCTGGTTTTTTTTGCCTGGGTCCTGCTCCCACCATTCCCCACCTGCCTCTTACACATCCTGCTGACCGTGTATTGGCCCAGTGGTCTCGGGGACCTTGATCTCAATATCCTGCATCAGACGGCCACATCTCTGACACGGATGTTTCTGGACCAGTGCCTTCCACACAGGTAGAGCCAGGGAGGAGAAGGATGTATTGGTGTGAAGCCCCTGGCCTTGGTACAACCAAATGGCAAGAAGGATCCTAATGCAGTGACTGCCCCTCACAGCTGGAGAGAGCCCTGGATCCTTTTCCTAGCAGGCAGGACCCTCATCTCCCAGCGCAGTGCAAGCGGTCATGCAACCGCGTATAGCCGAGAGCAACCTGTGAGGGGAGAAGTTAGTGAATGTGGGGAGAGACAGAGAGATGAAACATGAGAGAGCATGCAACTGGTTTCAGAAGTCTTCCCAGCTTTTAGTTCATGTCTTCAAGGGCAGACTACATTTCTTGCCTCACGATTATTTGCTTTGCATAAACTTTTCTGGGTTTGTTTCTGTTCCCATTGACCAGATGCCTATTTGACACCTCCCGTAAAAGAGGCTCTGCTGCTCACTCTCAGGCATACGGCTGAATGACTCATGCAGGCAGACAGGCGAACACTCCTCTAACCCCCACTGGCCGTTCATACCCACACACGCATTCATGTACCTCACCTTGTGTGAACCGTCTGCTGCTGGTCATGAATAACCACATACTTAGATGCTTGTGACAGTAGAAATTGATCATTGCGCAGTTGCTGTGGGTCAGGAGCCAGGCACAGCCAGGCTGGGGCCTCTGCTGAGTCTCTCACAGGCCCCAGTCAGACATCAGCCAGGGCTACAGTCTCATCAACTGAAAAGAACCCAGTGCGAGGCTCCCTCAGATGGTCAGAATTCCTTTTCTTGTGGCTGTGCGGCCACGGTCTGAGGCCTGGCTCCTCACTGGCATCATCTGGAGCTGCCTACCGTTCCTGGATGCTAGCAGTACCTGACGTGACTCCTACTTTATCAAGCCACCACAGAAGGTCTGCATGAACCTGCCAGCAAGGCCGTCTTACATAATGTGACCGCCACAATACACACAGTGTGGTTGAAAATAGCGAATGCTTAGAAGTTTAAAAAAATGTATTAGAGGACATGACACATTGCCGTTGATCTCCCTCTAAACCCTTACTCTCGCTTCACACGCATGTCTCCCCTCGGTCTTGCCACTTCCTGAAGCAGTCCTGGAAGACTTTTTCGCGTCTTCAGTTGCACAGTTGTGGCTGCTCCAATGTCCTGAACCCATTCAACGCAGTAACTTTTTTGTGGTCACTGACTTTGGGGAAGAGTCAGAAGTTGAACGGCGCCAGGTCTGGGGAATGAGGACGCACCTCAGTGTTTTAGGAGCCCACATTTCCATGGCAAGGCACTTGGCAGTGGCATGTGCTGTATTTTTTATCAAACCTCTAGATAGGAAAGGACCTCACAGCTGCTTGAGAAAGTGGCAAGAATGAGGGGATGTGTTCAAGTGAGGAGAGCATTGTGAGGGGGTGAATAGCAGTGTCTTTGACCGTGATTTTAAAAATATGGACACTTGATGGGCCCTTTGGGGGTAACAACCACGGCACCCATCAGCAGCACTGCCGCAGTGTTGGTTAGAAGGAGTCACAGAGTCTGCCCACACTTGAGGGAGTTAGACGGGGTGAGGACCAGGAGGTGGCATCACTGAGTTACCTTGAGGCCTGTCTGCATACATGAAGACCACGTAGAAGGTGTGTGAGGGGAGACGGGGAAGAGCGCCTCACCAAGGTTGTTTCCATCCTCTGCTTGTATTGAACAGAGTTGTTTTATTTTGTTTTGTTGTTACAGGGGATCAAACTCAGGACCTTGCGCTAGCGAGTCAGGCCTGATGTCACCCTTGAAGTTTATATGCACATCAACAAATGACACTTGAATGATCCCCAAAATTGCATAACATTTCATACAGAAACAGCATTTTCCACAGAATTTCCCTTAGAATCGATACCAAGGTCTTACCAGTTCACTGCTTATTTTTGCTGTTCCCTGTGCTAACCGAGGGCCAGCAGCTTGGGGTGCCCGGGACAGCTGGGGACAGAGTGGGGCGAGACAGGGGAGATGGAGCTGTAGGGGGCCGCAGAGCTAGGGTAGGAGGGGGCCAGGGCGGAGAAATCGGAAGGCAAAGAATGAGGCGCACTGGGCCCTGAGATCAGAGATCAGGGCAGGCAGGGCCTCTGACTCGCGTTTGGGAGATTTCTGAGCAAGGGTAGGTAGGGAGCTGAAGAGAAAAGGATGTGCCGGGCCCATTTGGGTCTTCCATCCCTGAGGCAGCAGCGCAGAGCAGTTGTGTCAGAGGTGACCCTAGAAGCAGGACACCACCTAGGGGAGCTGGTGCTGGCGGAATTCAGGGCAGGCGGGCGGACACATTCTGATGGCTGGTGCTGGCCTTCCCATGCCCAGGAGTAGGGAGCCGGTCATAGGACAGCTCTAGGCACCAGTGTCTGTGGCCCTAGAGGCCGGGGACTGAGCCGTGTTCACAGTCACCTCCATGAACTCCGCCCTCAAGGAGCCAAGCCCTGGGCCAGACTGTTGACACCTGTGCTCGGTGGCCATGAGGCTAAGGCCAGAAAGCACTGGTGTCTGGAGGACGAACGTTTGTTCACCAGGCGCTGAGCAGGGCGTGGCAGGAGTGGCACATTCTGCCCTTAAGGAAGTGTTAGTCTGGCCCAGCCGACAGGTGAGCATTAATAATAAAATGTGTTTTGAAGGCCTACGTCTTGGGGCTGGGGTGCTGGTCAGAAGAGGAGGGAGAGAGCAGCACGAGGCCTGCTGCTTCCTTGTCTAAGCACAGAGACGCAGCCTGCTTCGCAGCATCGAGCCACTGTGCTGGATGCAGCTGGGACCCCGACTGTGCTCTGACCTTAGGGTGGCCAGGGAAACATGCGGGGGTCTTGCCAGGCCTCAGAGGAAGACAGTCTTCATGCTGAGAGTCCGGGAAGTACTGAGGGATCAAGCAGAGGGCTGGCTCCAGCGGTGGAGTGGTCGGGGAGACTCCTGCTGAAGTGCGTGTGCACCCCGACCAGAGGCAGCACAGGCTCAGGGTTGGCAGTGCTGAGGACTTGTGGAAGTCTGTGCCTCCTGCTCCCCTCCTCTCAGGCCCGTTCACCTGCCACACCCCTCGGGGGCCTGCCAGGAGCAGCTCCATGGGTCTGAATAGAAGCCCAGTGTCGGCAACCAGGCCCCAAAGGCCGCCCCTCTGCCGGCACTTTGTTCTGCCTCGGCTTTTGGCCGGTTAGCGCAGGAGCGACTGCATGGTCCTGTGGTTTCCTGTTTCCCTGAAGTCTGGAAATGGGGGTCCCCTGAGAAACTGGACCACTGCTCCACTTTGCAGTTGTGTTGGAGTACTGCGTAGCTCCCCCTCCCCCCTTCGGCCTTGGGCTAGGGGGAGACGGTTGTGTACCTGGTGGACACTGCTCCCTCAGTCATTTCTGAAGATCCTGCCCGGTCCCAAACCGAAAACCTGAGATGCTGGCTCTGCACACAACAGCGGATGGCTGCTCCCCAGTCCACAGCAGCTGGCCCTCAGCCGGTAGAGACTGCAGACACTTCCTTCTGGCTGCTTGGTATGGGGGAGCATCTCGTGGGAAATGAGCTAAAGAAACAGAATTGTCTAAGGCAGAACTTGAGAAGTGCGCGCGGTTGGTTACCTGATTTCTTATAAGCATGAGATTCAGGGCAAAAAAACTGCAATCTGTTTTCAAGAAATCATACCCAGGGGCAAGTACCATAAGGAAAAAACCTTTAGGATTCCTTTGAAGGAGAAAATACTGGGACAGCATGGTGGCCCTTGCCTGTGATACCAGCTCCTCCAGAGGCTGGGGAAGGCCAGCCTGGTAACTCAGCCAGACCTTATCCCAAAATGAAAAATAAGAAAGCTTAGGGATACAACTCAGCAATCCCTGGGCTCAACTTGCAGTACTGCAAAAAGAAGGGAGGGCGGGAGGAAAAGACCTAGATGTCCTGATGAGAATGGCTCATAAACACCTTTGAAGCCTCACAGTAAACAAACAAAAGCTTTATTATTTTTTTTTCTTTCATTAAAAATGTTGAAAACAGCATAGACACCTGGGTTCCTCACATCAAGCAAAGTAGCCCCAGAGGAAGATGGCACAGGTAATGCAGATGATACAGTTGATGTCCAGAAGGGTTTTCACCACGGGGCTTTCCTCCGAGGACATGAGGACAGGCTCCGCTTTACCTGGGGGCTCCTCTTTGCCCTTGTTCCCCATTCCACAGAGCCACAGGATGGCCTTCGACACTTTGGACTGCTTTGGGGTCGCATCACCTGAGAGGAGCCAGTGAAAGGAAGGTCGTAGAGGTGGCCACGTCTCCCAGAAGGGCACGGGGCACAGCCAGCTGCACTCCTGCAGCAGAAGTGTTCTGCACCTTCTCTTCCTTCCCTCAGTGTCCGCATCCACAGACTCAGCCAAACAAGGTAACGTTTGGGGGGAAACCATCTGTAGTGAATGTGTACAGATCTTTGCCATCGTAACAACTGTTTACATCGTACTGGGGGATGCATGCAGGTTTCATATAGATATGGCATTTTACACAAGGGACCCGCCTGCCCATACTCTTCAGCGTTCCTGGGGAGATCTGGACCAGCCCCCCACAGGTCTGCGGGATGACTGTATTCGTTAACACCGTAAGTTGGGAAGTCTGTTTAATTCTAGAAGATTGGTATTTTCAGAGTTTCACTGTCTTCAGACAAAGAGTTGCAGTGAAGCTGAGCCTCATACCAACTTGGGCAAAGCCACACAGCTGCTAAGCCGTGGCAGAAGTGTCAGCATGCACCTCTGTGTCCCCTTTATTACACTGCCTTCCAGGAGGCCGCTGGGAAGCGAGGACTTTTGTGGAAAACTTAGTTTTCTGTTTAGAGCTGGGGCTGTAAATGCAACTGTTTACAAGTCAGAGAGGTGATACATTTGAACCAGGGGAAGCACATGTGCATAAAAAGTACATTGAAACAGCCTTCATCTCTACCAGGAAATATGCTACCTCCATTTTTCTTCAAACACATGGCTTTCTGGAGTTTCCCACTTTCAGTGGACATGGGTTCATATCCACAATATCCAAACTAACAGAAGGACATAGCCCACATGGGGCAGCTGCATCCGCAGACACAGGAGCTCACTGTTACCACCTCATCCTCTGACAGAGGATGGAACTCACATTTAAATGAAACCATGGTCCCTAACCTTTTGTCCTTCTGTTAGTCAAAGTCCCTCCAGTCCCTGATCTCAAGGCTTCGGACTGTCATGGCTTTTGTTTAGTTGGGTTTGTGCTCCTGTGAGAATCTGATGCCTCTGTGATCTTAGGTGGAGCTCAGTCTGTGATGTGAGCCAGGAGGGGCTGCAGCTAAGACCAATGCCCACTGCTCATCCCCGATCTGTGAACCACAGACAGGTACCCAGCCGCAGCCAGGGTTCAGGGACCCCTGATTAGAACAGGTGGGCAACCCCAGAATATGTCCGCAGGCTGCAAGTGTGGGAGCACTAATTAGAGGGTGCAGCAAAGCTCCAGCTGAGAACAGACCGTTTTAGTGAACACCAACAGAAACCCATCAGAGGCTTCTCCTGAGAGTCACTGATCATCCCTTCAGGCAGTGGAGAATGGGGAAGACCCTGGATTTGGGATGCTAAAATTCCAAGTCTGTACCCTCTCTAGCTTGTGATTTGATAGGAAAATCTCCGCTTGAACGTAGAATGCTGCTTTTCAAGACTCCTAATGTAACTAAGGCAAGAGGCAACTCACAGCTGTGGGTTTTGGATGTGTTTTCTTGAACAATCTGGAACTGGATGTTGGTGCTGGTGGCTTCTGGGGTCCTGTTCTGAGAGGCGGTAGGAGGCAGGGGGGCTTCTGGTGGCACCTGCTCCTTCTGGGCCACTGGGTTGTGACGAGTGAACCAGGTCAGGCGACTGACCTAAGGAGTGGAGAGTGGTTGTGAGATATCGGCGGGTGCTGTGACACTTTCTTCACATACCCCCAGTCCCCAACTCAGCCTTCACACTGCCCCCAGCTGCTCTGTCTGCCCCTCGCCCCAGCCTGCAGCAGGCTTCGGCTCCCTCGGCTCCTCAGGGCCAATGCTCAGTTCTCCATCTTTCTCTGACAGTCCTTGTCCTTAGGCTGGGGTCGGCTGTCCCTCATTTTAGCCCTCTGAGCTTAGCACTGACCCCGGGGTATGGTGAGACCCAAGGACTGTCCGTGTCAACCCAGCCATTTCTCTAGCCGGAGAGATCGCATTGGTTCATTATTTCATGAATGAGCTGAAGGAATCAGGAAGTTAAAAAAAATAGAACAATAAAAGAATCATGAGGTTTGTTAGAAATCCCAAGACAGAAATACATGTGCTCTTTTTTTCCCTAGTCCTGGAGATTAAATTCAGAGCATGTACAGTGAGCAACATCCCTGGATCTTTTCTTATTTTTTTTCTTTTGAGATAGGGTCTCACTAAGTTTCCCAGGTGGGACTTGAACTAGAAATCCTCCTGCCTCAGCCTCCCAGAGAGCTGGGATGACAGGCATGCACCACCATGCCTGGCTTGAAATGCATGTGCCTTTAATCAGTGACAATCAAAGAAGCTGTGTGGCCGCATATGGGGCCTGAGAATCAGAACAGAAGTGGAAGGTGGATTCTGAGAACCTTCTCTGAGTCCAGCCCTGGACTTTTGTTTTTCTAAACATTCGGTCCTCTGGTGTTCTCGCGTTTTACTGAGAGAGCCGTTGGTTCAAATGTACCGTCTCCTTGGAGGGTGGCTTTGTGAGCCAGCTCACAGCACACACGGTGATCAGGGTGGCCGCGGACAGAACCATGGAGAAGTAGAGGTAGTGGATGTACTTCACCACAGCAGGCCGTTCGTCTGGCTGGTCACACCGCGGCTGAGGGTAGAGAAAGTCCAGGACCAGCCTGAGCAAGCCCAGCAGCAGGCCCACGATCAGGCCTGAGAAGGCACCCTGGAAATGAGAGCAAAACCACTTAAAGGCCACAGGGCTTGGGCCTCAGGGACTCCAAGAGCCTGGCTTTCTCACACCAGCGCTGCCCTCATTGGTGACTTGGAAGGGCAGAGCCGCTCAGCTGCTTCTCCTCCAGCAGGTGCTCTCTGCAGTCCTGGAGGGATCCCTCCTACCATGGATGCCTGGGTCACCCCTGCGCAAGCCCCTTCGTACGAAACGGCTGTCGTGCTCGCGTGTAACCTCCTGTCCTCCTGTGCACTTTAAACCATCCTAGTTACCTGTAACGCCTAAGACAGTGCGAGTGCTGTGTGCATACTGCTCTGCTCTGGCGTGGGGAGCAGCAGTAAGGAAAAGAGTCTGTACACGCTCAGTACATACGCAGTTCTTAAAGTATTTTCAGTCAGCTGCAAGTTGAATCTGCAGACGCGGAGGGCCAGCTGTAATGCGTCACTCGGCTCTCCTGTCATTATGAGTAATGACATCCCTGCTCTGAGACATCTTCCAGCCTAACAGAATGAGCAAGCCTCTTCTGCGAACCCCACTGCCCCATGTCTAGCCTCTCTGTACCTTCTGTCGCAGAGCTGCCCTCTCCCCGACACCCCAGGTCCAGCCGCCCTCAGGCTCCGGTCCCGCAGGTTCACCTTTTCATTAGCCCGCCTCCAGAAGCAGCCCATGACGAAGACCACGGCCACAGGCGGCTGCAGGTAGGAGCTGATGGACTGGATGTAAATGAAGAGCTGGCCTCCCTGGCTGGCCTGCACCACGGGGATCCACAGGATGGAGACCAGCACCAGCAGAATCCCGAACACCCTGTGCCGGCAGAGGCCCCGGATAAGGGCTGTCGCCCCAACCCCTCTCTCCTCTCCCCTCCACCCTCTTCAAGTAGCTGTGTGGCAGCCATCACAGTCCCTAAATGTCCCACTGGGTAAGCGTACCATCTGATAACTTTCAGTCAGTTTGCAGAGTTGTGCAGCCACTGCCACAATCCAAGCTTTTGGGCCTACGGCCACCCGACAGGTACTTAGCGGAGAACAAAGCTTGCCTTTTTGTATCCTTTCTTACAAGTCTCAGTTCAGATCGCTCCTCAGCTCTGCACAGAGGGGTGGCGGTCACTTGAGAAGTGCCTGTCTAGGAATTGGCTGGCTCGGATTGATCAGCTCTGAGTTCACGAATCTCCTAAGGTTCCCACGGACGGTCACTCAGTCTCCAGCCATTGGAGTGTGGAGCCCCATGGCGGAGACCACAGAGGCTGTCCTCTCCCGGCAACAAAGCCACGGCCAGCCAGGAAGATCCCAGACCTGAGACACCAGGCCTGAGACAGTGATTAGCAGACGCCCCTGCTGGCCAGTCCTTAAAGCCCCTCCTTACCTTTGGAGGTGGGCCATCAGAGTGTGCCCCTCCCGCTGCCTAGTGTCTCTTCCTCTGACTTTTCAATCAAAGCTATTCTTTTTCTGCTAAAAATTGAGAACATCCATCACACCAAAAAGTTCCCTCAAATTATACTTTGTTGCTTCTCTCATCCTAAGCAACTGCTTATCTGCTTTCTGTAGTTTGGGCGTTTCCTATAAATGGGGTCTTGTGACAGGTGGTCTTTTGTAGCTGGTTTCTTCTGTTTTTGAGGTTCATCCATGCCACGTGTACCAGTATGGGTGAAAGGCACACCGTTGCTATGGACACACCATCGCGTGTCACTATCCCTCATTGGCTGATGGACGTTTGGATTGTAACTCTTTCTGTGGGTGTGAAATAGTGCTTCTATGAATGTGTGTATGTAAATCTCTGTGCAGATCATGCATTTTCATTTTTAGGAGTGCTAACTGCTGAGTTACAGAGTGGGTTTATGTTTAATATTGGAGACAGGGTCCTTTTTTATTTTTTATTTTTTGTACTGGGGATCGAATTTGGGACCTTGCACTTGCACGGCAGGTGGCGGCATCACTGAGCTAAATCTCCGGCCCTACGTTTAACATTGTAAGAAACTGCCAAACTGTTTTTGGATCATTTTATGTTTCCACCCATAATAGATGAGTTCTAGTTTCACCATGTTGTCTTTTGATTATAGCCATTCTAGTGGCTGTGTGGTGGCATCTCAGTGTAGGTTTAGTTTGTATTTCTGTCATGATGAATGATGAACACTTTTCATGGTCTTATTTGCCATTTATGTAGTGTCTTCCTTGGTGGAATGTCTATTCAAAGCTCTTGGTTGTTGGTCTTGCTATGTTTTTGTGACTTCCTCATATACTCTACAAGTCCTATATCATAATGTTTTCTCCCCATCTGTGACTTGTCTTAATTTTCTTAATGGTGTCTTTCATTGTGGAAATGTTTTAACTTTTGATGAAGCCCAGTGTAACACTTTCATTTATGGATTGTGCTTCGGGTGTTGTATCTAAGAATTCTTTCTAACTCATGGCTGAGACAAGCCTCAAGGTGCATTTTCTCCAGGATGCTTTCTGCGTATATTTTACGTAAGGTACCAGGAGCTGAAACCAGGGGTTTGTACTGAGTTACATCCCTAGCCCTCTTTATTCTTTAATTTTGAGACAAGGTCTTGCTAAGTCACTAAGTTGCCTAGGCTGGGCTCAGACTTGCGGTCCTCCTGCCTCAGCCTCCCGAGTGCTGGATTACAGGTGTACGCCGTCATGCCCCGCTTCCATGCCACCAACTGCAGCTCCCCTCATTAGATTTCAGGGCTGTGCAGAAGCCCTGGATAGAAACCTTTTCCTGCCAAACACTCTTCTCTGTACCTGGCTCTCGCCCTGCAGCCCTCAGGTCCCAACCCAAGTTGGGTCACTGCCCATGAGTCTCTAGGTCTCCGACTCCAAACATTCACTAGGGCTATGCTTGTCCATTGTCTTCCCCTCCTCCGCTAGCTCCTTGATGACGAGAGCTGCATCTTTTTCTCTGCTCTGTGCTGCTGCTGGTGCTTAGTGAGTCCACTTGGGATTGAGTGTGTCTCCATGCAGCCCTGAGGCCTCCTCTTTGCTATCCGATGAGTTGCCGGTTGGGCTTTGCCTCTAGGATGGGTGAGGGTGACTCGGTTCTCCCTTCCCTGAGGCCCTGGGTGTTTCACTCGCCCTGAGGCCTTACCTGCCCACCACCATGAGCTCCCTCTCAGAGGCCCGGGGCCGGATGTGATTCCAGAGGTCCATGGTGAAGATGGTGCTGGCACTGTTAAAGATGGAGGTGAGGGAGGACATGAGAGCCGCCACCATCACAGCCATCATGAGCCCACGGAGTCCTAGAGGCAGAAGGGAGGGCTATGGGCCTCGGGCTGTCTGTCAGCAGCTTCTGCCTTCACGCCTGACCCTCCTGCCCCAGCCCAAAGCTAGTGGTCCCATGGGCTGTGCTCTGAGGAGGAAGAACCTCAGTGAGGATGACGGGCACAGCTGTGGTTAGGAGACCCTGGACAGGGCTTGGGTTCTGAGGCTGGACTCTCTCCCCACCCTCAGCCCCTCCATCATGTCCCCACCTCAGGCCAGTGTGATCCCCGCTGGGTGCTCCGGGGACTGTGGAGGGGCAGAGGCGTTACCTACGGGCAGGAGCTCTAGCACGAGTTTGGGATACGCGATGTCAGAGCAGCCCGAGGGGTTGCTGCAGACCTTCTGGCAGATTTCCGGGTGAGCACAGGCCACTTGATCTGGGAGGAGACACCGGCGTGGGTGGAGTTGAGCCTCACAAAGGCCAGCACCAGACACTCTGTGGCTCAGTGAAATAGAGAAGAGCCCAGCCCTGTAAGCTGTGACCTTGTTGCTTGCCCTTTCTGCCCTTGAGCTGCCCTCTGGAGAAGTGGGATCGTGACATAAGATTGGCCTAACAGCTGGCTGAGAGAGTGGGTGCTAGGCACTCAGCACATATCACACCCACAGGCAGCGCTGAGAACACAACGAGGACACCCAGGGCCTCCCACCAGCATCATACGCCGGCGTCCCCCAAGGGGACAGAAGCAATTCATACCTGGACCCAAGTTCCTCACGCCCCACACACGGCAGGCACTTTTTCAGTACCAAGGATCAAACCCTCAGCCTTTTTTTTTTTTTTTTTTTTTTTTTTTACACGTTATAGGAGTGTGGCTATAATTCAAAGATGATCCCCCCCAAATCTCCTGCTTCTGGTGTTGTGTCCTTGACTTTTTTTTTTTTTTTTTTTTTTTTTTTTATTTTTGAGACATGGTCTCACAGAGTTATTGACTCCCTCAGACTTGGTTTAAATTTGTGATCTTCCAGCCTCAGCCTCCCAGACTACTGGGATTACCAGATAATTTTTTTCCTTGCAGTATTGGGGCTTGAATCCAGAGACTTCCCACTGAGCGGTATTCCCAACTCCCCCACTCTTTTTTGTTTGTTTTGAGACAGGGTCTTACTGTGTAATTCAGGCTGGCCTTAAAAACTCACTATATAGGCTAGACTGGCGCCAAACTCACAGCAAACCTCCTGCCTCAGCCTCCCAGAGTCTGAACAGTTTTAAATTTTCTCTGTCTTCTCAATAGCTCACAGAATTCAACAGCTGCTCCTCATTTTATACTCGAAGTCTCCACCCTACTAGCTGTAAATTTCTGTATCCTCTTTCAGCTTGTCTGTGTCAACTGTTTGCTCTCCTGAGCGACTCTGATTCTGCAACGTAAATCCACCTAGTCACCCTGGAGCCTCTGCCGTTTCTTCCTCCCCCTCTCGTATCACAATCTACACTGCTGCTAGGTTTTCATATGGTTTGTTTGTCCCTAGGGTTCATGTGTCAGGACCTGGGTCCTCAGTGTGGATGAAAAGTACATGGCCTCAAACTCTGTTTCAGACAAAATGGAGAAGGCAGACTAAAAATACTTGGTGAGAAGTATTGGGAAGAAATAATCTTATTGAGAATATCTTTCAGAAAGTCAAAGTTCTTGGCTTTTTCTTACTCTTCTGGGGAAACTCAGATTGAAAATATTTGCATTCTCATCAGCAGAACCCTGGAAGGGCCTCCCAGCTGGGCCTCGGGTCTCCTGTGAGTTCAGATCCGTGCCTCGTGCCCCTCGTTCTGGGTACACCGAGAGGGGCAAGGGGCTCCCGAGGTATTTAATTGTTAACTACAGAGTTCTTGTTTTTCCTACCAGGAATGCAGCTTTCAACCGTGGTGCTCGTGGCAGATGCAAAGCCTGGGAGGCACCCTTGTTCAGAAACCGCCTGATTGTGCATCCGAGGGTGCTCCTTACAGGGGACTGCGGGCTTGGCTAAGTCCTAAATGACGGCAGCAGCCGGCTCCTATCCAAAGTGAGTTCTCTTAGAAAACCTCAGACCTCTGACGCTCGAAATGTCAAGTCCAGACACAACACAGCACAAAACCTATGTAAAATCTACAGGTAACACAAAACCTTCCCTCTACAGTTTGGGCACTTGCTGAAGGCCCACCCCGACTCAGACGCTCATAAACACTGTGCGGATGCCCCATTTAATGTTCACAACTCTTCCGGGAAGATATTGTTCTTGTCCCTATTTATTTATCTATTTGTTCTTTTTTTTTTTTTTGGTACTGGGGATTGAACTTGGGTCCTTGTGCTTGAGAGGTAGGTGGCGGCGGCACCACTGAGCTAAATCCCTAGCCTGAGAGAGACTTGAAATACACAATGCCTGCCTTACTGTCCCTGCCTTGCTCACTAGCAGTCCTTTGCCCTTATTCCTGGAACCATATGGAAGAATGTAAAGTCTTCTGGTTCGTGGAACGCAGTTGTGTCTCCTTTACCAGCAATTTTTGGTGGGCTGATTTGTGGGGTTTTTTTTGTTTTGTTTTTTTTTGGTACTGGGGACCAAACTTGGGACCTTGCACTTTTGAGGCAGACAGCGGCAGCACTGAGCTAAATTATTCCTGGCCCTGATCAGCTGGTTTTTAAGAGCTGGCCAGCGTATCATTACTGATCTTCCCTTTGGACATGATCTGCTGTCTCAGAGGCAGCTTTGCAGGCAGACACACATGGCTAAGGCAGCGTGAGTCCTGTAAATGCCAGTTTGTGGCCCCAGACTCCTCCTGTTTCCTCACCCCTCACACCCAGCCCATCTCCAGTCTGCCAGCTCCACCCTAAAGTACCTTCCAGACCGTCCACCTGGATCAGCTGCACCTCCTCAGAGAAGATTTCCCCGTCAAAAGGAGCCCTGTCTCACATTCCTGTGACTGCTCCCTGCACACTTCCTTCTCACAGCACTTAGTATAACTCATCGTTTCCTCGTGTGTTTATGTATTTCCGTTTCCCCACAGGGTTCTGCATGTCCTTTTCACCTGTGGACCCTCAGGGTCTTCGAGAATAAGACCTGGCAGACGATCTCCTCTCAAAACATTTGCTGGATGCATAGAAGAGTACGAAAACGGCGGGTGAGCGGATTGCGTTCTTGAACTTCAGTTTCTTTCATCATAAAGACAGAGGTAAGGATAACTTATTTACATCCCACAGTCATCCTGAGGGTGAGAAGAGGTAATACAGGTGTCCCTCGGTGTCCACGGCCCCCCGCGGGTGTCCGAACCTGAAGAGCTTCGGCCTTTCTATAACACGTCATAGCGTTTACGTGTGATCCATGCACACATTTCTGTGTGCTTCAGATGGTGCCTAAATGACTTACAATGCCCATCCGATGGACACGCCTGGTAAGGCACTGTTAGACTGTGTGGTTAGGGCAGTGGTAAAGCGAAGGTCTGTATGTTCAGGGCAGATGCAGTGTTTCCATGTACTTCGGTCTGTGCATGGCTGAATCTGTAGATGCAGGAATTCAGTGGACAGAGAACAGCCGGGTGTGGTAGCGCACGCCTGTAATCCTAGCACTCGGGAGGTTGAGGCAGGAGGATCACTGTGAGTTTGAGACCAGCCTGGGCTACATAGTTAGTTCCAGGTCAGTTTCAACTACATAGTGAGACCCTGTCTCAAAAAGCCAAAACCAAAACAAAACAAAACAAAAACAACTGTACAGAGAGCCAACTGTACATGTGCAGAATAATAATTGTGAACACTCGCCCACCTAAGTGTGTCGGTCTGTCTTGTGTTACATGAAAATACTCTTCACAGGCTACTTATGCAAGGGGGAGATTTATGTTGGCCTCTCAGTTCCAGAGGGGCAACTCAGTGGCCCTGTTAGTTTGGGCCTCTGGTGAAGGCAGCAGAGCAGAGCGTGGGTGGGAGCAAGGGCTCAGATCTTGAGCCAAGAAGCAGAGAGACGGAGGTCAACACCATGGTGGGGCCATCAGAGCCCTACAGTCTGTCCCAAGGACCTTTCCCTGCTGGCCTAGGACCTTCGGCCTGGAGCCACACCTGAGGGTGCCCGGCACCCCCAGCACCGCCAGCCCAGAGCCCATGCCCTACATGTGGACCTTCGGGCCCTCATCCAAGCTATAGCAGAGTGCTTGCGTGTGCCAGGAGCTGCCGTACGCCTGGTAAGAAACTTTAAATCTTGTTTTACAAGTGAAAGAATGTAGACAAGGAGAGATCACTAGATATGCACAACCCTCGAGTAGCAGAGCCAAGGCCTGGGCCCAATCCCAGAATTCAGTACCGCAGGCAGTGCCCTGACTTCCCCTCTCCAACTCTTACCTTCTAATTCTTGTTTGTTTTTTTGATACAAGGTCTGGCTATGTAGTTCAGGCTGGACTCAAACTCTCAGGGATGCTCCCGCCTCAGCCTCCCCAGTGCTGGGATTACAGGCGTGAGCCACCACACCCACTTGCTTCCTAATTCTTAAGGGTTCCTCATTATTTTGACTGAAGTAGGTTAACAGAACCTTTCACACTACCTTTTTCAACTTCTGTATAGCGTTGTGTAGGGTGAGGCACAGGGGAGCAAACTCTGCTGCATGTTCCCTGTAATGGTTGTGGAGCCCTGGTGGACGGAGGGCAGAAGCTCACTGGAGAGAGGGAACTTCCTCCGGTTCAGAGCCCTGACTTCTGGTGACATCGCCTGTCACTCAGTTTTGTTTATCCCCAGGCTACAAACGTATCCCTTTATCATGTTAAAAAAAAATGAAAGCATATTTTCTAGAGGCCTTAAAACCCTCTGATATTTGTTAAGAAAAGTACACAGAGTGGGTCCCGTTGGACCAGTTACCTAACCACGGAACTCAGACCCTAAGATATGAGGTTCCAAGGTGCACCCGACTTCAGTGGGCTCTGGGATGGAAGGGCCCCGTGAGTCCCCACTCGGCCTGACCAGGTCCCCACAGCCCCTGCTCTCAGCCGTGCCCAGCGCCCGGACCCCGGTGTGCAAGTGGCCGGCCAGGCACTAGGGTGCCTACTGGCCTCCCCCGGTGGGCTCCTCACCTGGAAAGAGGACGCGGCTGGCCATGCCCGGGAACACCATCAGGAAGAGGGGCAGGACCTTCAGGTACGCAGCCACCAGCGAGCCTCCTTTGGCGTGGGACAGGCTCTTGGCTGCCAGACTGCGCTGCACGATCACCTGGAACACAGGGCGGGAGCTGCAGACTCCCGAGGGCAGAGCCGTCTCCCGGCTTTGCTCTTCCTGCCTCAGTCCCTGCAGTCTGGGCAGGGTGGCCGTGGCTGTGTCCCTCCCACAGCTTTGTCCAGGGTAAGATCCGGCCACTCACAGTTCCCAGCAGAAGGCCCTGCTCCTCTCCTCCTCCTCCTCAGCTAGGAAGAGTGCTGGGACAGTCCGAGCAGAGCTCTTCTTAGAAATCCTTCCCGATGAAGGCAAAGGAAGGAGGCGCCCTGCCCTGTGGCCTCCTGGAGAATTGTGAGCCTCGGGGTTCTGCGCTAGTCCTAGGACACGTTTTGAGAGTGAAGTCGTCTCAGAGGAGGGGAAACCAGGAAGTGCAGGAAGGGAAGTGATTTCCAGTGAGCCCTTTGTCAGCGCTGCCAGGTCTGGTTTATGGTGTGAAGTGCGGGATGGAGACTGAGCCTGGGTGCGAGTCCTGCCTCCCACTTCCCGACTGTGACTTTGAGCAGGCAGCTTTGCCTACCTTTGCCTCATTTCATCTGCGAAGGAGGTAAAATCAGGGCAGCTTTGACAATTAAATGAGGTAAAAACCTTAGACTACTTTGCTGGTGTCTGACACGTACTAACTGCCCATAAATACTGGTTACCAGTGTCCACCCCTGGCTCTCGGGCACAGAAGCTCACAAAACTACTTTTATGTTGAAGCTGTCATTTTTCCTGCAAGTAAGGAGAGTTCGTACCAAGTCATCAAGTACCCTTAACGGGAAGTGCGCCCAGAGGTGGGCTTTGTCTGAAGCCCACACCACAGGGTGACAGGTTATGAAACCCCACAGCTCGTATGTACATGGATTCGGGGGTGCTGGGCGGGGTCACCTCTGGGAAGGCATTGTCAGCGGGACCTATGGGGCCGAATCCCAGCAGAGGCACCAGGGTAATGGAGGGGGATGCAAAATAGGCGACTTTTCCAGTGACCTGTGCAGTCGCAGCAACACAGACTGAGCCAGGTGGACATGTGCCACGGACAGGTACCCGAGCCCCCTGGACCCACCTGAACTCAAGAAACCCTGGTCACAGCTGGCCACCCCATGGAGCCATCCCATGACTGTCAAGCTAGAAGGGACAGTTGCTGAGTGGTTGTTGATAAGTAATGTCTCAGTTTTTTAAAAAAAGGGTGAAGTAAGAGGAATAAAAATATAATCCCACTGTGTGGAAGGAGGGAGTTTTGAGGAGCTACATCTTTTTTAGTGTTTATTTTTTATTTTAATTTTGCTTTTCTGAGATAGGGTCTCACTAGGGAGCCTAGGCTGTACTAAAACTTGGAATCCTCCTGCCTCAGCATCCTAAATGCTGAGATTACAGGTGTGTGCCCAAGGAGCTACATCTTCAGTAGTGGGATTATTATTTCATTGAGGTACCAAAATAAGGAGACAGGAAAGAGCTCATAGCTTCATGAAACAAAGTTCTTTTTACCGGAGGTCTGAAGCTGTCACTGAGAAGAACTCTGGCTTCTATTACCATGGAGGGTGTCTCCAACAAGCCTTTAAGAGTTAGCTGAATAATTTTCAGTCCAAGTTGTGCTGCTTGAAAACCCACAAGCCCAGGGAGTAGGGTGTCACCCTGTGCACTTGCTCCAGCCTCGCAATGGAACACACCTCCCAAGAATGCTAGCAGAATGAACAGAGATGAACAGCTCAGATCAGAGACTGGGAAATCATCTGGCAATCATAAATGTGTAAGTGGCATCACTCTTATCGTCACTGTTTTCCTTTTGTACCTCTGCCTCAGGTGATCTGAAACATCTTGCCCCATGGACCACACATGTTGATTTGTCTTTCTTGCATTCTGCACAAGCCCCAGGGAAGGGCTACCAGTGACTCATGTTTCCTGGGCGTCCTTTGGACTCTGGGCTCTGGCTCAGCAGAAACCCTTATGGCTGACCAAAGTCCAAGGGCTGGAGAGGGGTTGGCTGCGGGGCCCTTTTGCCCCCTGGCATGTGGAAGATCGAGTCCTCTTGGACTAAGTCCTCAGGCTCTTGTGCGACACGGGCTGGGCTGGAGGTGGCCTTTGCGGGGCACATCCTGGAGTGAGGGTGTGCAGAGCCTCTAGTAGCTATTACTAACATAAGCTGGGGAATTGGGTCGAGAACGTGACATAAGCCAGAGTAAGGACGTAAGTGTTTCTGATGGTTTGTCTACTAAAGGTTTCTGCAGCAGAAAGATATGACCAAATCCCTCCTGCATCCCTGTTCTGTGACTGTCTGTAATCCACTTAACAGTTGAGGAAATGGGGGCTCAGAAAGGTTAACCAGTGTCCCAGAGTTCTGATGCTTGGGCTCAGTTCCAGACCTGTTAAGTTTAAAGCCCACGGAGACAGCCTGGATCTGTGGTGTCTCGTCGCCTCTTCTACCTGAGATTTGCTCAGGGTTAGTAGTAAGCCTGTCTCTGAAAGGGCCACAAATTACTGTCATGTGTCCTGGCCCATGGGTAGGACCTCTGTGTTGTTACCGGTGAGGCGCCCTGCTTTGGTTCAGCTGTCTGACCCTATGACAATTGCTTTACCTAAACTCTCCTCATCCTGGACCATGCAGTGCAGCTCCCAAAACGGTGCACAGATCTGGTCTTTCATGGACCAGAGAAAAACATGGGAACCGGTGCCACAGTCCCTGGTTCAGAGTCTCTGCTGTCTTCCTGCCTGTGGGTGTTGGCTCTCTTGGCCTTATGCAAGTCCGTAGAGAGCTTCTTCCTACACACAGACAAACGTGACTGTCCCGCTCCTACCCACACCTGCCTCACTGCACTGCTTTTTACTTTTCTCATTTCTCTCTCCACACTATCTCTCTGGCTGTTCCCTGTGCCGCAGACTTTCTTCCTCCAACAATCTCAGGGAGCACTCACTGTTCTCTGTCCAAGGTAGGCAGTATAGAAGTCCCACCAAAATAAAAAATAAAAACAGAACTACCATGCAATTCAACAGTCTACCATGGGGTGTACATCTCCAGAGGATATGAACTAAGTATGAGGAAAAGACCCTGCACGGCCATGGGCACCGCAGCACAATTCATAACGCCACAGCGTGGAATCAGCCTCGTCCAGCACCAGATGAGCAGTGAAAGCCTATGTGTGTGCGCGCAGTGGATACTGCTCGGCACGGAAAGGGTCAGATCTTGTCCCTTGCAGGGAGATGGAGAGGCCAGGAGAGCACAGTGTGAAGTGAAATAAACCAGGCCCAGGAAGAAAAGCACCGCACGGTGTCCCTCATACACGGGATCTCAGAAAGCTGAGCTCAGGGAAGTAGGGTGTAATCGTGGTGAGGGAGAGGAGGGGATCGGGCAGAGAGGCTGGTTGGCGGAGCAGAGCCACAGGTAGAGAGAGGGGACGTTCTACTGGTAGACGGAGGGCGCCATGACACGGAAGAGTACTGCTGCTTAACAATATCGAATCACTAGGAGAGAGGACCTCAGATGTTCTCGTAACGAAGAAATGATAAATGTTTACCACAGTAGGTATGCTGAATACCTTGAGTGATCATTACACAGTGTACGAAGGCCTACTATCACGCCGTACCCATAAAGATGTGCAATTATCTGTCTGTTAAAATTATACCCTTACATGTTTAAAAACCTAATAAATCCTTCAAAAAGTCTCTGCTCAAAGCAGTCACAGCTCTCCTTCCTCATCACCCTGTTTTAATTGTGCTCCAACACTCTCGATCCCATTTACTTCACGCTGTCTTTTAAAAAACGACATCTTTTAACATCTCACATGATAAACTTAACTGTCGTCTCCATCAACCCCTAGAAGCAGGGTGGCTCTGTGCAGGCGGAGGCTTTGCCGGATTCCTTTGCTCCAATTTCTAAGCGCCCAGGGGCTGCCCGGTACACCGGACGAGCCACATTCAGCTGCCTGCTGCACGTCTGGGGCAGGAGCGATGCCTCCAGTGTAATCTCAGCCTCCTCCCCTTTCCCTATCAGCCCTTCCTGGACATCAAACAGGACGACACATTAGGCAGCAGCTTTGGGTCTGCCCTTTGTGTTAGGAGGAGCGAGACGCACAGCAGCACGGAGAGCAAGAAAGACTGGAAGTAGTCGGGGAGATGGGAAAACACAGATGAGGACAGCAGGGGGAGAGGACAGGAGGGGGAGCGCATCCACGCCAGCCGCCAGGCCTACGGCTTCCGGCTGTGCTCACTCGGCCGCGCCCATACCTGGTCTGTGCACCAGTACCACAGAGACGGGACGGACATTCCAAACAGGATGCCCGGCCATGGGAGATCCGACGTCACCGGATCGCGGAAGATGTGGAAGGCATCCTCTCGGGGCAGCCCACAGCTGCCGTTGGCGCTCCGATTGCTAGCCAGGGCCAAGAAGTACTTCTCCTTTAGGCCTTCCATGCCCCCAACCGCAGCAAAACCTAGAAGCACAGAAAGCCTGAGTCTTCCAGGAACTGAGAGGGGTCTGGGGCATATGACAAGAGGGCAGATGGCTCTTTGGGGGCTGTTAACCCTGTTTTTTTCTTGTCCTGGGTAGTTAACCATGGATTCTTGTCTCAGGATAATGTTTCTAAATGCATAGGACAAAATAGAGAGTTAGCTGGGCACGGTGGCACACACCTGCTATCCCGGCACTCTGGGAGGCTGAGGCAGGAGGATTGCACGTTCAAGCCCAAATAGATTGAAAGCAATCATCAAAATATAAAAGTGTGCCAATAATTTGTTTGCCTCATTGAACAGTAAGATGCAGCAGTGGGTCTAATCACTGATTTAGTTAAGTTGCGTTGAAGACAAAAAAACATTTGAATACATCAGCAACAAGTTTCATGTAATATAAAAACACTTGGAATAACTTAGTGTCAGAATCTTAGGTATTATTCCTGTCGCTGTTGTGTGTAGCTTACACTTATAATGGGAAGATGGTTATTTTTAATTATAGATTTATGTAAATAGAGGTGAATTTTTTCCTCCAAATTCATAGGTGCCCGGAATTTGGTCTGTGGACCCCAGGTTTGGATCTTCACCTAAGAAAGTGTTCCTTTGCCTCTGGACCCCTCAGAGGCCCGGCTCACGGTGGTGAGTGGGAACGGGGTGTGTGGGTCTGAGCTGACTGCCTCCTGCTCCGTAAGTGGGGAGAATACGTCACCCCAGCTCCTGGGCCTGGCACAAGGATTGAAGGGGACGAGACCATGAAATACCTGGCAGGGCTTCTGGCACGAGAGGATGCTAGTCTCTAAATTATTTTTTGGCCATGGTGGGGTTGGAATGATGCTTTTGCCCATTAAAAAAAAAAAAAGCAAGTGAACTCTTTCCTATAAAGGACACTGGGATGGACTCAGATTCGTGTTTTCAGCCAGCCTGTGTATTGCACTTAACAGGTACCAACAAATATTATTATAATGTTAAACAAATTACATGACAGATATTATTATAATATTATAAGGGGGGAGCAGTGAATTTCATCCAGCACATGGATCGTAGTAGAATCATCTCAGGAAATGTAACGCTTGTACAAATCACCCGGGAATTGTCAAGTCGAATTCTGACACAGCCCGTCTGCTGAAGGCTGCCGTTCTGGTTTGCTCACGACCACCCTGGTGATGGGGAAGTCACTGAGTAGCAGCCATAAGGGACCTCGGGTACCAAGTGAAATCCACTGTCCTCTCAACACGAAGAAGCTGCATTGCGTTGAATAGTAATCTTTTTTTGGTACCAGGGATCGAACTCAGGACCTTGCACTCATAAGGCAGGTGCAGCACCAGCGAGCTACGTCCACGGCCCTTGGATTTTAATCTTGAGTCACTAAACTCCCTTTTATGGTTAGGTTTTTAGTTCTTGTATTTTTTTCTAGGTAACTGGTCCTGAAATGTCTGCAAATAATAATTGTACCTCTTTCTTTTCGATGTGCTGTAGGTCTCAGGTTTTATTTTATTTTGCACTAAATAATAAATAATAAGAGAATGTCCTTTTTTAATTCTGCCAGGATTACTTCTAATGTTAAACAAATATTCTAATTTCTTCTTTAGAAATTGAACTATTAAGATTTCCTTTTATAAAAAATTTTAAAAATAAAGATCTCCTACTTTCTCTTGAATGAAATTAAATAATTTGTACATTCTAGGAAAACCATGAATTCCAAGTGTATTTTCATATTTATTAACATAAAACTATGCATTCATAGTATTATAATTTTTGCCCTTTCCTTTTCTCATTCCTAATTGTATGCATTGTTTTTCTTTCCTTTAATTTGATTTGCCACTATATTTTACTGGTTTGTTTTTTTTTTTCAAAGACATAGATATGAAAGTAACCAGTTTTGCAGTTTTCTCAATTCTAATTCATTAATTTGGGCTTATATGGATATAAATGTTTTTATAGGATTACAACTTTTGACTTTATTAACTATGCAATATAATGTTCTCATCTTTTTTTCTAAATAATTATTTACTTTTGAGGCAGACAGTCTCACTGTGCTGCTCAGGATGGTCTTGAACTTCTCACCTCATGTGCTCCACCCACCTGGGCTTTGCTGAGTTCAGGCCCATGCCAGCACACCAGCCGTGCAGCGTTATTTCCTCTTTGACCCAAGCACTATTAGGAGATGGCTTTAAGTTTCTAACTAACCATAGGAAAAACAAATTTATACTTTCCTAACAAGTTAGACTTTTTTGTTGTTTTATATGAATAAGGTCATTTGAAAATATGTGCCTAGGTCTTTTTTGCAAATTTTTATTAATTTTTCAAGGATTGCTTTTTATAAATGGTTCTACACATATTAAGGAAAAGGTACATTCACAATAATTAGAATGCTTATTCATTTATAGCTTCTAAATTCTTATGTATGTTTTGTTCTGCCACGTGTTAAAGTATTTTAGAACCATTGTATTTCTGTCAAGTACTGTATTTTTAACATCTTTTACTTTTGTGTATCCTACCACAACTTATTTAAGACACAAAGGTTACATCTTCATTATCAATTTTGTTTTTTAATATAAAATTAATTCTCCCTCTGATTAATACATTTGTCCTTATGTCATACTCTATTTACCCATGACACTTAAAAATTAAATCAAGTGAGATTTTCTTAACCCAAACCAGGTATGTAACATTTTGCTGAGAAAATAAACAATATATAACTAAGTAAAAGAGTAGTAAAAGAAACAGCCATGTGTGTCCACCTCACAGACTGGTAGTGACTCAGAAGCCTTCCACCAAAAGGAAATTTTATGTCACTTTATGTTGTCATAACTAATGATTTGCATTTTTATTTTCTCACTTTGGTTGTGGTTCTTTTATTTCTTTGCAAGAAACTTACACATACACTCCATAGCCAAAGGTTAAGATTTGTAAGAATGTCTACTAGACTTTTGTATTTCTTCTTCGTGGTGTTTCAGCTTTTCCTATTTGATGAGAAATTTAGCACATGAACTGAGGCAAGAGATTGGGGTGTGGAAAACTTGCTGGGCAAGGGGGTGTGACCTGTCAATCATGGAGATCCAAGCCTTACACCTGGAACCAATCAGAAAGTACTAGAACTCAAGCAGGTTTTTGACAGGCTGGCCTGGGCCTGAAGTCAGCCTGAAGAGTGGGAGATACCCAAGATGGCCGCCACTGAGCTCTTGGCCATTGTGCTCTGTCTCACGGTGGTCTGCTCACACCCTGAAGAGTGTTATTCTTTTCATACCTTTAATTGGCCTGCACTTGCTCTTTTTCTTTTCCTTCCTCTAATAAATGTAAAACTTTTTATGCTTGCTTTGTTCATTTCTTTTTCAGGACAAGAAGAACCTAGAAGCAGTCTCTAGAAGGAGTCCCCATCACCTGACAACACTCTCTCACAGTTAAGGTCTTTGTAAGTAAAATATGGGGCTTTAGATCCAGACAACTCTTATTAAATTGTTATACTTTTCATGTAACATTTGCCTTAATCAGCCTGACAGCAATCTTTTGGATCCATAACTATTTTAACTGAATCTTTGTTTGCTATCATTTTTTAAAAATTGTAACATCAGCTCTCGATTTAATTTGGCTTCTCTATCTTGTGTCCTTACTCATCTTTCCATAGTCTGGAATGCCTCTTCAGTCCTACCTCAGCAATAACTGGCTAGATGTCTGGAGGCTATGGTTTTCTCCATAAGACTCTGTAGCTCTTGCTCCATTATCTTTGGGGTTTCATTTATAGAAGAAAGAAATGAACCAATTTGTTTTCAGGTCCTTTTAGGTTTACCACTTTTTCTTTCTGGATTCTTTAGCATCTTTCATTCATCCTGTCATCCAGATTTTTTCATAATGCTTCTTTCTGCAATCTTTTGAAAGAAACTGCTAATGTCTAAATGTAAGGTATCACTGACATGGGGTAGAAGAAATAAAGAGGTAGAAAGGAAACTAGTTGTAACACATGATCAAAGTTACTCAAGGTGGGCCAGGTGTGGTGGTGCACTCCTGTAATCCCAGCACTCGGGAGGCTGAGGCAGGAGGATTGCTGCAAGTTGGAGGCAAGCCTGGACTACATAGTGAGTTTAGGGGACCAGATATTTAGCTCAGTGGTTCCGCTGCCTGCCTCACAAACTCAAGGTCCCCAATTTGATCCCCGGTACCAAAACAAAACAAAACAACTACCAAAAAAAAAAAAACAACCCAAAACTCATAGTGAGTTTAGGGGACCAGATATTTAGCTCAGTGGTTCCGCTGCCTGCCTCACAAACTCAAGGTCCCCAATTTGATCCCCGGTACCAAAACAAAACAAAACAACTACCAAAAAAAAAAAAAACAACCCAAAACTCATAGTGAGTTTAGGGCCTGCCTGAACTACAAAGCAAGACCCTGTCTCAAAAAACAAACAAACAAAAAGATTTAAAAGGGTTATCTGTATTTTCACTCAGTATCTTTATTCCCCAGGCTTATTTGTTTGTTTTTTAAGTCCAGGCCTATCAACTCAAAAGCCCATAAAAATACCATAAGTTCACAAGTTAACCTAACAAATAAAGTAGAGTCAGAAGCCTGACCTTAAGATAAAGAAATAGGTGCAAGGTTTTTAGGCAAAACATCTTAAATTGTTTACCTTTTTTTCCCTCCAGACTGGGGATTGAACCCAAGGCCTTCATATGGGCCTACATCCCCAGCCTTTTAAAATTTTTTTATTTTGAGAGAGGATCTTTTTTTTTTTCTTGGTACGGGGGATTGACCTTGGGTCCTTGTGCTTGTGAAGCGGGCAGTGGCACCATTGAGCTAAATCCCTGGGCTTTGAGAGAGGATCTTGCTAAGTCACTAAGTTGCCCAGACTAGATTCAAATTTGCAGTTCTCCTGCCTCAGCCTCCCAGAGTGCTGGGATTATACACATGTACGACCATGCCCATCCACCTTAAAGGATACCTTCAAGACCACATGTACATCCCCAGCCCCAGACCACAGCGCCTTTTTAGTGTCCAATGCTTTTTCTGTGACTGTGTACTTCTTCGATTCTTCCTAATACATCTGCCTGTGTCTCTCATGACACATCCTGAAATGCTTTTCTGTGTCAAGAGTCTGGGAACCTATTCTGTGGGAGTGGAGGAGGGGGCTTGAGGTTCCCATCTTCTCTCTGGGAACCCCCAGGCCCCACTTAGTGAGAGCACTAAGGTCTAAGGCCCTTGGCAGAGACAGACACAAGAGGAGTTCACTCAGCTTTGCTGGCTCTTCTCAGATCTCCACTGGGCGTTTGTGAGAAAGACTTGGCGAATGGGCAGAGGCTGCTGCCACGCGGGAGGACACAAAGCACTGCTCGCATCTTCCTTAAGGAACAAAAGACCTCAGACTGGGCCAGGGATTTAGCTCAGTGGTGCCGCCTCACAAGCGCAAGGTCCCAAGTTCAATTCCCAGGTCTTGGGGGAAGACTCAAGGAACAGTCAAGGCTCACCGCTCCTCAGTGGGGACCAAGCCCTGACCACGTGTCTTGAGGAACACTTCCTATTCAAACAAAGCCCCACTTCCTCTCCAGCGAGGTGCTGAACACAGAAACGGTTAAAGCAAAGTTTGGCATACATTTAAATGTTTTGTTCTTCACAAGAATTAAACTTTTTCTTGCAAAAGTGAACAGTAAGCAATTTTTGTTGCTGTTCTTATTGTGAAATGAATATATAATCCCGTGATTATCTCTTCAAATCTTCTTTTGAAAGATAAGTGATGTGCACAAAATTCGAATTGTGTAAAGAAGTATGCTCTTAAAGTAAAAACTATGCCTTTGCCCTTTGACTCCTGCTCCTTGACTCTTCTCACAAATGTTACTGGACTACCAGGCAGTGGGTCAGGATCTTGCTATGGTGCCCAGGCTGGTCTCACACTCCTAGGTTTGAGCAATCCTTCTGCCTCAGCCTCCCCAGTAGCTGGGACTACAGATGCATGCCTCCAGGCCTTATGAGCCATGGGACCTTGGGTGAGTTGTTTGGTAGTTAGTGCCTTCGTTTTGTCATCTTAAACAAAGAGTGATAGTGATACCGATAGCATTGGGGCCTTACGAACCTCTGATGGGACGCCACATCTGGATCTCACGTGTTTCGGTAGCAGTTAATTTTTAACTTTTTGAGATAGTTTCTGACACAGAATTGTAAAAACAATACAGAGAGTTCTTATAAACCATATATTTAATTTGATCATCATGTATAACCATAAGTTAAGATGGACAGGGCGGTGCACACCTGCATTCCCAGTACTCTGGGAGCCGAGGCAGGAGGATTGCAAGCTCCAGCCCAGATTGGACAACTTGGGGACTTGGTGAGATCCCATCTCAGAATGGAATTTAAAAAGGGCTGGGGATGTAGTTCAGTGTGAAGGCTCTGGGTTCAATCCCCAGTACCCCCCAACACACACACACACACACACACACACACACACACACACAAATTAACATTGCTAAGGTTTAAATATTTGTGTCCTCCCAAGCTCTAAATTCATATACCGAAATCCTGCCCGAGATGGCAGGGCCTTGAGGATGTGGTCAGGTCCTGAGGGTAGAACCTCCTAAACAGGGTTAGTGGACAGCTAGCTGGCCCTTTCCCACGTGAGACACAGCATAGACTACTGAACGCTGAAACCGCTGACCCTCGGGTCTTGCACGTCCTTGGCCGCAGAGCCCTGAGCATTATGTGTGTGATGTTTGTAAGCCACCTAGGCTGTGATATTTTATTATGGGAGCCAGAATGGACTATGATGAAACTGGTGCAGTGCCGTTAACTTCCGTGGATCGTACTACAGCCTCTCTGGCTTTCACCACTGACGCTCCTTGTCCTCCAGGGCTCAGTCCGGAAGACCACACTGCCTTTGGTATTTGTCTCCTTCGTTTCTCAGTCTCTCTGTGTCTTTCATGCGCTCGGCTTTGGAAGAATACTGCTTAGATATGTTGTGAGATGTCCTTCAGTCCGGGCCTGTCTGATGTTTGCTCGTGATTAAGCTGAGCTTGTGTGTTCTGGGCAAGAGTGGCAGAGAGTTGATTTTGTGTCCTGCTCGGTGTGTGGTATCATGAGGTTTTTGGTACCCGAGTCTTGTTAATGGTGGTACTGACCTTGGTCACTTAGTTTTGGAGGTGTGTGTGTCACGTTTCTCTACTGTTTGGTGGCTATTTCCCCCCTTTGTGGCCAATAAATATTTGGGCTGCAATATGTCGGTACTCTGAGAGTACCGAATTATTTCCTAACGTTTCACCCACTGTCTTGAGCCTAGGTACTGGATTTTACCTGCAGCGATTATTATTCTGTTGTCCAGCTGGCGATTCTCTATTTCTCTCACCTAATTTGTATTGCTTACCTGGAATTCTTCTGTAAGAGCTGCCCCTTCACTCCCCCTTATGTATGTATTTATTTAATCATTTATCACATCAGTACCAGAGGGGATGTGTTTACCTCTAACACAGTACATTTCCATGAAAACATGTTCCTCAAGCAGAGGACTTGCGACAGAAATCCCCACATAGGGAGCTTTTGTTCCTCTCAGTGCCGGTGCAGAGGTCCTGCTGCCCCCCATCTCCCTGGGACCCCACTTACTGTAGCCCATCAAGGTGAACGCCCCTAGGAGCATAATCCCCGTCTGCAGAGCATCGGTGTAGATCACAGCAGCCAGGCCGCCTGCGGGAGGTGCAGAGGGGAGGATGGGAGGGTCATTCCGGGGCACAGAGAGAACCAGAGGCCCAGACCCGACGTATTTCCTGGGGTTGGTCGCTTGCAGAGATGACCTCAGCGACTCCTCTCCATGTGAGAACATCTGCCGTACGCCTTTGCTGCAGCTCCGAGTTGGGATGAAGCTGATCTCCCTACCCCTAAGTGTGGTCTTGGCCCCGTGACTTGCTGTAGAGCACGGAGGAAGGTGCTGACATGCAGCTCCGGGCCTCGCCGTGCAGCAGCCCGAGGCTTTGGCTGCTGTGTTGCCCTGAGAACTAACTCTGTGCGTTAGGAAGCCCAGTGTAACCTAGTGAGGGTGCTGCCCCTGTGGAGGGGAAGCCCAGCCTGCGGCCCAAGGGAGCCGCCAGCCACATCCCAGGTGCCGTCGTGCTACCATTCAATAAAGCCAGGTGAGACCACCAGCCACCCGGAGCCCGTGGGACCGAGGGGCAAAGTGGACCACTGTTATTTAAGGACTTGGATGTGTGGGCAGTTTGGTACACAATTTCTTACTGAAACGGGAAGTGAGATTTGAGCCCCCACCATCCTCAAGCTCTGAACTCCACTCTCTTTAACATCGAAACAAGGAGGATTTTGAAAACCCCCTGGACTTCTTTGACAGGGTCATGGTGGTCTGTCTAAGAGGATTCTTGTGGGTTTGCCACCTAGAAAAATCTTTGCAGTACCAGTAATGGTAGCAAATCCACCAGCGTGTGGGCAGAGTAGTCTCTCTCTTCTATCTCCCTCTGTCCTCCTTCCTCAGGGGAGGAGACACATCTGGTTTACTGGAGGGCAGGTCACTGGGCAGTTTAAACAAACATACAGATGGGTGTGGTGTCCTTGGTCTGTCCTTTCTTGTCAGCAGGAAGAGATCCCATCACACAACGGAAGGGAGCTGGCTCTGATCCTGGCACCGTTCTCTGTGGTCTTCTCGTGACTCACCCTGAAGCTTCTGAGATCCTAACCGTGGGTCTCACTGACGTAAACCCATCCCCATTTCTCTGCCTCTGCTTCTCGAGCACTTACATGTGCAGGCATAGTGGTGGGCACTGGCTCAACCAGCCACCAGATCCCTGGCGAGTGTCCAGTGGGTTCTTGAAATAGGGATACAGAGACCTCACGGAGCCTGCAGTCTAATGGGGAGACAGAAATTACCCCAGACGAGGAATTCAGAGACAACTATTGCCACCAGCCCTCCCTCTCCCTTACTCCAGGCACTCATCTTCTGTTCGCACTGAGAACTCGGCCAAGGTCTTCCACATCAGGGGTCTTCGCATGTGAGATTTTGTTGCTTTTCTGTTTAGGGCGTCTAATAGTGTTCCTTGGGAACAAAATCCAGGCTTGTTTTATTTCCTCAAAGCTTATGGCTCTCTCCTCTTCCCCTCTTCTTCTCCTCTTCTTACTCTCAGGGCAGCTGCACGGCACAGTGACAGGGAATGCGCGCTGCTGGCACGTGGGTTTCTGGGAACAGAACCTGTGCACAGCCGTGTGCTCGCCCAGCTTTGGCCACAATCGCCCTGCTGCTCTCAGGCAAGCCAAATGCATGTTCACCTCTCACACTTCCGCCCAGCAGTCTCTGCCCCGCATTTTTCCTGGGTACCATTGAATCACAGTGTCACCCCAGGGAGCCCTTAACTGACATTTCTCCACAACCCCCCACATCCTCCCTGCGCTTGATTCTCATCCAAGGCGCTAATGACATAGTTGTTGACTTCTTGCTTCGCTGTCTTGTCCTCATCCCCACTAGATGTAAATCCCTCTGAGGCGAAGAGTTCTGTTGTCCTGTTTGCTTCTGTACCCCATTTCCTAACTTGCTGTCTAGCACACTGTGTATCCCCACTAGATGTAAATCCCTCTGAGGCGAAGAGTTCTGTTGTCCTGTTTGCTTCTGTACCCCATTTCCTAACTTGCTGTCTAGCACACAGTGGGTGATGTACGTGTGTGTGTGTGTGTGTGTGCGCGCACATGTATATTTGTGCAGTGAATTATCCTGTACCAAGAAGAGGCAGGGAAGGGGGAAGCTGGAGCAGAGGAGAAAGTAAACATTAAAAGATGGTTCCCCGTCAAGGCCCTTGGGCACCTTTCTAGGATATAAGTCTGAGGGAGAAAGATGAAGCTGCCCAACTTCCGGCTCCAAAATGGCGACAGCGTATGCTCCAGCCCTACAGGTGTCTGCAAATGCACAGGAGCACACTTGGCAGGCTCTCAGGAAACAGCTCCGAGCGCCTGAGTGGGAAGAACCCTTCTGCAGGTGACATGCATTTCACCAGTTCTTTCTCTGTTCCTCTGGACGAGGGCTAAGAGAAATCTTACATCTGTGGTCATGGATAAGGCGTAATACAGGGAGGCATGGAGCCTGGGCCCCACCCACCACCTCTCCCCAAACCTCGCTCCTTGTCAGGCTTACCTGCAACGGTGTACAGAGCCGTGATGGCCAACAGCCCGACTATGGCCAGGTACAGATCTAGGTGCAAAGACTGCTGAATAAAGATGGCGCCTGCATACATGTCCACCTGTGGACACAGGAATTTGACAGGTGAGGGAGGGAGGGAATGAAGGAATGAATGAAAATTTGCAGCAAGTTTTCACCAGGTTCCAGCCCCAGCACTGATTCTGAAAAATACAGATGAGCCGTACATATCTTTTTAAAAATTTTTACTTTCATTTATCTCATCCCAGGTCAGGGTTCTCAGACCCAAGCCCTGCATTAGTGAAGGACCCCAGGCAAATGCAACCTCCCGTGATCTTCCCCGTTCCACTGCCGGTCTTCTGGCGCCGCATTCTCCACACTGCAGCCTTCGGGATCCCATCAGTCTTTCTTTCCCACCCCCATTAGGTGTCTTGGGCGCTCCCCACTGTCCCCAAGACAACAGCTAAATACGGAGTCAGAGCTGCCTACCAGCCGAGCCCTTTGTGATTTGCCTGCTTCTCCCCCTCATTTCCTTTGCTCACTCTCTCAGAAACACTCCCCGTGTCCCCAAGACACCCCAGTCACCAGGCCCCCAGTGTGGGCTAGTGCTGGTCCATCCACCTGGACCGCCAGTCCCTTTCTCAGTGGGAACCGCTCCGGAGGTGGACTTGCCCGCAAGGGTAGGACTTCCTTGCATCTGTAGCTCCCCACCGGGCTGTGAGGGAGCGCCCCGGACATGGCTGTCCCTCGGGTTTGAGACTGGAATCAGGTCGCTTGCCATTGGACGGAGTGGAATTCTTTCTGCTCCCCCATCAGTCACCCACCTCCCACAGGACAAACTCCTCCCATGCAGTGTGTGGCTCTGTCCTCGGCCCGTTCCAGGAGGTCTGGCCAGCCAAGGTGAGGCGAGGCGAGGCCCAAGGTGTCAGTACTCCAGCTAGGTGCTGAGCATGGCCTGACCCCGGGAGGAAGATCAGGGTCTCAGGGCCGTGGGGTTCCACTCAGACACCCCCACCATATTGGGCTGTTGTCAGAGAAGCTTGGCGGGGCGGAGAAGGAGCCCTGTGCTCTGCCTGTCTTTCTCACATCTTCCTCTGCCCCTTCTTACCTTCTCCCCAGTGTCCCCCATCTTCCTCTGATGCCCCTGAACCCGCCCAAGAGGAGGGGAAGGCAGATGGGGCACCCAGCAGTGAGCTGTGACGGAGCTTCTCCCCAGCCGCGTCCCGCCTCACCGAGATCTTGGTGAAGATGTAGATGAACAGGTACAGCACAGCCAGCGTGACGGAGATCCTGTTGCCACCAAAGCGCTTCCTGAGGTACTCGGGCATTGTGGTGACCTGGGGGCAGAGCCCGGCTGTCGGCACCCAGCTGACTGTGCCCACATGGTCCCCTGGCCACCAGCCCTTCCCGCCCTTCCTTGCCCGACTCAGAAGCACAAAGGGTCTTCCCGGACTCTCAGTGGCGGACTTGAGGAGAAAGGAGAAAGTGCAGGCCAAGAGGTGGGGTGTGGAGGGACAGGTTCTATGCAGGAGCATGTGCCCCACTGTCACACTTGCAAACACGAAGTGTGCATATACCGCTACCCCAGCTCAGTTTTGCTGCAGCCTGTGTGATTTTTTCAGCCAACTCACTCTTTTATTTAAAAAAATTTACCTAAAGGAAAACTTAAAACTAGCACCATCAATAGAAAACCAGTCTTCATTGTAAAGGAACCCTCAAAAATAAATATAGGGCCGGCTGTGGTGGCGCACGCCTGTAATCCGAGCACTCGGGAGGCTGAGGCAGGAGGATCGCTGTGAGTTCGAGACCAGCCTGGGCTACATAGTGAGTTCCAGGTCAGTCTCAACTACATAGTGAGACCCTGTCTCAAAAAAACCAAAAAGAAAGAAAAGAAAGAAAGGAAGGAAGGAAGGAAGGAAGGAAGGAAGGAAGGAAGGAAGGAAGGAAGGAATGTACGTGTTTGCTGGGATAATTTTAAGATTGACACAGATAAGCCCATATCCAGCCTCTAGGACATCAGAGAACTTTGTTCTCCTATGCTGTAACACTCTTGGTATATTATGCAATTTTAAATACTCTAATTAAAAATCACCTTTAAAAATAAATATACTTCTTTGTTAGCATATCAGAACCAAAGTATTCTTTCTTTAAAAAGTGAAAAGGGGAGAGAAGAGAGGGGAGGACAAAGAAGGAGGAGGGAGGAGGAGGGAGGGAGAGCGGGAGAGAGGAGAGGCAGAGAGGGATGTAAGTTGTTCAGCTGTCAAGGGCAATACTGGCTCCAAGGTGAGACCCTGTCCTGAGTCCTCCGGATAAGGCTGTTGGACAGTGCACCTCATCCTGTCCACCATAAACATGGGTAACTATTATGTTAACTAAAGGTAAAGCACACTTTAAAATTCTTAAACACAAAAGCAGTGGGAAAGAACTTGACATTCCCGCGGGACCCAGTGGTGTTTACCCATGACCACCATCTCGGGGGTCTCTCTCCGTGTTACAGACTTTCTGTCCCCGCTGTGCATCATGCCGCCTGCTCCCCAGGGGAAGCAGGGGGTTCTGGGGCAGACTGCAGAGATGCGGAGGCTCCCACTGGGAGGACTGAATCCCGGCTGCTTCCTGTGCTGTGGGTGGGGATCTGGGGTAGAAGGCGCCGTGACCCGTGCGACACCCACAGCCGGTCCAGGCTGCTGAGATCCCGTTTGGGTTGCAATTTCCCTGCACTTTGGAATATCCTTTCTCGCTTTCCTTGGCCCAGATCTTGGACAGGGAAGAACCGAGCAGTGATATCTGTAGAATACAAATCTCTGTATTTGTGGCAGCTCCAGGCTTGAGTTTCCCAAATGTACCCCAGGAAGGAGGCCAACTTCGAGCTGAGGAATGGAAGACCCTGTTTCAAGGTCAGATGATCGGCAGAAGAACACAGGGAGATGCCTCATGGCCAGACTTGCTTCGAGAATTATAAATTGTCGAACGTGGAATCTGGGTGTTCCAAACTACAATAGTCAGCATCAAACTAAGCTTTAACATATTTGCATCTGGGCAAAAAATGAACTCCAAAACTAAATGGATTTTTTTTTTTTAATAGAAAAAAGAACTTTCTTTCTCCACCCCTGCTGAGATCCTGACCCTCCCGGATGTCCCGCCTTGACCATCCTGATTTGCTGTGGGCCTGGCAGTGAAGGGCGTTTCTAGTACTGTGAAGAGCAGTGCTCTTGGTGGCGGCAGGAGAACTAATCAGACACCCGGCCGAGAGCTGCAGGCCACTCAAGGCAACGCTCCGTGACCTGGCTCCCTGTGTCCTCAGGGGTGGCACTGCCAGCCGGGAGGGCACTGCCCACACCCCACAGGCTGCGCTTCCTCACTCAGCACAGTGCGTACGGGAGGACGGAGAACACGGCAGGTGGAGGGTTGGGCGGCCAGGAGAGGTAGACTTCATTTTCTGGGTTCCGCATTAAAATCGTCACCAGTTCTCTTGGTGGGTAGTCTTTGCATGAAGCTATCCTCCAAGTATGGTGGGCAAAATAAATTCTAGGTGGACAGAGGAACAGACGAGAACCACTCACCTCAGGGCCAGGCCAGGAAGCAGCGAGAGGAACAGGCCGGGTACCCACAGCCCCTTCCAGGGCACAGCCCCAGTGCCCCAAGTCCCCCCACCAGGCTGGGTGCAGGACTGAGCTTGTCCCCAGCTGGATGCCCGGGACCGTCCAGCCGTACATCAGCAACAAGTTATCTTCCTAAAGAGGAATTCGAATGGCCGGAAAGCCGTTTGTCACTGCCTGGGCCGCGAGAATTTCCAAGTCAGAGCGCTCCAGGCATCAGCAGGGACGCCCTGGATTTTCAGAGCAAGCGGATCGGCGCGGAGAGGAGAGCTCGGAGCCCCACGGAGCGTTCAGGACCCAGCGACTCCGTCCAAGTGCCCTCAACAACACTGGTTAGATGCCTGCATATCGGCTGCCAGAGCTCTGTGTGCCTCAGGCCCTACCCACACGTGGCGTTTTAAGGTGTAAAGTTAAATTTTATTGCCCAGGAATGCTTAATAAAGAAAAACACAAAAATGGGTGTTTATGGTGGAAGGAGACAGACACCGGGAGCTCCGAAGCCTCGGAGCGGGGCTCGCCTTTTACGTCTCACTGTGGGTGCGCACTTCACAACAGCTTGCCAAGCCTCACATTTGTGTTTCACTTTTCTCTGTGATTTTCTTTCCCCATAGAAGTGCGTCGGGTCGCTTTTCATCTCTGCCCAGCACACTCGCATTTATCATGTAGCGCGGGCTGCAGCTCTCCACTGAGTACTCGCCACACTCGGCCGGGGGTTCTATCTCATTCGGTGCATGGGTCTGTTTTGCAGGCTGGGGTTGAGCCCAGGGCCTCACAGTCTACCCGCAGTGCTGCCTCGCACCGGCTCTCTTGCTCATTGTCCTGACAGCCTCGAGGCCTCTGCTGACCCCAGCCCTTCTCAGGGCCCGATGCCACCACGCCGTCGCTCCCACCTCTCCACTCGGTTAGGGTTTCGGATCCCTGTGGCTTCACAGTCGCGCCTCCGCGCCCTTCCTCCTCCCACCGTGCACGCTGTGGCCCAGGCCTCCTCACTCCAGGCCTGTGTTGGACGCCCCAGATGTCTGGCCTGCTCGGAGGCTGTCACAGGGCGCGTGAGACAGACCGGGCTCCTCCCGTCTCCCCAGGCCAGCTGTTTGTCCCGCTTTACCATAGACTGGGCCTCTTCAGGTGTGGAATGATTCTGAACATAAATGTTGATCCTTAAACCATTTCTACTTTGTGTATTTTCTAACTTTCCATAATTAGAAGTTAAAATCAAGATGAGAGTGCTGGTGCGTGCCTGTAATCCAAACCCTCTGGGAGGCGGAGGTGGGAAGATTGCAAGATTAAGCAATTGAGCAATTTAGTGAGACCCTGCCTCAAAATAAAATATAAGAAGGGCTATAGCTTGGTGTGAAGGCCCTGGGTTCAATCCCCAGAAATGAGTGATGCAGTCATTATGTAATCTTGCTGTGTGTGTGTGTGTGTGTCTAACTCCAGTGCAGTGTAGGTAGTGTGAGAGATGCCAATAAGCTCCTGAATGAGCCTGAAAAGTCTAAAACAATGTGATTTTGCAAGAGCAAAAAAGACTGGGAGTTTTACATTTGTGTTTTAGACTTCTGAAAACGTTTGCGCCCACATCCTTCCTGCCGCCTGGAGGCACCGCGTCCTTGGATGCAGGCGACCAGGCAGAGCCTTGGGAGCTCCCACCCGCCTCCCTCACCAAAGGTGCTGGGCACGGCCCAACCAGCGTCTGCCAGATTCTGCCAGCAAGACCGGCCTTTCCAGCCTGCCTCCCAGGGGGCCCCACGCCCAGCACTCGGACCCCTCAGCTCACCTGGCCAGCGATGTAGATGGGTAGGAAGATCCAGGACAACATCAGCACAGAAAATATGCCCTGCCCGAGAAAGCACAGTCAGAGTGTGGCTTCCAGTTCCCGTGGAGGTGCTGACAGATTTCTTCTCTGCACCCTGAGGTAACATGGCCTGAACTCTGCCTCTGATATAGTCCCTTGCTTGCTGAGTAGTTCACCTTCCCTGGCCTCCACTTTTGTATTTTTAAAATAGGGAGAAGAGAGCCAAGTGTGGTGGATCACACCTGTAGTCCCAGCCTCTTGGGAGGCTGAAACAGGAGAATCTCTTGACCCTAGAAGTTTGACGTCACTGGACAACGTAGCAAGACCCTGTCCCAAGAAAATTAAGACCAACCAATCAAAGACAGACAAAGCCAAAAAAACAGTGGGGGAGGAGAAGACTTTCATGATCCCTTTTAATCCAGTTTCCTAAATACCACACCACCCCCTTTCCTTCCGCTGCACTCTCTCCTCTCCTCTCCTCAGCAGTGGTTAAAACAAAGCTGTGAGAGGCTGAGGCAGGCGGATCAAAAGTTCAAGCCCAGCTGGGCAACTTTGAGAGATCCTGTCTCAGAACAGAAAATAATAAAAGGCTGGAGATGTTGCTCAGTGCTAAGACCCTAGGTTCACACTGTACTTAAAACCCCAAGGCCATGAGACCCTGGATCAGAGATGAGCCATGCCAGTGAGAGGTGCTGCAGCAGAGCTAACTCAGGATCAGCCTGGCTTTTACCCTGGTCCTCCGCCAGGACACCAGAGGAGCGCTCTCCCGGTGCTCTGCCTGCCAGGTCCCCGTGCCCTCTGGAGCGCCCACTTGCTGCAGGTTCACAGTGGCTCTGTGTGGCAGGCGCCATTTGAACCCCTGTCCGCACGTTCTGAAACTGAGCTCTGTGTGGTGACCGTGCACGTGACATGTTGGGCCTGTGCCCGGGACAGGGGGAGCGTTGTCAAAATGGCAGCCCCGTGCCAGTGAGAGTCTCCGGTGAGTGCAGACCCCCTTCCCAGGATAAGCCCTCTGTGTGGATCCTGCTCTGCAGAAAGAAGCCTTTCTCTTGGGCAAAAAGGTCAAATGCCACTGTGCTGTACATTTTTTTTTTTAATAGTACTAGGGACTGAACCCAGGGCCTTCACCTCAAGCTAGGTCCTTAGCTCTCTTCTTATTTTTTATTCTGAGACAGAGTCTCACTAAGACACTAAGTTATCAGCTGGGCTTGAATGTGGGATCCCCCTGCCTCAGCCTTCTAGGTGTGTTCTGCATGCCCAGCTCTGAGCAGTATAATTTTCATGATGGCCAACTAATGCCTAAAATACACACAGAAGTACCCTGCAGTCCCATGATGGTTTCTGACAACTTGTTTGCCCACCTAGCAAGCAGAGAGACCCACCCAAATTTGGAGGGGCAGGGGCACCCTGAAGTTCTCCTGTTTGCCTTTCCAGAGTGCTGTCCTAGCTGGGTGTGGTAGCACATGCCAGGGGTCCCAGCTCCCCCAGGGGCCGCTGCCAAGGCCTGCAAGCAGGAGCTCAGCCTGGCAACTCAGTGATTTAGCAGGACCCTGACTCAGAATTAGAAACGGAAACAGAGCCATGGTGCAGCCCTTCTGTACCACGCACAACACCATGGGTCCACTCCCAGCCTCCCCCACAAACAAGGTGCGGTGAGTTTTGCAGTGTAGGACATTCACACTTCTGCCCCCAACCCTCCCGTCAGGTGGAGGTGCAACATCCGTGTCTGGGGTCAAATACTTACATTGAACTCGTAAGCAGCCACGGAGATGCCCACGGATGCGCCTGACCCCGCCAGGCCAATGAAATGTCCACTTCCGATATTGCTGGCAAACAGAGATGCCCCAATCTGTGGGCAGAGGACAGGCCAAAGGGTAGGACTGGGGCAGAAAGGGGAGTGGAGAAGGCAACACCATCCATACCCTATCTGGCATCCTTGCTCAAATTAGAAAAAGACTCTCTTTCCCTATACTCTTACTTCCGCCAATCAGAACCTTACAAAAAGGCAGATATACAAGGCCTACAAGGTGAATTGCACCTCCCAGGGGATTCAGTATACAGCGTGCACAACTGTCCACAGCCTCTCTGGAGAGAGAAGACAGGGGCCACAGCTTATACCTCAGTGTCCCCCCAAAGCCTCCTGCAGTCATAGGTGGAGCGTTCTGAAGGAGACTGGATGCTGGAATCACGGTGCCCGGCCTGGGTGTGGATGGCACTACCCAGAGAGTAGGAACCTTGGATGGAATATAAAGGGACAGAATGAAGCTGCTTCACCGCCTTCTGCCCACCATGGACTGTTTCTCCTCTGCGATGTCCCTCTGCCCTGCCGCCCTGCCTTGGGGTTAACCAACTATGGACCGAAACCTCTGCAAACCCTGAGTGAAATAAACCTTTCCTCCTTTAACTTTGGGTGTTAGGTATTCTGTCTCAGCAACAAGGAAAGTAACCAAGACATCCAGTAACTCCCCAGCCCTGCTTCTAATGATGCAGAGTAGACAGTCTTGGGACAAGCTGAAGTGGCAGAGCTGTTCTCAATTACTCCAAGCCCTGGTCTCCGCTGACCAGACTGGGCTGGCCGGGCCAGTCCTATCACCTCTTCAGGGAATGTGGACTGAGGGTGAACTCTGCTGCTGCCTTGAACTGGGGACAGGGATGTCAGGGAGGTGGGTGATGGGAGGGGAGAGGTGTGCTCAGCTACATGCAACAGCATCAGCCATCTGCTGAGAGAGGAGGGTGCTCTATGAAAGGAGACAGGAAGAGAAGGAGAGGTAGGGGAAAGGGGAGCGGGGGGGGGGGGAGGGAGCTGCCTCTGCTGTCTGTCCTTTCTCCAGTCCTTATAACAATCCAGCCCGTTGGCTGAAACGTCCGCCCTCCACTCTCTTGATTACTATAGGTTTGTAGTAAGTTTTGAAGTCTGGAAGTATGAATCCTCCTAGTTTGTTCCTTTTCAAGATGGTTGTAGCTATGTTGGGTTGCACAGATTTCTGTATGAATTTTAGGATCAAATTTTGAGATTTGTGAAAGAAAAAGGAACTTCGGTTTTAATTTATATGTACATCAGTACGAGGAGTATTGCAATCTTGCAGTACTAAGTCTTCAAAGAACACAGGGTGTTTTTGCAATTAGTTATTTTTCCCTGTGTTTTTAGTGTATGTTACATTTTTTCAAATGCATTCCTAAGGGCTTTGTTCTTTTGAAGCTATTGTAAGTGGAATTCTTTTTTCATTTTTTAAAATTTTTAGTACATGTTTTCAGTACATAGTGATTACATTCCTCATGGGAAGTCATTACGTGTACCTAACACAGCTTAATTCTTTGGTTTTCATCTCCTTTCCTTCTTCCTCCATCTCTCGGTCTCTTTCCCATTTGCAAAACATCTATCTCCAGTTTCCCTATTTTCTATCCTTTATTTTTATCTGTATTTATATTTTGGGTTTTTCATATAAGAGAAACTATGTGATATTTAAGCTTGTGTGTCTGATTTATTTCATTTAACATTATGTTCTCAGGGTACATACATTTTCCTGCAGATGACTCAGGTTTACCATTCATGGCAGAGTGCTACTCTGTTGTATATAAATACCACGTTTTCTTTATCCACTCATCTGTTGATGGACACAGAGGGCATTTTCAGGATTTAGCTCTTATGAATTGTGCTGCTATAAAGATAGGTATGTGGAATTATTCTAATTTGTTTTCAGATCTTTCATTGCTATAAAAATAACAGTGATTTTAAATATTCATCTTACATTCTGCAATTTTACTGAATTCATTTATAATCCCTAGTATACAATATTTTTTGAGTGTCTTAGGCATTTCTACATACAAGAGGCTGTCATATGCAAATCACAAGAGCTGTATTTCTTCCGTTCAGTCTGGTTGCCTTTACTTCTCTTTCTCACGACTTGCCTTGGATAAAACCTCCAGGAAATGTCGAGTAGGAGTGGCTAAAGGAACCTCCTCATCTTCTTCCTGATCATAGGAAGAGAGCTTTCAGTTGTCTTTCACCACTAAGTATATCAGCTGTGGTGCTTTGTAGATGTGCTGTCAAATTAAGGATGTTTTCTTCTATATTTAGTTTGTTACACGTTTTATCATGAAAGAATTTAAGATTTTTTTTTTTTTTGGTACTGTGGATCGAACTCAGGACCTTGCACTTGCAAGGCAGGTGTGGCACCACTGAGCTAAACCCCCAGCCCAAGAGTTTTAGATGTTGTCAAATGCTTTCTCCTTTGTCTACTGAGGTGGTTATATTTTGTCACTTACTCTACAATCAAGTGTATTATACTGACTTTTTGTATATTAAACTAAATTTTCATTCTTACGATAAAACTCACTTGGTTGTGGTGTAAATTCATTTTTATACCTCACTAGATTTCTTCATAAGAGACATATGTCTGTGGGTTTTTTTGCCATATGATATCCCTTTGTAGTACTGGTACCGTGGTAATATTAGCCTTGTAGAATGAGGTAGGGTGGGCTCTCTTTTTTTTATTTTTGCAGATTGATGAGGAATTTTGTGTTAATTTCCCTTTAAACGTTTGGAAAAATTCAGTAGTGAAATAAATCATATGGCCTTTGCCTTTCTTTGTGGAAAGTTTTGTGATTTTTCATTCAGTGTCTTTACTTCTTATAGATAGAATGCAGTTTTTCAATCTCTACTTGAGTCAATTTGGGTGTTTTGTGTCTTTCTAGGAATTTTAAATTTTTACCCAGATTATCTGATTTATTGGCATTCAGATGTTCATAGTGTTCCCTTGTGACTAATTTTTATTCCTGTGGTATTGGTTGTAATACCCCCTTTCATTCCTGATGTTAGTATTTGAATCTTGTTTCTTTTCTTCTTGGTTAACCTAGAAGTGGCTAACTCTGTTATTGATCTTTTCAAGGAGCCAGGGGAGTGGGGAGATTCTTCTTTTTTTTTTCTGTTATGTATTTTTTTTTTCATTCTAATCTTTATCATTTCCTTTCTGCTTGCTTCAGGTTTAGTTTAGCCTTCTTTTTCTAGTTCATGTAAAATATTAAGTAATTAATTTCACATCTTTCTTTTTTAATATGGAAATTACAGTATAGATTTCACTATAAGCATTGCTTTAGCTATATCCCATAAGTCTTTTTCATCATTTTAAAATATTTTCTAATTTCCATTATGATTCGTTCTTGGATCCATTGGTAATTCAAGTATGTTGTTAATTCCTATATATTTGTGAATTTCCCAATCTTCCTTCTGATTTGAAAATTTCATTCTATTGTGAAGAGAACACACTGTATTATTTCAAAAATTTAAAGTTTACTGAGACTTATATACAACTTAACGTGCAGTTAAACTAGAGAATGTCCCATGTGTATTTAAGAAGAATGTATATTTTATTGTTGATTATTTTACATCTGTTCATTGTACTGGTTTATAATATTTGTTTGTGACTTCTATTTCCTGGTTAATCTTCTATCTCATTTATTATGTTATTGAAAGTGAGATTAAGCCAGGTATAGTGGTGCACACCTGTAATCCCAGCACATGGGAGGCTGAGGCAAGAGGATCACTGTGAGTTTGAGGCCATATTGGGTTACATGTTAGTTTAATGCCAGCTTGAACTACATAGCAAGACCTTGTCTCAACAAAACAAAACAGTGAGATTAAAGTCTCCAATTAGTACTATCAAATTGTCTTTTTACTAGGTCAATTTTTGCTTTGTATATATTGGGGCTCCATTGTTTGGCGCAGATATGTTTAAGATTGTTATGTTTTGTGGTCCCTGTGTCATTCCTATTTTGTGTCTAGTAAAAGTTTTTGTCTTAAAGTCCATTTTGTCTAATATGTGTAGCCACCTATGCTCATTTTTTGGCTCTTTGCATGGTATATCTTTTTTCTATTGTTTTACTTTCATCTTATTTGAAATATACCCTATTTGGTTAGACCTGCTTTTCCATCATTTTACTTTTCCTTCAACCCATTGTGCTTTTCACCTGAAGTATGTCTCTTACAGACACTGTATAATGGGATCACATTTCTTAAAGACCCATTCTGCCATTTCTGCTTTTTGTTTGAAAGATTTAATCCATATAAGCTAATGTAACGAAAATTAAATAAGATTTATATCTATCTGCCACGTTTTCATCCAATTTTAAATTATCTTATTTTTTTAATTTGTTTTGGTTTTTTGAGACAGGGTTTCATTATGTAGCCCAGGCTGGTGTTGAACTCACAGTGATCCTCCTGCCTCAACCTCCTGAGTGTTGTGACTACGGGTGTGTGCCACCATGCCCATCTATACAGCTGTCTTTTAAAAAGGACAAACGAAAATAAAAATTGCAGTCAAAAAGTAATGTAACTGCCTATTATATTTTCCTTTGTAGTTACCTTGACTAGCACTCTCTGTTTCCCCATGCATAGCAAGTCACACTGGTACCCTCTCATTTCTGCCTGAAATCAGTGTTTCTCTTTTTTTTGGGGGAGGTACTGGGGATCGAACTCGGGACCTTGCATTTGCAAGGCAGGCATCAACACCACTGAGCTAAATCCAGGGCTCTGAGTGTTTCTTATAATGCAGATGTAGCAATGAGTTCTCATTTCTAAGAACATAATCTGATGATATTATTTGTTATGGCCTTTCTCTCTGAGTACTTCGGGCTCTTGGTTTCAGCTTTTCAGAGGAAGACTCGGCAGTTGATGGCACTGAAGACTTTCTGAAGTGATGAACTGCTTCTCTTGCTGCTTTCAAAACTTCCTGCCTTGCACTTCCAGTAACCTGATGGTGGTGTGCCGAGGTGTGCATCTCTCCCAGTTTGTCCTACCTAGAGTCCACCAGCTTCCTGGTGTGTAGATCAGTGTTGGCCATCGAACTTGGCTAATTTTAGGCCATTGTTCCTTTGATGGTCTTTTTACTCCCCCGTTTCCTTCTGGAACTTGCACGTTACTCTGCTGAACGACGTCTATCTCTGAGACTTGGTCATTTCCACTGACCTGTCTTCATGTGCGCCACGTGTTTATTTCATTCTGTTGCTGAGCCCCTCTAGTGAATATTTCATTTCACAAACTGGGCTAACTCTAGAATCTGTGCTCTGTTCTTGCTGTAAGTTTGTTTTTGCACTGCTGCCGATCAAATCCTGGACCTTGCCACTAGGGGAAGAGTGTGGGGCTTTTGGGGCACTGCAGACAAGTACAATAGTGGGAGCGTGGGATTCAGAAGTGCTCCTTCCCCGTTCTGCCTCCCCTGGTGCTTCTGGGGTGCTGGCAGAGCTCAAGAGAGCAGAATGGTAACAGAGCCAGGCAGAACACCCACAGGTTCTTACTGAGATTCAGCTACTTCCTGGGTAAATGCTCATTGGAGTTTTACAGAATTTGGTTAATTTCTGCTTTTCTGCTTGGTCCACAAAGAAGCTGATAACCTGTGCTTTACTCTGGCAAATAGAATGTGGTTATGTGTACTGGAAGTCTGGGGGCTTCCACTCCTGCTCCCTTAGAATAAGCTACAAGGAAACTTGGGCTGGGTCATTGGAATGGGGGGAGGGAGGGGGAGAGAGAGAGCGATCCCAGGGGTCCGGCCATCCTTTCCACGGCCTCCCAGCCTGGATGAGGACATCTGGGATTTGCATCCCAGCCTGGTCACCAGGTAAACGCAGCTTCGTTGAGTGAGCCAAGAGGGGGACAGCAGAGAAGCCAGGCAGCCAGCCCGTGGAGTCACCAGAGACAGGACACTGAGCTCTGTAAGCTGCTCGGCATGGGGAGGGCTTGGTACTGGGTTAACAAAAGGGTCAGAATTCCTTAGCAGCAGAACTCCTAGACACCCATGTCTCTCTTGCCAGTGGGAATAAGAGGTCAGAGGCAGCAACAAGCCTTTGACTTCTAGACAACGTGGAACCAGAGTCCAGAACTGGAATCGCAGCACTTAAAGTGTCTTCAGAAGCAACTTTTTTTTTTTCCATAGGGTGCTGGAAATTGAACCCAGGGCCTGGTGCCTGCTAGGCAAGCGCTCTACTGCTGAGCCTCACCCCAGCCCAAGGAAGTGGCTTTTTCACTGAAGCAGACAGCACTTACTGGCCACCACACCATGTCTCCTCCAGCCAAGAAGTAGCCTTTCACTGTGTCTCTCTTGGTCTTCACAGTGGACTGAAATGAAGAAGGGAGGGGAGGTAATGTTAGTGGTCAGAGGCATCCCGAGGGCGTAGGACACGGATGGTAACCTGCAGGTCCGATGGGCCGGATTTGGGTGTCAAATGTATTTCCTTTACCTACAGGTTTTAGGAGAATGTTAACGCGACTGTCTTTAAACGAGACGGAAACGATTCTGGCCAGTGCAGGCCCCGCCAGCCCCTGCGTCACACATTTGTGGTAAGCTCCTTGGTCTGGAGTTTCAGGCTCATGGCTCTCAGCGGACATTGTCTATTGAGTGCTCACGAACCCTGACTGGGCCAGCCTGACCAGTGGAGAGACTGAGGGTCACGTCCTCCTGGTCTACTCTGCTGCAGCAACCAAACCCTCAAGACTACATAATTTACCAACACTAGCAGTGTATTTCGCATGGTTCTGGAGGCTGGGAAGGCCAAGGTAAGAGTGCCCGTGGGTTGGGCATCTAGCGAAGATGTCGTGTGCCTTCACATGGTGGGAGAGGGAAGAGTGAAAAGAGCTGGTGAATTCTCCCATCTGCTTTTATAAGACACCCAACCCAGCCGAATGTGGTGGTGCATGATTGTAATCCCAGCACTCGGGAGGCTGAGGCAGGAGGATCACTGTGAGTTCGAGACCAGCCTGGGCTACATAGTGAGTTCCAGGTCAGTCTCAACTACATAGTGAGACCCTGGCTCAAACAAACAAAAAACAAAACAAAAAATAAGACACCCAACCCTATACACAAAGCTCACTCCTAACCACCTCCTAAGTGCCCCACATCCTAATGCTGTCCAAGTGGTGATTAAGTTTCAACATTTGGGGAAATATAAGTGATTCTTAAGCACATCATATAAGTTTGAGTGAAAAATATGGTAAATGTTTAAATTTTTAAAATCGTCCTCAAATACCCCGCCCCCCGCTTCAAACACACACGTCCCGTCGTCCTTGCCACTTTCTGAAGCAGTTCTGGGGCTCCTGGTCTGTGCGCATCCTCAGTGGCGTTGTTGTTGTGGCTATTTTCATGTCTTGGACCAACCCAAAATGTCTACCTTCTGTGGTCATTTAGACTTTGGGAAACAGCCAGAAGGTATATCGTGCCAGATACAAGTAAGTAAAGGCATGAAAACCTGCCGTAATGTGTAAACACACCCTGTAAACACACTCTTTCCATGAGATGGCACCGGGCACCAGCAGTCACCATATTTTTATCATACTTCCTAGAGACGCTCACAAAAGAGTTCCAGAGCTGCTTCAGAAAGTGGTGAGAATGACAGGATGGCTGCATTCAAATTGAGGGGGAGGAGTCTGCGGAGGATTCATGGTAATGTGTGATTTACTATCATAAATATTCACCATATGTTCTTACCACACCTCACATGCATGAGTGTAATAGGAGTGATCGATTCCACTCAGTGTGAGACACGCATATCAATGACACACTGAGATATTAATTTCCCCCATCAGTTTGACTAAAGAGGAAATGTGCTGATTTGTCCAATATCTATCTAAGGAGGGTGATTGGACAACAGCTAGCATAAATGCTTTACCTAATAACCTACAATAGGAGATTTACCTTACATAACAGCGGCACTCCAAAATAATGAGTGTCCAAGGGTTGCTTATCATAGCATTGGCAGGAAGAGGTAGGAAAAAACCCAAACTGACCTCAGCAGGGACTGAGAAATAAGTTAGCAGAACTGGGATGCTGTGCCACTTTTAAGAAGATGAGGAAGTTTGCACAGTACGTACAGATATTAAAAGATACCTGAGCAACACTGATAAGTGAGAAACAGCAAGAAAAACCCCCAGCATGGATAAGCTGGGAAATAAGAAAAAGAGAAATGTGTATATTAGTATTTGCTCTTATTTGTATAAAGAGACTGGAAAGATACCCTAAACAGTGATAACAAGCTAATAGCAGTTGTGACCTTTGGAGACAAGGGTAATAGCAAGACTTGACACTCTGTCCTATGCTATTTTACTTTTGAACCATGTGACTGTATTATTTTAAAATTTTTCCTTTAAATTAAAAAAAAAAGGCATAGCCTTCAAAGTAAAGGAGATTCTTTTTTTTTTTTTTTTGTGCTGGGGATCAAACTTGGAACTCTGGGTCTGCAAGGCAGGTGGTGGAACCACTGGACTAAATTCCTAGCCCCTAAGAGAGATTCTTATTCCAGCTCTCATAACTTCTAAAATAAGGAACTTCAGTCATCTGGGGAGCAGATTACTGAGGACTGAAGCTGGGGCCCCATGCAAGCGAAGCAAGTGTGGTTCCAGGGAGCTACACCCCCAGCTCTAGAAGCATGAAGTCTCTGAAGGTCAGGTTTTTTAATCTGCAAAGTAGGTGTAGCCTCTCCCCAAGAGGCACCTGTGCAGGTTACAGAGGTAACCGAAGTGAGAAGCTCAGCCAGAACCTGACACATAGTCAGCACCCGATATATTCTGTAACTGTGAAAATTCTGATTACTCTATGGTCTTGTGCCAGTCTCTTCTCTCAGTCAGTAATCTTATCTCCAAAATGAGAGGGTCACGTTGGACTTTACTTTCTGTGCCTGGCTTACCCATAGTCCAACAGCCAGGACGAAGAGGAAGTACAAAACCAGCACAGCGATGTCGCCTGGCTCCAGACTCTTGGCGGGGAATGGCTCCAGGGGATCGGAGGGTGGAGGCCTGGGGCTGCCGCCGCTCTCCATGGTCCTGAACCAGCCCTCTGGGTCCTGGGAAGAGCAAGCCCTCGTCAGAGAACAGAAGCCGGAACCTTCTCATCCTGGCTGCGGCTGTCTCTGGGGGGACCTGAGAAGGGCGACCCCAGGCTGAGGTGCATGGCAGACAGACCATCACGAAGACACTTCCATCCATCCATCCACTCACTCACTCATTCGTTCATTCAACAAATATTTACCAGGAAGGCACAGCTCACTCCTTGCTATTTTACCAGTCCAACCCCTCACTTGGCAAAGTATGACGTTGGGCACACAGTGTGTGCAGATGGTTCCTGTCCCCTTGTGGACTTACTAAAAACATGTGCTGGAGTGAGAGGGAAATGAGACCTGTGCACTGGTCCGTATCTCATAGGACTCACGCCTTGTACGGCTCAATCTAACACCGCAGTCTTGCTCCCGTGCCGGACATACCCATAAAATCGCATATATTTAACACGCCCTGAATACCAGGCACTTTCTAAGTGTTCACAACCTGCAGTATGGACGCCATAGTCATAACGGCCTGCTAATAAGTGGTGGAGTGAGAGCACAGACAAGTAGCTTGCCCAAGGTGGGGCTGGGATTTGAACCCAGACGATTCTGCCCCAGCATCCACACTGTGAACCTCTTTCCCCAGCTCTTTCTTGGTAGGCGGCATTTCCTGGGCAATTTGAGGGATTCCTGTGGTAGGCAGGACAAAGGCTCAAAGAGCCCTCACCTGTGACTACGTTTACAGACAGAATTAAGGGTGCTATTTAAAAGTAGGGAGATGCCCAGAGGTAGCTGAGTTTAAGACAAGGAGAAGCCAGCTGGGCAAAGAGGCACATGCTTAAAACCCCAGCACTCTGGGAGGCTGAGGCAAGAGGATGGCAAGTTCAAGCCCAGCCTGAGCCACTTAACGACTCAGGGAGAACCTGTCTCAAAATAAAAGAGGCTGTGGGTGCAACTCACTGTGAAGGCCCCAGTGCCAGAAAAGAATCAAAACAAAGCAAAAAGAAGGAGTTAGCTAGATAGATGATCAGGGCAGACCTAATGCAATCACGACAGAAGACAGGGTCAGAGGGGAGACAGAGAAAAGGCAGTGTGGGAAGGGTTTGGCTCAAAGTGCTGGCTTGAAATGAGATGATGGGGCCCTCGCCCCAGGAGACCAAGTGTCGTCTAGAAGCCAGGTCAGGCAAACCAACAGCATGCGGAGGGAGTTCAGCCCTGCTGATGCCTTGACTTAGCCCAGGGAGATCCACTTAGAACTACTGACCTCTAGAACTGTAGGACAATAAGCTTGTGCTGTGAGAGCCAGTAAGTCTGCAACAGTTAGTTATAGCAGTGATCAGAAAGGGTTGCATCCCCAAGGGTAATTTTTTATTATAAGTGACAAGGGCACTGACTTACGTATTCCATGGTGTGCAGCCCAGGGATTTGGGAATGAGAAGACTCGGTCCCCACCCCTCCTGGCACACAGTCCTGAGAGAGGACAGCCCACTTTGGACAACGCCAGCCCAGTGTGGGGTTCTGTGCGGTGCAGGTGCATGGAGTGAGAGCTGTTAAGAGCTCCAGCTCCAGAGTCACACAGCTGAGAATCTGGACCAACGCTTGGCGCTCTGGGTGCGGTCAGTTTCTGTTTCGTAGGAGGCTGTGAGCTCAGGCCTAGGGCACACGGACCGCGGTGCCCAACCCGAGGCTGCAGTCAGGACCTTGTAGCCCTACTGCTCCGTTCTGCTTACTTACTGTGCCTCTGTGTCTGCTTTGAGGCGTAGTGAGGAAAGACCACTGATTTCACCAGGAGGACTCTGGAAGGCAGCACACCAGTGGGTGTGAAAGATGAGCTAGTCTTACACAGATGAATGGCCCAGAAACCACACAGACCCTGAGGTGTGAGTGAGTGTGTCACAGTCAAAGGCCTCCAGATCCCTTCCTCATGCTGAGTGAGGCCGGGGTGTGTCCAGCCCTGCAGAAGCTTTCACTGGGCTTTATAAGGTTGGGGTTCAACCTGTTGGATGTTGTGCTCAGTTTTTAGGGTAAATGCTTTGTAACTAGCTCTTACTAAGTACTGAAGGGAAATTAACAGTTAGTGTTATTACAAATACAGTTAAAAAATAAATGCAGCTCTCTAACTGTAGTATAAAAGAGAAATAAAAGATCAATCAGTTCATGGTAAAGCAATAATGCCACCAGAATATCCAAGGGGTAGTGTGAAGCTTTCACTTACTGTACAGAATAAGATTGGATTTAAGAAAAATAAAATGAGAAACCACTCCATTCCAGAAGCACGGGATAATTAAAGAGCAGTGGCCTGAGCCTATTACCCAGTTACACGAGAGACTGAGACAGGAAGATCCCAAGTTTGAGGTCAGCCGGGGCAATTTAGTGAGACCCTAAATTTAAAAATTTAAAAAATTTTAAATTTTAAGAATTAAAAATTTAAGAAGAAAAAGGCTGTTTCTTTTTTTTTTTCATTTTTTTTTATTGAGTTTATTGGTACATTTAGGGATACAGTACAGTTACATTCATTGTTGGGATCATGTACCTTTACATGGCAAGTCTTGATTCTCATTTTTTCCCCTTACCTCTGCCCTCCCTTCACCCCCTCCTCCCCTCCCCATCTACAAACACTTTATTTTCATCTTTTCATTCTCTCACATTTTTTTCTTTTCCCTTTTTGTTCTTCCCCTACGTATCACACCTTCCCTACACCTTTAGCTCCTTTCCTCCCATTTCTAAATGTCAGTAATCTTATTAGAATCTTATGCATTGTTGCAGAATATTCACACCAGGGAAACTATTTGGTATTTACACATGTGGGACTTATTTATTTCACTTAGGAGTATATCTTCAATATGTATCCATTTTCCTATGAATGAATCTATTCTCTCGCTCTTTATGGCTGAGTAATATTCCATTTTATAGAAAAACCACAACTTCTTTATCCAGTTTCCAACGGATGGGCAAATAGGTTGTTTCCAAGATTTAGCTATTACAAACTGTGCCGCTATAAACATGGGTGCACATACTTCTCTGTGATATGATTCTTTTAGTTCTCTTGGAAAGATACCCAACAGAGGGATGGCTGGGTCAAATGGAACCTCCAGTCCAAGCTCTTTGAGGTATCTCCATATTGTTTTCCATAGTGGTTGCACTAGTCTGCACTCCCACCAACAATGGAGGAGGGTTCCTTTCTCCCCACAACCCCGCCAACATTTGTTATTGTGTGATTTCTTGATAGCAGCCATTCTTTGTGGGGTGAGGTGGAATCTCAGTGTTGTTTTCATCTGCATCTCTCGAATGACCAGTGATGTGGAACATTTTTTCATATATTTTCTTGCTGCTTTTACTTCTTTGTATGAGAAATGTCTGTTCATTTCGGATGCCCATTTTTGGATCGGGTCTTTATATTTGGGGGGACTGATTGTTTTGAGTTCTTTATATATCCTTGATAATAGTCCTTTGTCTGAGGTACAGCTGGTAAAAATTTTTTCCCACATTGTAGATTGTCTCTTAGTTCTGCTAATGGTTTCCTTTGAAGTACAGAAGCTTTTTAGTAAGATGAGATCCCAGTTGTTGATTCTTTCTGCTAGTTCCCGTGCTACTGAGGATTTGTTCATAAAGTCTTTTCCTATACCAATGTCTTCCAGAGTTCTGCCTAACTTACCTTCCAGCAAGTTTAATGTTTCTGTTTTAATATTTAGATCTTTAATCCATTTGGATTTTAATTTAGTGCATGGCGAAAGATAAGGGTCTAATTTTAATCTGTGGCAGGTTGATATCCAGTTTTTCCAACACCATTTATTAAAGAGGCTATCTTTCCTCCACTGAGGATGGTGAGCTCCTTTGTCAAAGATGAGGTAGCTGAGTACATCTGCATTTGTTTTTGTGTCTTCCAGTCTGTTCCATTGATCCTCCGGCCTATTTCTTTGCCAGTACCATGCTGTTTTTATCACAGTGGCTTTGTAGTATAGTTTCAAATTGGGAATTGTTACACCTGGTGCCATGTGACTGTTGCCTATAATGGCTTTTGCTATTCTAGGTCTCTTGTGGTTCCAAATGAATTTTTGGATTCTTTTTTCTAGTTCTGTGAAATATAGTGTTGGAATTTCAATTGGCATTGCATTGAATGTATATAACAATTTTGGTAGTATGGCCATTTTCACTATGTTGATTCTTCCTACCCAGGAGCAGGGGATATCTTTCCATTTTTTTATATCCTCTTCGATTTCTTTTTTCAGAGTGCTGTAGTTTTCAGTGTAGAGATCTTTTGTTTCTTTTGTTAGATTGATTCCTAGATACTTCATTTTTTTGGATGCTATTGTAAAAGGAATTTTTTTCCCTTATTTCTCTTTCTGTCTGTCTGTTATTTGTGTATAGAAAGGCTATTGATTTTTGGGTATTCACCTTGTATCCAGATACTTTACTGAATCTGTCAATTAAGTCTAGAAGTTTTTTGGTGGAGTTTTTTGGATCTTCAATGTAGAGTATCATATCATCAGCAAATAATGATAGTTTAACTTCTTCCTTTCCTATCTTTATTGCTTTAATTTCTTTCTCTTGTCTAATTGCTATGGCTAATGTTTCCAGAACTATATTGAAGAGAAGTGGTGATAGTGGGCATCCTCGTCTTGTTCCTGATTTTAACATGAAGGTTTTCAGTTTTTGGCCATTCAATATGATGTTGGCTGATGGTTTTTCATAAATAGCCTGAAAAAGGCTGTTTCTAAGAGGGTTTTACTGGGAGCTGGGTGTGGTGGTGCACGCCTGTAATCCCAGTACTACTGGGAGGCTGAGGCAGGAGACTTTGGAGTTCAAGCCCAGCCTGATCTACCCAGGGAGACCTTGTCTCTAAACATAAAGCCAAGCAAACGGGTTAGAGAGAAACATCAGAAAGGAAACTAACAGCTGCCCCAATGCCTAAATTTACAAAAATGTTTTGCAGTTTTAAATGTTTTGAAGACTAAGTGATCACCACATGTGCCATGGTGTTGACATAAGGGAGTCTTCTGGGGCCGGGGATGTAGCTCAGTGGTGCCACCACCTGCCTCACAAGCGCAAGGTCCCGAGTTCCATCCCCAGTACCAAAAAAATAAGAGTCTTCTGAACAACATTTCAGACACTGTGAACATGAAGAGAAATGCAGAGTGCCCTGCACAGTGTTTCCTGTGAGCCAGGCCAGGTCCAGCACTCGGACTCACAGACTCGCCCTCTGCCCACAGGAGTGTCTGGGTGTCCCCGGGGACACTGGGGAGTCCCTTTTGTGCAGGGTGTTTCTGTGCTTTCAACTTGACTTGCATCTCTGGCTTCCACCTGCTGGATGCTGGTGGCACTTCTGGGTACCCTTCTGTGACTCTGAAAATGCTCATAAATTTCAAAACAAGCCAGAGGCACAGGAGGCAGCGTCAAGGGGAGGCGGTGCTGACCCGGGGAGGAGAAGGCAGACGGTTCTAGGCTTCTGCAGGGAGGAGCCAGGAAGGGCAGTGGGCAGCCTTCAGCCGCCTGCCCCCGGGAGGGATGAGGATAGCACTGAGACAAACATTATTCATCAGCACCGGCCAGCTGGGGGGAGGCTGGCACTGCTGCTGAGTGCTTCCGAGCCCCAGGGAAGGGGGCCCGAGGGAGCCAGGCAGGACGGCTGCTCCCATGGGCCAGATGCTGCCTGCAGCACAGGCTCCTAGGCTGGGCCCCTGCCATGCCCTTTCCTTAGTGGGCACACGGGGCGCGGCAGTGAGCAGTGCCGAGGTTCAGGGAGCATGGTCTCCCCCGGGTGCCAGGCGTGCCACTTGCATTAATGTGTCCTCTTACCGCACCTTCCCCTGCCTGTGAGGCACACTGGTCACAACCAAGTGACTTGGCTTTAGCAAGCAGGTCATAGAAATGCCAAGAGGCAGGATTTGAACCCAGGGCCTCCAGGTGTTTTCCAGACCAGCTGTTCTGACTTCCTCTCCTCCTTCCTCTCGCCTCTCCTACATCCATCTCTGTTTCTTGTCCACGGGTATCTATTAGGCACCAGCTGTGTGCCAGCTCTGTGCAAGGCCCTGGAAGCTCACTGGAACCTTTATGAGACGCCAGCCAGGACTCAGCTCTCTGCTCGGACCAAGGACAAAGCAGAAAGCAGCCCTGTTCCCATCTTCTCGGTTTTCAGCCCGGCTTCGCTGCTCTGCGCGCCCAGCCCACGCATCACCTTGCCCTACCGTGGCTCCCAGTCTGCCTGCAGGCCCACTGTGTCTGCCACCGTCCTGTCGCGGCCCTGGCCTCTCACTGCGGGCAGGGTGGTAACAGAGGCTTTGTGTGTCCCTGAAGTTGTCCAGCAGCCGATGCACAGAAGGGACCTCAGGCAGGCAGGGGCAGCGCCCCCCTCTCCCTCAGCCCTGCACACAACCTGCCTTGGGAGGTGAGAAGATTCTCCACAGCAAGTGCAACGGAAGAAAATCAGGAAAACAGGTTCATGGGCCAAGGGCCAGTGGGGGGTGAGGGGTGGACCCGCTGCTGCCGGCCCCAAGTGCACCCTGGCCAGGTGACGAGAGTGTGACTCTTGGGCCTCTGAAATGTTTCATCATGAATGAGGAGGGAGTGAAAGCAGCGGGCGGCACTTACGGTGAGACACGAAGGTGCTGCACTTTGCTGGGGCGCCGGCAGGGGTGCTGGCGAGCCTGGGTGCAGGAATGGACTGGGGTCCTCCCGCCTTTATTGAGACAGCCTCTCACTGTGTATCTCAGGCCGAACTTGAACTTTCCATGTAGTCCGGGCTGGCCTCGAACTCATGGTGATCCTCCTCCCTCAGTTTCCCAAGTGCTGGGACTACAGGCGTTCATCCCAGGCCCTACTTTTTTCACACTCTGTGGTCTCAAAAAAAAGACTCTGAGGTTCAGTTTCCCTATCTATAAAATGGGGATGATAATCAGATGTCGGGGGAAAAGCAACACTGCCACACCGTTGGTGGGAATGTAAGTTAGTACAGCCACTGTGGAGACCACTGAGGAGAGTCCTCAAACACTGAAACGGAAATTCCTCCTGACCCAGCCACTGCCTCCTAATGTCTTCCCCACAGAGTCAGTGACACCGTAACACAGAGATCCACACGTTCCCGTGTCTGGTGCAGCACAAGTCAAAACAGCTAAGTCTTGGAGGCCCTGTGTGTCCACCAACAGAGGAATGGATCTTTAGGGGGGGCGGTGCCCACCGTGCAGCACCGCTCTGCCGTGGAGAAGGATACATTTGAGTTTATTTGTAGGAAGATGGATAAACCTCCAGACCCAAATGTTAAGTGAAATCAATCAGCCCTGAGAGCTCACAGAGCACATGGTTTCTCTTACATGAGAAACCCAAAGTACGAAGAGATTACAGGGCAACATAAAAGACAGATAATAGGAATCAGGGCGGCAGGGTCTGCAAGTGGGACAGGGAGAGGAGGAAGAGGGAAGAAGGGAGTGAAGGGGTGAAGAGGAATTGAGAAGTGTGTGTGTGCACGCCGCGCTCCCCAGGGGACAGCAGCGACTGCGCTGCAAGCGCAGACCAAAAGGACAGGTGCCAGGCAGAGGCTGGGAGACAGAGTCCGGCACTCGGGCTGGTCTCGCCTGCCTGTTAGGAAGCCGCAGATCAGTAATTCAGAGAGAAACTCGAGGCGGGTGGGACAAGGCAGCTTCTCAGAGGATGCTGGGGCGCCCTGCGGATGGAGGGACCCGGTGAGCCTTCTGCTCTGCCCCGTTCCCCCAGGATGGCTTGGCCCCTGTTCCCAGACCTGCCATCTCCTGGACATTGCAGAGTTGATGTGAGGAGCCCCTCAGCAGATGCGGGGTCTCCACTCTGTACACACTGACCGACAACTTCACCCCAGAGAGCCCAGAACCCGTAAGACCTGCACCCCGCCGTCTGTCCCCTCATTCCGAGCCCCGGAAACGCCACCCAGACAAACGCCGCACCGAAGGTTCTACATCGTTCTTTATCTCGGCTCCGGGTGGGTCCACCTTTCTCACGCTCCCCTCCCTCCCGTGTGGCCCTCGAGCCCATCCTGTCATCCTCATCAGCCGCCACCTCTGTCCAGCCTGGAGCAGGTCTTAGTATCTTTCCATGCAGGGCCGATCTTGCTTCCTCTCAGTGCCCCCTCACTCGGAAGCCAGAGGCACCTTGCGCACCAGATCAGACCATTTCCTGGTGCGAAACCTCTCCGTGCCCCCCCAGGAGCTCTGGGTGCCCTGGCCTCTGACTTCCATGTCTTCCCCTGTAGTCCTCGAGGTGATTTGCAGCTTGGGGTCCTCCCCTTCCGTCACCTCTGCAGGGATGCCCTTCCCTGCACTCTGCATGACGAAACCCTCCTCCATCCGGCGCCCCTTCTCTCAGGCCGGGTCTGACTGCATCCCCGAGTCATTTGCCTTCACAGCAGACACATCACAGCGTTTGGTCTGCAGACTGTTCTCCCTGGACAGACACTACGAACACGGGGTGGCCAAGATGCAAGCTTATCCACTGCAACCCTGCTCTGAGGGTGGCGTTTTTCCAAGTCCTGACTCCAGGATCCTCTGCCTGCCTCTCCTCCAGGTTATTCACCGAGCACACCTGGAGACACTGGCCACAGGACAAGCTCACGGCCACAGTGAGCGGCCCCGGCCTCGCCACTTGTTGCCTGCGCTCCTTGGCTCCCCTGTGAGTTTGGCTGCTCACAGTGACGGCGCTGTTACAGGAGACCCGCGGAAGGCTGGCAGGTGCCGCTGCAAGACTACAATCGCAGGGTGGTTACAGCAGCTCGGCCGCAGAGTCCATCACTCTAGGCTTTTGGGATTTATTTAGATAAAGTCACCTCCTTACAACCTAGGGTCCTGCCACACCGCACCTGTGGGCTGGGCCAGGCAGTGTCCACGGTCTCATCTGGCAGATAAGGGAGCTGAGGCTCCATGAGTGCAAAGAATTGGCTCACTGTCCTTGAACTTGGTTCAGGGCAAGAGCTAAAACCCAGGGCGGGGAATTTAGCTCAGTGGTGCCTCTGCCTGCCTCACAAGCACAAGGTCCCAAGTTTGATCCCGATACAAAAAAAAAAAGAGCTAAGACCCACACATGGTACTGCTGGCTGCCCGAACCCGGCCACTGACCTCCCCCGGGCACACTGCCTTCACCTGCAGCGTGCTGAGTCTGCCCTTGGGGAGACCGAGGCCCGAGCCCAGACCGTGGGGCTGCCTGGCCCAGAGAGCGGAGCCTGCGGGGACGGAGGCGCTCACCTGAATCCAGACGTGCACAGCCGCCTGAGCTGTCAGGGCGTTCAGAGGGGAAGTGGCCGAGAGGCTCTAAGAGGGAGACCCAGGCTGCCTTCCCTCTGCAGCAGGGAGCGGAGGACAGTGCAGCCCTGGGTCCTGGGTGTCTGTTTCTGGGAGGGCCTCCAGCAGGTCAAACTCCAAACTCCAGCCTCGTACAGTCCTGGGGATTAAAGGAAGTATGGATGGTTTCCCCGGGACCCTTGAACCCTGAGCAGCCCCTGCAGGAAGGTGACAGGCCCTGCCCCTGTGCTGGGCCCCTGTCAGAGACAGCACCTGCCAGGGCTCGTGGTGGTGCCACCCCCCCCCCCGCCCGCTCCCCAGCTCCACACTGTCCCTGGCACAGCGGGGGAGCAGGGGGGAGGCTGGCAGGCTGAGGCGACAAAGGCAAGTGTCACAGTGACAGCGGCTGTTCAGCCTTCCCAGGGGCAGAGAAGCAGAGGCATCTGGAGCCCAGACACTGGCAGGAGGGTCTCAGCCAAGGGCCTGTGTGAGAACCAAAGACCCAGAGAAGCCAGGGTTGGGAATCAGAAAGATCCTCACCAGGTGCTCACAGAATCCAAACATTTTCAAAGTTAGTTACTAGCATTTGCGGATTTGAAATCCAATCTGAAGATGTGACCACGCTGACCACACGTTCTCGCAGGACAACCGCTGGCAAAAGGGGGTTAGAGCCCCGCATCCTGGAAGGTTGGGGCGCGCCCTGTCCTGACACAGAGGCCCAGAAACAAGGCAACAGCTCAGTGAATCTCCACGCTGGGCTCAGCTGTTATCAGCCCCACTTTCCTGACCAGCGGCCAGAGGCACTAAGCAGCCAGCTACTAAGTGCCAGGGTTCGAACCCAGGGCAGCTGAGGTTGGCTTCACAATGCATCCAGCTGGACAGGGTGGCCCGGGGAGCCAAGACCAAGAATGGGTCCCTTGGCATCGGGGCCTGCCCAGGATGCTGGGGCTGTGCAAGGGGACTGGACAGGAGGCTGGGACCTGTTGTCTATACCCAGAGGACTCAAGGCCAGCACAGCAGGAGGCACTGCAGACAGTGTACTCTGTCCCCAACCCGGGTTCCGGTCCTGACTGTGGGGCCCATCTCGGGAAACTTGAGACGTTCCTTTCCGTGGGCCTCCAAGAAAACATTTCAGTGACTGAGGTGGGGCTGGGGAGCTGCAGCCAATGGGAAACGTGTCTCTGTGAAGGGACAGCTGCAATCAGATCCAACTGTGAGAGAACACACCTGTAGTCCTAGCACTCAGGTGGCTGAGGCAGGAGGATCACTTTGAGTTCAAGGTCAGCCTGGGATACACAGTGATTTCAAGGCCAGCCTGAACTACATAGGAAGACTGTCTTAACCTCCACCCGGGAAAGAAAAAAATGTTCTAGAAAAGTCCTGCAAACTCTTGAGATTGTTAGTCGGTGGTCTGCTTGGCTACTGGCTTGTCACCCCGTAGACTTTTTCTGATTGCTTTTCAGATTTTACCATTGGTGCTGTAAAGAATGGGGGGTGGGGCACGGCTGTGCACAGCTGTAACCCCAGCACTCTGGAGGCTGGGGCAGGAAGAGCACGCAGGCAGCTTCAAAATACCCCTTTGCAGACAGGTGTGCAACATGTCCTCCTCAGGGATTAAATAAGGAAATGGAGGTGAAATGAGATGGCAGGTGAAGAACGGGCCTGCGGGGTCAGTGTTGGCTCCTCTTCCTGAGTAGCTTGGTCCTCAAGGTAACCATGAACTACCAGGCTTGCATTTCAGGGCACTACATTCAAGCCTTATTTCCTTCATGATGGATTAAAATGGGACGT